ATAGTTACTAGAAATACTTACTAGTAACTCTATATTAACTACTTCTGCTTCTAGACTAGTTAGTTCTCTAAGCCTACTAGTAGGTATAGTTAGTGTATAGTTACTAGAAATACTTGCTAGTAACTCTATATTAACTACCTCTACTTCTAGACTAGTTAGTCCTCTAAGCCTACTAGTAGGCGTAGTTAGTGCGTAGTTACTAAAAATACTTACTAGTAACTCTATATTAACTACCTCTGCTTCTAGACTAGTTCTTCTACTAGTCCTCTAAGCCTACTAGCAAGTTAGGGTTAGTAGATAGGTAGTAATACTTAAAAATAAAAGAGTTATATTTTATTATATAGGAAGAAGCGCATTGTTAGCCTCTATATAAACACCTAATTTTTACTGCTAGCTAACACTAAATATATAACTAGTGTTACTTTCTGCCTCTCTTTCTTTAAGACTTTACACTTATATTTAGTGTTAGCTTAAAACTACCTATTCTAATTTAGTATTAGCTTAAAACTTTCTATTCTAATTTAGTATTAGCTTAAAACTTTCTATTCTAATTTAGTATTAGCTTAAAACTTTCTAATTAAGATTAGCTCTATTTAACTATCTCTAAATATAAAACAGTAAATAACTCTTTAAATTCAAGAGATATTATATTAAAACTTTTACAAAAGAAAGTGTAGTATAGAATACACGTAATAGTAGTAGTATAGCATTATAAATCTAAGTTCTAACTATAATATTATTACTATTAGACCTCTGTTTATATTTTAATTTTTACTATATCTTACTAAATTTTAGAGGTGTTTACAACCTAATAGAGTATAATAAATAGTAGTATAGTAATAGTTTTTATTATATACTTCTAGTTTTTAACTACTATATAGTTTTATTATTAAGGTAGCCTACTCTTCTAGAGCTATTCTAGATCTATTTAACTATTTTAAAAGTTATTAAATACTTTATAGTTATCTAGGTTAGTATAGAGAGTATATATTAGGTCTAGGTAATTTTTATATCTAATTAATTTTTAAGTCTAGTTAATTTTTAAGTCTAGTTAATTTTTATATCTAGTTAATTTTTAAGTCTATATATTAGGTTTACGTAATTTTTAAGTCTACTTAATTTTTATATCTAGTTAATTTTTAAGTCTATATATTAGGTCTATGTAATTTTTAAGTCTAGTTAATTTTTACGTCTAGTTAATTTTTAAGTTAGTATATTATGTATAGGTAGTTTTTGCGTCTAGATATTGCGTCTACCTAATTTTTAGGTTTGGATTTTAGGTACTGGCTTGGTGTATACGTACCTATTTTTACGTACTTTTAGGTTAATAATTAACAACCTAATATTTCTAGACATACGAGCATACACCAAGAACACACTAGAATACGCGCTGGACATCATTACTAAAGCGAGGACTATCCGCCAGTGCTACGCGGCCATCGGGCTTAGTGGCGGCAGATACATTGGATTTAAGCTCTTACCGGAGGATCTGCAGGTCACGATGCGGAAGGCCGTCAAGCCGACGTGGGTCATGGGCTTGGAGGTGGCTGGGCTCGAGCTGGAGCTACTGGGAGGGTATTATCGCAGAGCGAACCCTGAGCTGCATGCCTAGCTTCATAGGTGGATCAAGCGCTTTGCCGCCTTGCTCAAATCTAAGAAACTGAGACCACATCCCATACACGTGAATCGGGGTGGATTTGCAAAGGTGATTGATGGCATGGGGGCTTTGCAGCGCAAGGAGGTATCGGCCCAGAAGCTGGTATATCCCTTGTACGATGACCAGACAGGAGGTATAGTAGTCATAGGCGACTTAAAACTTCCCTAGTCATGAAGAAATGCCATTGACTCCTTGATACTGGCGCGTATCGACTCTACGTAAGACATGCTACCCCGCCGTGACTTGACATCCTCTTGCGCCATAACGGCCCAAAACAAGCGTGCTCGATGTGCACGGGAGAAGATGCCTGGGGTAGCCTCGGTGGGTAAGGCAGCCGCCTCGCCCGAGAGGCAGTAATCGGCTGGAATGCCCATACAACGCTCTAGGGTTTGCATTTGGCCTTGAATGGCATCAAGAATGCCCATGGCATACGCCTTTAGCGGCATGTTCTGGAGGGAAGAGATGCCGCCAATGCGGAGTACCGATTTGACCTTGATAGACTGGTACGACTCGGGCGGCACCTGGCAGATGTATTGGTAGATGCGGTGGAATAGAGAGTCGAAAAGCCTAATCAAGGCAAGGTAGCTAGACAGAACCTGGAGCACAATCTCGGTGCTGAGCGTATCCTCGGTCTGCGTATACAAATGAGTCGCCGGTATCAGGCCCTGGATGATGTCGGTGAATTGTTTGGTACATGTCAGAAGTAACGCGGCCGGATTCTCGACGTCTCGGCCCGCGCCCCCATCTTTGCAGCCATGCAGGACCTGAGAGGAGTCTGCGTAGTATGCGTCAACCGTGGTAATGCGCTGTTCAACGTCCTCTCGGAACTTCATCAGCAAGCTTGCCGCGCTGGAACATTGCGGGAGGGGAGTCAGGGGCAGAAGACGCTCCTCATGATCGAGAAGCGGATCCATGTCCAGATCGAGGGCAGTGCTAGCGTCGCCACCCACGTGAAGCATTGCGTAGAGATCATCATCTGCACCGAGGAGCCCCTGGAGGATATCCTCACCCGACGCAGGGCTGTGATGCATCGAAGGTGAAGGGGAAGGGGAGGCGAAGAAAGCGGACATGTCACCTGACACTGCCCAGAAATCTGGCTGTGGTTCATGAGCGGCTGCCACTGCCATTATGGGTGCGTGGGACTCGACGGCATGCACGTCTCGCAACGTCGACTTGCCATGGGGCCCAGGCGAGGAGACGGCGAGACGATGCTTGGGCGGTCTTCCAGGGTGGCCGGGCGCGCCTGTCACGCATCGCGCGCCCATGTAGCAGCAGCGCGCGCAAGGCGCCATGCTGTCTTGGGCACGAAGGCATCGAACTCGTTTTGCTCTGCACTGGTCACAGGCGGAGCGCCTGACGGCAGGCTTGAGCATAGTTGGTACTGTGCTTAATGTTGGTATGGCTATTAAACGTGCAAAAAGTAACTTATCTGTTAAAACGTAGTATGTAGTGTAAAAGTTATAGAATTACTATAAAGGAGGCGCAAGCTCTATAGCTTACGCGCTAGTCTTAAACTAGTAATATAAACTAAGGAATTACTTCTTTTAACAGTCCCCTTTCTATAGGATATATATATATAGTAATAGAATATTTACCTCCTATAAGGATTTAATAGCCCTAGTTACTTTAAGATACTTACTAAGGTAGGTTTAGGTAGTGCTTTAGTATAGACATTAGCTAGGTTAGATACTAAAAGAATAAATTAGATATTAAAGTCTCCTAAAAGATATTACTCCCTTATAAAGTAGAAATAAATACTAATATATTTTAAGTAAATGTTAATTTAATAATCCTTAATAAGAGTAATAGCTAGTTAACTATTAGTAATAAAAGTAAAGCAGGGTTTAAGTTTTAAAGAGGGTAACTTAATATTAGAGAGTTCTTAGATAACTTATTTAGCCTAAAAGAAGTAAGTAGTAGAATATAAATATACTATATATTTAGCTTTATAGGTACTCTTTGCTACGTAGGATTATTATTTAGCTAACTAGAATATAGTAGACCTATTTAATTAGAAGATATATCTACTAAAAGACTTAAAGGTATCTAGATTAGAACCCTAGGATATATTAAAGAATATATTAACTAATACTTAGTAAGGAGTGTATTAAAATTCTAGAATATATTAATATATATATTAAACGTACTAAAGAACCTAAAGAGATAGTTTAAAATACTTTAATAAGGAATTAGAATTTAAAGTTCCTAGTATACTAACTATAAATACTAAATTAGGTCTAGTACTAATAACTAGATAATTTAGTAAGCTAACTAACTATTAAAAGTATTATCTAAGATCTTTATTTACTAGATACTTATTATAGTTAGGGAAGGAGTTAGTGTTAAGTAGAGTTTACTTACTATTATATTAGCTTATATTAAATCTATTTAGGATTTAAAGAGTATATTACTTCTAGCTTAGAGATATAAGGTATAGTTATATATTAATTTTAAGTCCTAGTAAGTAATAGGCCTAACTTAGGTCTTTATACTTAAGGTCCTTAGAGATAGTATTCTTAAAGTATTAAATTTTAGAAATAGGGCTAATAAGAAGAAGGTTATTAACGTAGATAGTAATAGCTATATACTTAATAAAGATATAGAGATTAGAATTAAGTTAAAAGTATTTATCTAAAAAGAAGTAGTTTTAAAGTATACTAAACTATTCCTTTCTTAACTATTTAAGGCTATAGAGAGTTTTCCTAAGTCTTAGGATTTTACTAGTTTAGAGGAAGTTCCTAGAAGGTTAATATATATATAGCTTCTTTATTAGGTTACTATTAAGGTATATAGTATTAAAATTAATTTAATAAATTTTATAACTGTATTAGGCTTCCTACTATAGTAGTAGATAGAGGCTGTTATAGTGTATAATAGGGGAATAAGTTTTAGTAAAATTTTAGCCTTAAACTTATAAGAAGCCTTAAGCTATAAGTTAAGCTTTAAATTAAATAATATCTTTAGATATATTATACTTAATAGTAAATACCTATTAGAAACTTATAATATATCTAGATTCTAAAGCTTTAACCTTAGTCTATATTCTATTCTCTGTATAGGATCTAAGCTTAGTTTTAATTACCTTTTTTTATTAAAGCTATTTATAGAATTACTAAGCTTCTTTTAGGAAATTTAGGATATTATTCTTAAAGTCTTATACTATAAATATAAAAGTGTCTACTTTATTAGTAGATAGAGTAGTAGTATTACTTATAGCTTTATATATAGGCTTTACTATCTAGCTAAATCTTATAGTAGTAGGTATAGATATAGAAGGAGTTAATATATTTAGTACCTTTCTAGTAGTCTATAAAGAAGTAATACTATATTAGACTAGGGACCTTTAGAGAAGTATAGGCGTAGGCCTTAATATTATTTATTTTACTAGTATATATAGAGTTTTAGGAATTAATACCTTAATATCTTTACTATCTCTAAGGGATTCTAATTTTATAGAGATAGGTAGTATTAATTTATTACTAAGGTTAATTATAGAAACTTTAAAAGATAAGGAGTAGAATACTAGGAACCTTATATCCTTAGACTCTAAGATAACGTGTCTAGAGAGAATATAGACTTAATAGATTTTAGAAGACTTTCTATACTCTATAAAGATTCTTAGCTCTAAGTAATATATAAGTTTAGTTCTTAGGGCCCTAGCTTTAAATAGGATATAAATATAGACTTCTAAGCTAAAGAAGTAAAGGTACTTAATTTCTAGCTTACTTCTAAAAAGGGTATTATATAGAGTCTTCTTAACTAAAAGGTAGGAGTAGAGAGTAATATTTTTTAGAAAAGTAGTAGTATATATTACTTTAGCCTAAAGCTTAAGATTAGAGTTAACTAAGATTATAGTTTAGGTAGTAGTAATAATTATATAGTTAAATTACTTAGTAGTACTATTACTTTTATAATAGTAAAGTAGTGCCTTACTATAGATAATATTAGATTTCTAAAAGTAGATCTAGAGTTTATTTACTATATACTTACTTCTATTATTAGAATAGAAGGTTTTAACTTAGGTAGTAAATTAGTATTCTAAGTAAGTAATAAAATCTATAATTATTTAAGTAGTATTAGACTTTTTTTTAAAGAAGTAGATCTAAGTAAAGTAAGTCTTTTTATTAATAAAGAAGATAAAATACTAGGTTTTTCTAATAGATAGAGTAGAAAACTTTTTTAAAAGGTCTAAATATATATATTTTAACCTTAAGGTACTATTTACTAGGAGGAGTTTAAGCTTTACGTAGACTAACTTAGATATTAGGTAAAGTTTATAGGTAAAATCTTAGGGCTTACTTAGAATTATATTAGTGTTAATATATAGTTATATAGGATTTCTAGGAACGTAGAAATAGCTAATAGCGTAGTAGAATTCCTAGTATAAGGTAAAATTTATAGATAGTAAGTTAGAATCTATAGTTTAGATTTCTATTATACCTCTAAAGTATTTTGCCTATATAGAATATAAGCTATTAGACTATATAAGAAAGAGGTTATCTCCTTAAGCTTAGATATTATACTCTTTATTATAAATATAAGGCTAGCTAAATAGTTAAGTCTACTAAAGTTCCTTACTATAAAGGATATTTATTAGTTTTATTATATATATTAATCTATTAGGTAGTTAATAAGAAAGGTAAACTATTCTTTAGCTATTAATTAGAAGCTTCTATTATCTAGCTATTATAATAGTACCCTACTAAGAGAATAGGGTAGTAAAATTATTAAGATTACTAGATATATATTATAAAGTACTAGAATTAAACAGCTATTAGGAGGGAGCTAAGGAGGTACTTAGTTAAGATAAGAACGCTGCTTTAGTAATAGTAGAGGATAAAGAAATAGTATCTATACTAACCTATTATAATTATTTCCTAAATTTATTTATTACTAAGGCTAAGAAGGCGTTTACCTTAGAGCTAGAGTTATTATTATTAGAGTTTATTATAAAATTAGCTTTAGTATAAGAGAGTTTTAGTTATTTAGTATTAAATTTCTTAGCTTATTTAGTGTAGAAGTCTTAGTATTTCTTAAGCTTTTAGTAGTCTTTATATAGGTAGCTAATAAAGGTAAAATTTTGTTTTTTATACTATATATACTTAACTAGTAATATCTAAGTTATAGATATTAGAGCCCTAGTATTAGAAGGTCTAGGCTAAGGTTTAGGGACTTAATTACGTAAGGTAGTATTAATAGAGTAGGCTAAGGAGTTAGTAATATTAATACTATACTTTTTAGCTAGATTAAGTATTTTAAGTTTAATCTTAGTAAATAAGGTAATATTTCTAGTTAAGAGATTATTAATAATATAATTTATAGTATCTAGTAAGGTAATTAGAAAGAAGGAGCCCTTAACCTTATTACTTTTAAATATAGTACTTATAGCTTTTACTATAGTTTATATAGAGGTTAAACACCTTTTAGCTATATATATCTATATTTAGTAAAAGTTATTAAGATAGTAAGTAAAGTTATTACTATTATTATAGCAGAGATTTATAAGGGCCCTAAAGAGGTAGATACTTATAGTACCTATATTATAGTTAAAGTAGGTAAATAAGTAGTCCTAGGTAGTAGAAGAGGAATTATAAGTTATAATACTTATTATAAGATTATTATATATAGTACTTATAAGTATTACTATAGCTTTAGTATCTAATATATTCTAGGTATCTTAAGGGTCTTTAGGAGTAATAGGGTAGAGAGTCTTCTTTAAGATTAGGTTCTAAATACCTACGTATTAGAAAGTAATTATTTAGGCTAAGTACTATTTAGAGTAGTTATTACTCTAGAGAGATAGCTTAGGTAGAGATACTAGGTTAAGCTTAAATATAAAGCTTATAGTAGGGTATATAGCTATAGTAAGAGGAGTTACTATAGTATACTAGCGTTTAGTAGTAATATAGATGCGTTATAGATATATTATTCTAGTAATAGGTATAGTAGTAAGCCTCTAGAAGCAGTAGGATTACTATTATTTATAGTAATAAGAAGAGGAGGATGTATAATAGATATAGTTAAGAAAGAGAATAATATAGAAGTATTATTATAATACGTAGAGTACTAGGCTTATAACCTGTTAAAACGTAGTATATAGTGTAAAAGTTATAGAATTACTATAAAGAAGGCGCAAGCTTTATAGCTTGCATGCTAGTCTTAAACTAGTAATATAGACTAGGGAATTACCTCTTCTAATATTATTAACTTATTAAGATCTTTACTGTGTAGGAGTATATAAATATACACTTTAACAACGTCTAGTTAGGATAGGCCGGCAATAAACGACTATAGTGGTTGTTGGGGGGTTTACTAAGCACACAAAACCCTTCTCGGGGGTTTAGGTTGCATGGCTAGCCAATTAGCAAAAGAACACCATTACCCCCCGAAGGAAAAAGCCCGAAGCAAAAAGTGGCACAATTTTTTGATCTCCTATCAAGTCGCCCTCTTTAGCAGCACGAAACACAATCTCTGGGTTTTACATATTAAACTTTAGTAACACAACGTATATAGCACTTTTCTTGGACTTGGAACTGTCCAAAGCAAACTAAAAAGGTGCGACTAACTCTAATGTTAATAAACTTGTTGTTCTGCTTACATCTCTTAAAGCTTTGCTATTCGTTTTATCGGAGTGGTACCATGGTAATAGCTATGAGACTTTATCCAAATAATCGCCAAATAGCATCGTGATATTGTCTAGCTATCAAGTCGCTCACTAAGAATATTAAACGGAGCACAGAAGAGAGATAGTTTGATGGTTGAGATGGTTGATAAAACAAGTGATCGAGGCATAAGGCCGAACTATATGCCCAAGGTAATTGGGATGGCTGGGGCATTACATCCTGTTCAACAAAGAGAACCCCTATCCATTAGCAGGCGTTCCTAGAAACCAAGGAGAAGCGCTTCCCGTGACCTGCACTTCTACTGCATGTTACCTGCCTCCTCCTCGGTAGGCTTGTCCTTCTTCTCCACCATACCAAAGTCAGTGTCGTTCTCCTTTCTGAGCGGTACCTGCTTCATGATAGCAGCAGCCATGAACCCCACCGCGCCAAAGGCAATGGCCACCTGCCAGGACCGCTGCAGTGCGGTGCTCTGCACAGAAATGACCTGAGCACGCGTCTGTGCCGAGAGCGAGTCAAGAAAGTCGACGTCAGCGGCCCCGTATGCCCCGCCCGCCATGAACTCGGCGGCCACGGCTGCGTCGCTGATGGCGCCCGAGCCGGCCAGCTGCGCGGCCCGGTTGGCGTAAACGGTGCCGGCGACGGCAACGCCCCACATGACGCCGAAGCTACGCATGAAGCCCCACGTAGCCGTCGCCAGCGCCGTGTCCTTGTCTGTCAGCGGGGCCAGCAGCGCCGGGAGCAGGGCCGCCATGCCAAAGCCCGCGCCGAAGGACTCGAGCACCTGGAAACCCACCCATGCGCCCGTGCTCGAATTCTCGTCAAGGAGCGTGAAGACGCCAAAGCCGGCGACGATCAAGGCAAAACAAAAGACGAGTATGGGCTTGTAGCGGCCGAACTTGCTGAGTAGCAGCCCACCGAGGATGGCGCCCGGGAGGAGTGCGAGGATGGTGGGGAGAAGATAGATGCCGGCGTGGAAGCCATCTACGGCGAGAACGCCTTGGAAGTAGACGGGGAGGAAGTAGAGGACCCACATAGTGACGGTGCCGTGGAGAAAGGTGAGGAGGAAGACGATGGGGGTCGTGGAATTGGCGAAGAGGTGGAGGGGCATGATGGGATTTGGCGTAAGTCGGGCATTGCCTTCAAGCACGATGAAGACGCCCATCGTGGCCAGACCGACAAGGAGCGGCACAAGGACTTGGTAAGATGACCACGGGTATTTCCCTCCTGACCAGCCAAGGGCAATCAGCACCGGGACGGTGCCGCCCATGAAGAGCATGTTGCCCAGCCAGTCGAGGCTTGAAAACTTGGTGGCCCACGTCTGGGATTTATCATACTTGACTTGCAAGAAGGCAACCAGCAGCACAAGCCCAACACCGCCAATGGGCAGAGCCATATAGAAAGCCCAGCGCCAGGTGCTGTAGCTAACGATCAGTCCACCAAAGAGAGGGCCGAGGGCGGCTCCGATGCCGACCATGCCGAACACGGCGCCCATGTAGGTTCCTCGCTCGCGGAGCGGCACCAGGTCGCAGATGACGATCTCGCAGAGGACGCCGATGCCCGCACCTCCGATGCCCTGTATCGCTCGACCGGCGATCATCGTAGCCATGTTGGTGGCTCTGCGCATCGCCCTTCTCGTCAGCAAAGATAATGATCTCCATAAGATGAAATAGCGCCCCAGCCAGATACTGGGGAAGCATAAACTTACCCGCCACAAACACCACTCCCGATCATGAAGAGGGCCCCGGATATAATGAGGGGCCACCGGCGGCCAAACACATTTGCAAGCTGGCCAAACATCGGCATAAGAGAAGTCCTACTTAAATTTAGTCCTAAGCGCGAGAGGTGGGGGGGCGGCGAGGCTTACATGGTCAAGAAGTATGCGTTAGACACCCAGATGAAATATTCGCCCCCATCCAAATCGGCAACAAGCGATGGCATAACCGTCGACGTGACTGTGGCTTCTAGAGATGTGAGGAGGCTGATGAGTGAGAGGACAACGATGATGGCCCAGAACCTGGGTCCCTTCTGAAACTTTGGCGTCTTCTTTTCCGTCATCGCATCCTGGGCATCGACCGAAGACTCTTTAGGCTCCATAATTAAAGCGGCCGCGTCTTGTTGTGTCATCGTGCGCGATAAGATTAGTTGTAGTAGTACCACGAGTAGTCGTAGCGGTAGTAGGTGCCGCTAGTATTATGGGAGGACAGGCAGGACGTGGGGTTAATACAAGGATTGAAGCAGAATAAGCAGAGAAACTGTAGGCCTCGACCAATTTAAGGGCGAATGGCGTTCGGTAATTATAGTGGCATGGTTGGAGTAATCTATGCTCTTTAGGTAAACACCGCGGAGGGTTTCGTTAGATAAATGTTTTCCCGACCTCGCAGGGTTTTGTTTTCTTTCGCGGATGGCATAATCAGGGGTTGCAGTAGTGGAAAACAATGTAGCGAGGCTCACGGTCTTCCTCTGGGTAGCTTAAGAGTTGTACAGTTCACAATTTGTCTCGAGCCCTGGAGATGTCTTAGTGAAAACCGCACCTCTAGTTACCAGTGATCGCAGCGCAGCACACTAAGGGGTAAGCATGTTTCTAGTACCTTATGTTACGATTTGCTTTCGCTGCAGACTCAAAACAATTATAATAACATAAGTGCTGACTACCTAATATATTGGGCTTATTTTTGGTATAGTAGGCAACTTGCACTTGACAATTATTCATAACTTGCGTTCCATCGCCCTGCAATATCATGTTGTAGTCTTTATACGCAATGGTGCGATCCCAGTTTACTATTTCCGGCGGATTTTCGAAGGGGATATAATTCGGCATTATTGCTCGTAAGCCCAGACCGGGGAGAAGGTGTTACATTGGATGCGAATGTGCTCGGTGTGGTGGTAGATGCCTGATACAACAACCAGGGGAGGAAATATTGTACGAACAGGTAGCCTGGAGATGATGAAGATGGGTTGTAGACAAGTGCGATGCGAACAGTGATGGTGGTTCAATGCGGGCGCCAACGGTACTACAAGTCAGCCGCCCCACTAATGTAATCGTGCCTGAGTCCGGAACGATGGCTCGTATGATACCTTCCTGAACCAAACCGCGACTTCGTTGTCTCATCGCGTGTGGGAATGATTGGGTAGAAGCGTAGTGCTCAACGTGCGGCATGCCATGTTGACATATAGGTACGGTGAAGGCAAAAGACCTCCGGAGGGCCCCCGTGTCGTGATGTCCCTCAATTTTGTCGTGCACTCACCGTTTTGGGGTGGGCAAGTGCTGTGTAAGTCTCATGTTATTTCTAGGTGCAGCGGTGTGAGGTCTAGCTGCTGGACCTCGATTGGTCTTCCAAACCTTAATAAGCCCCCAGCTTGTTACTCGTTTTTTTGTATCGCATTGCTACAAGAAATCAGATTACGCCTAATCAATGGCAACTGTGGCCCAATTTGTCTATTTGAGTATTCCTGAGACGCCTTTGATGCAGTAAGACGGAATTCAGGCTTGCAGTTCGCGCGAGTCATGGGAGTTGACACCCAATTGCGAGGGCGATGTCATCATGCACCTATTTATATTCTATTTACTCATCTAGCAACACGTGGCATTGCCATTCGTTCAGAACCTGAGATTCGTCCGTTTTTTCAAACCAGGTTGTCTCGAGAAACACCCTTGTAGGCAATATGTTTTGGGAGAAGCCGTTCATCCTTCTGGGGCTCTTAGCTACCGTCGATAACACGGCTCTAACTCTCTCCAAGCGGCTGGACATTGACGACCTGAATAGAGAATTTACATCTTTCTGAGCTGTTACGTGAGTCTCCCTCAGGTACAGAGTTCTGCCTTGATACCCGCATTGTGTGCACTGTGTTAATCCAGCAAAGCAAACGCGAAGGTTGATTGTTCAGATTTTTGGACTTGTACTAGATATTGCTTACAGCCCATGTCAAGCTAATAGCAGATTGTGCATGCTCTGTATACGAACATTCTTTCTAGGGTACACATACGTCACATTACCCAGAAATTCCATCGATTCTGCATGTTTCTCAATATGGTAGTCTCCAGGAGAGTTCGTCGTCATGTAAATGGGCCTCGTAACAGACTAGTACGGCTCAGGAACGCGGGTCCACTGACCTACGCTGAGCCCACTGATCCTCAATGATCTTCAAAACAAGAATAATCTGATCGGGACACTGTGGCTTAAGGCGGTAATGATCTGGGGTTTCCCTAACGCTCATCAGTTCCGACGTAGATATGATGTGAGAACCAGCGCAATTCCCAGAGCTACACAGCCAATAAACACGTTGAACAACATTAATCAACATTTAGTGAACAAGCTTCCTTGTTTTTAAGCCTTTTGGAGCGGCCGCAGCTTGCCGAGTCACCCGCTAATTACGTCATTGTGCGTCTGGTGGGGTAGCTGTGCTTCGATGTAAACAACAGGTCATGCCAACTTGTAGGTAGTTAAGAATTATTGAACATTATATTCTCTTCAAACGCCCTTTCCAATTACAAAATATTTCAATTTCATCAACAAACAACCCTCATCAAATTTCCAACTCTTCCAAAATGGATAAGGCAAAGGCAGTTATCGCGGACTTCACGAGCAAGTCCGGCCACCATGACACGACCACTCACGAGGCAGTTGCTCCCGCCGTTCACCATGAGACCGTCAAGCCTCATCATCATGAAGAGGTCAACACCGTCGTTGACAAGGAGGTTCACCAGGATCACTACCACCGCACAGTCCAGCCAGTACACGACCGCGAGATTCTCCCTGAGACACACACAGCCAAGCTAGGCGGTGTTCAACATCGGGAGTTTGACCACCGTGACCACGACACTACAAAGCATCACTTGGCTCAAGAGCAAGCTCAGTTCAGAGATGAGAAGCGCGTTGATGCTACCACAAAGAGTCAGAGCGTAGCTCCCACAGTCGGCGGTGTGAGTAAAGCCTATCATACGATGCAAACGTGGGACAAATACTAATTCACACTAGGAGCACGTACATCATCACATCCACGAAACTATTCAGCCAGTCATACATAAGGAGTCAATCCAACCTAATGTAGTGCACACCACTGTACCAATCCATGAGGTTCACCACCAAAAGGCCACTCACCACGATACCACTGCGCTACCCGCGATGTCCATGGATGAGTTCAAGGCTAAGGACGGAGTCCTTACCGGCCGTGAGGAGCGTTACGACGAATTCGAGGGCGTTCCCAAGGGTATTGGAGGTAGCACAGCTGGCGGACTTGGTGCTGCTCACGGCACTGAACATCGTGCTGCCCACGGCTCCGAACATGGTGCCGTGCATGGCACTGAACATCGTGCTGCCCACGACTCCAAACATGAGACTGGTCACAAGCCGAGTTTGATGGATAAACTGAACCCCAAAGTTGATTCGAACGGCGATGGCAAGGCTGGTTTCATGAAATGAGTATTTAATCCACCATAGCTGGGAGGGCGAAAAAGCCTTGTTGCAGTAAAATAGTTCAGGAAGAATAATGAGAACAGAATCAATGATATCTTCCAATCACTTTTTGCGTTCTAAATTGTAGTAGAAATGAGACCGCGACTAAGCGGCATGAAGGCACTTGAAAAGGGCGTTCAAAAATACCGACCAATAATGCTGTAGGCTGTCTACGGCACAGTGACGTAGGCCCCTTAGCCGATCTGTATTATCTGGGAGGTTATTGATCAGATAGCAAGTTTTAAGTAAGTAATAGCACTCATAACCATTCTCGAATTCAGCCCTGTCCCGGCTCTACTGTGACAAAAGCGGAGTGGGGTATCCCAACTGCATGTCTTATTGGTGATGTCATGTCCCAGCTTCTCGCGTCACGCATTGCTCAACCAGATAACAACATGATCTTCACGACCTTACCGTCATACCCTTATCCTATTCTGCTACCTATTCCTCATGTGCAACAATGCTCTCAGTCACAAGTCGCTCATTGCGCATCAGCTCAGCCCAGCGCTGATGCTAGATCGCTCGGGTATCATCGTCTCCACCAACGAAGGTGCCGTTCGCTTGATTTTTCCTCAACATCAAGATTCGCCTCCCAGCACCAACAGCTCTTTGCTTGGCAAAAGCCTTGTGGATCTCGGTATCGTTCTCCTGCCTGGGAAATCGCCGGTTTTCTGGACTTGGGATGAGGTTCTCAACGCCGCCAGAGGTAGAATCGAATCACATGACAGTGTGATGCGAGACGGCGGGGATGTTTCAAGCGTGGCACACACAATTATTCATCAAGATACTGAAGAGTTTTGGGATCACGAAGCTGAGCGGCAATCGATTGTTGAAAGTGACATCTACGTTACCCGACATACCCTGAAACAAGTCGGTCATGGCACAAATGAGTCCCCAATTCGCCCACATATGATCAGAGCCAGAGCGAATGTTCGTTGGCTTCCTTCAAGTTCTGAAGGTCACTACCTCGTTACATTTTGTAGGACGTCCTTACCTCAACGGAGTACAGCGGTAACGCCGAAATCTCGAACAGCATCAGTTGGCGGCGGGGGAAGTACCATTGCTAAGTTGCCTGACCCTGCATCTTTCTTTGCCTCGTGTTTTCCAGAAGATTTGGGTTCAACTTTCAGTCTAGAAATGAAAGATCTTATGCCAGATGCCTCCAATATCGCTTCTTCTATCGTTCCCTATATCGTATCGACATTAGATACAGATGGCCAGGTTTATCATCTCACGGACTCTTGGTATCACCTTACTGGACTTAGCGAAAGTGAGAGCCTCGGTAGCGGTTGGGCGTCGGCTGTGCACCCCGAAGACGTAAGTGACCTGTGGGTGTTCTCTGTAAGAAGCAAACACTGATAGCGTTGTGATGACGTTAGGTACCTGCGATGACTGTTGCTTGGGCTGATGTGCTCCGAAACGAAAGAAGTGACTGGACCTATCCAGCGCGTGTCCGGCGAGCCTCAGACGGGACGTACTGTTGGTTCTTGATCCGGACACAGCCCCACAGAGACGATTCTGGGAAGCTACTGCGCTGGTACGCGTCTATGATAGATATTCACGAATGGGTCATTGCCAGACTCGAAGCAGACAGGCAACGACAATCGATACTTACATTGTTTTCCCAAACAGACGTTATGTTATGGGGTATTGACAAATCAAATCACATATACATATGTGAGGGGCGCCTTGACTGGGACCCCACAAGAATTGTCGCCCTGTTGGATCGCCTACAACAAGGAAAGACCTCAAAGACTGCACCTATTGACAACGCGGCACCCTGCCCAGATCCTGATGCGGACAAAGAGCTCATCCTCACGATCCAAGCGGTGCTCGAGGGGCGTGCTTTTACTCCTACTGTTGAGCACTGGGAGGGGGACCGTTATTTTAGGACTCGCTTTGTCGCTGAACGTACAGTTCCATTTTATGATGCAGCTACGGGTAGAGAGAATTCGGTACAAGCAGCACTAGCCTTGACATTTGATATCACTGAAGAGAATGCCCGGGTGACGCTACAAAAGGAGAATGAAAGGTTAGTGACGAACGAAAAGGCCGCTGTTGATGCGAGCACCTTGAAAAGTCGGTTTCTTGCCAATGTTAGTACATGCTCTCGACATGGATTTACTCGCTAACGTGCCTTTGAAGATGTCTCACGAGATTCGCACTCCAATCTCTGGTATAATTGGTCTTAGTGAACACCTGTCCGATTGTGGTTTAACCGAAGAGCAAACAGAGTTCTGTAGCAGCATCCGCGAGAGTGCAAAATTCCTTCTCACAGTCATCAACGATGTTCTGGATTTCAGCAAATTGGAATCAGGACACATGGATGTGGAATCGATTCCCTTTGCACCCAACAAGCTCATCAGTGACACTATCATCCCACTGCGACTTCAAGCTGAGGAGAGAGGCATTGCTCTCAATTGGACATACAAAGGTCCATCCGAAGAGGTCCTGCATGGGGATCCGTGGAGAGTACGTCAAATCATAACCAACCTGATCTCGAATAGCCTTAAGTTCACACAAGAAGGTCGCATCGATCTCACTGTGCAACCCATTGATATCAAGGGCAATCAGCTGCTGGTTGAATTCATCGTACTGGACACTGGAATTGGTATCACGGAAGAGGCGATGAAATGCCTATTCAAGCCGTTTACGCAGGCTGATAATTCAACAGCTAGATTGTATGGAGGCACTGGGCTGGGTTTGTCAATCTGCCGACAACTTCTCGAGCTTATGGGTGGTCAGATTACATTGAAGTCTATCCGTGGGCAAGGGACTACCGCGACCTGCAGGATCCCATTTCGAAAGTTTGATGGCCCTCCTGGCGACATGGTCATGTCGACCTCTTTACCTGCTCGAGCAATGAGACAGGACCCAGCCAAGATAAAACCGAACACGGCGCCTCATCCTCAGCATGCATCACTCGAAGGCTCGAAATACGAACGCCTTGTTTCTTTGCAAGAGAACAAATCACCGGCCGACTACCACATACTTCTGGTAGAAGATAATCTAGTGAACCGCAAAGTTATTGCGTTAGCTGTAAAGAAGTTAGGGTATGCTGTCTCTACTGCATGCAACGGACAGGAAGCACTCGATTACCTGTGCAAAACATCTGTACAGCCTCGTCCCGATGCTGTGCTAATGGATTGCATGATGCCAGTCGTTGATGGCTACGAAGCTACGCGCAAACTCCGCAGCGACAGCGACATGTTCGACGAAGAAGTGCGTACTTTGCCTATCATCGCACTCACCGCCAGCGCCATCAAGGGAGATAAAGAGAAATGTTGGGAGGCAGGCATGGACGACTACTTGACTAAGCCTGCTGCAAGGGAAGATTTGATGAGGATGTTATTAAAATGGATTGCGCCTCAGGAACACCAAAACTGATGAACGGTTACACGATCGCTGATCTCCTCAACACGCGACTCCACGATCGATGTTGATGTGCAAACACTGGCTTCGCTCGAGATCTATAGCTGCTCAAGATTCTCGTTGTATTCAAAACTGTGATAAAGAAGAGGGGAACAGGAAATTCTATTCTGGCTAAAATTCACGGAGAAGTTACTTACATATACCTACCTATACTCCTGTATGAGAAGCCTGAGTAGATTCGGGATATCAAATCGGGGCTATTACCTACGACATACAACATCGACTGATCGTTCCTGGTGCTCATCAAGGGCCAAGCATCGGCTGTGATATTCTCTGTACATGCCTGTTTCCCCTTTCAATTGCTGCTCCGTTGGAAGCGACGTGATATCCCCATGCCCAGACAATTTACAACTGAGACGTCAGTATCAGCATCAACAATCTTCGTTGCAAGCTGATACGACTGCTTTTCCAGCCGAGGCAAAAGGTCTCTTTGACATAACGTAAGCTTGATTACTCACATCCCCTATTATACATGCTCTCCGTACGTTCTCAGTCCTTCTGGCCCTCAAGATTCAGCCTTTCAAACGCATGAGGACTTTATTGGAGGGCAGATATTTGGCCGCTATAACCTTTCATGCACCACAGTACGTTCCTCTATCGAAAAACTGTTAAAACCGAAGCAAATACCTACTGCTGTCAAGATATTAGTGCAACTTTCTCTCCATTTGCATTGTAGATGGGACTGCTGATGTGACCAGCCCGCAACCACAAGTGTATACGATCGAGTCGACCAAATCTTCACAACCGAGTAAGATGTACACTGCTACTCATCAACTCAAAGTGACATTGTGATATGAAAAAGATCGCTCGGGTGTGACCATTGAGAAGAACATGTCAAAAAGGCATTTGCCATTGGGTTGAATTGGGGCCAAATGAATGTACATGTAATAACTATCGTAGTCCAATTTTATAATGTTTGTTCTCATTGTCTATAGACACTTGACAAAGTGTCACTCTTCTTGTAGGGTACGTTGTGTTCGTCGAGTTCAAACATGGCAAATCTCTTACCTCAAAATCGTGTACCTCCTTGCCAAGGTCAATCGCAGGAACTTTTCTCGAATTGGACCGACACCCAAGGACTGTGTTGGAATAGCAGCCATATGTGTGGAAGATTCATTACAAGTCTGATGTTAAGTTGACTTTCGTTTTAGTCTTCGGTTCCGAATCCTACGTTCTGGCTACGAAGAGATCTGGATCTCAGATGTACAATATACACGAATACTGCGATGCCGCGCAAATTAACAACACATTTCTCCACAATTATCAGATTTGGGACATGCTGTCCTGTTCTTAAGTATGCTGTCGAGGACAAGAAACCGAAATTGATTCATTCAACTACCAATCTGACTACGTTTGGCAACTTCCCACTTTGACTTCCTCGACCTGCATTTCCAACCCCAAAAACCGATTCCACCGCTAAAAACGTTGCCACCTACGTTCCACCCGGCAGTTTGCAGCCGCCAAAGTACAAATCATCAGTCGAAATAACCTCCATCTGATGCAAAACGACAGAACTATCATATCGCGCACACTTGATCCAAACATGCTTAGAAAACAGCACCTTGGCGTAATAAGGATCAACCTGAAAGCTCTCCGTGACCTTCTTCTCGCTATACTCGGTGAAGGACGTGGAAGTGTTGTACGTGAACTGGTAGTTGAGGCTCACCGAGCCGCTTGCCAAGCCGATGCCGTATGAGGCCGAGACGTCCACACCAGTGCTATGCGTCATCTCCTCGCGCTCCTCCTTGCTCACGCCGCAGGTGATCTCTTGGGCGCGTGAGAAGGCGCTGGGCGTTTGGTTTGCCCATACGCCTTCCACGTACCACGCGATGGAGCGGCTGATGTCCAAGAACGGGTTGCGGATGTTGTCCAGACTGGCCTGATGGGTTGGGCCGAAGTAGCAGTGGAAGGGAAGTGTGACCTTGCACTGCTCTTGGTTTGAGTATTGTTTGCCTTTTTCAGGCAGCTTCTTTGCGTCAAGCGTTGGAATGGCCGTGTCGAATTGTTTGAAGTGCTTCCCTATGGGGAGCTGCAAGACGCGTGCAGCTTCGCCATCTGGCCGCGAGTAGTTGCCTTGGGTTCGGAATGTGTCGCCGGCGATGGGGAGATTCGAGGCACCATCGATACCTACGGTGTCAGTTTCGACTGACCAAAGGGAAACATCCTTGGCCGCGCCTGACTTGACATCATCCCAGACGCTGGTTGCGAGGAACCTTCCGTAGCCGACGAGGTCTTCGCGAACGCACCAGATTTTGTTCACATTGGGCTTGTTATGATCAGAGCCAACATCCCCCAATGCTACGTATCCTGCAGGGGGTACGGGGCGCCAAAAAGCACCGTTTTTAGTGGCGCCGGACTTGGTGTCCCTCCAGATCTCAGTGTAGTCGACTGGCCTGGCGACTGCTGACTTGGACGGCTTTGTATTGGGGTTTTGTCCCACAATCAGTGAGCCTCGCTTGCCGTTGATATCGTTGTGGTGTGGCTCTACGTGGCTTCCGACGGGGTAAAGGTCTCCCTGGGAGTTTGGGGTCCACACACCAACATCTCGACTAGCACCGCTGCCGGTGTCATCCCAGTTCCAAGTATAACTGGAAGTCATAGAGATCCTCAGATCACCATAGTCGAAGGTCTTGTTGGCCATTTTGGTAAGTGGATTGGGAAGTCAGATAGAGCGATAATATTTGAGATTGATTCTTGATGTATCAGGAGTGGGTGTGTTTGATCTCGGATGGATTGTGTGAGTGGGTGAGGAAAGCGGTCCTATTTATGTTAGATTTGATCTGGTAACTTGTTCGCAGAAAGTTGTTGACCTTGCCGTGTTGCATTCATCACTACTCGCAACTCAACCCCATGCTCGGACTGGCCCGCCGGGTATGAAGGGACGGGCCTTTGAATCGGGTACAGGTGCATTCGGGTATCGGGTTAAGCTAGCGCTAACGCAACATGGTGTTGGACGAAAGTGGCGAGAATGCTATGCAATTGGATCGACTCTTCCTATGTGTCTCGTTATCCAAAAGAGTGTCTCTTCGTCTTACATGCAGCACATCGGGTTGAGCTTGAGATGGCGCTGTTGCATGACAAGACATAGATTTTCGCGCCTAGGTTACACCACTTTGAAAAACAATAGAGGGTGCTTGATGGTGTGCATGAGAATAAGGAGTCTTTTACATAATGGTAAGACTGGTGATATGTTGGAAGAAAACGCATACTGCTTGGTAGTTCTTTGATCTCACGATTGAAACGAAGTTTGGTTAAACAATGGTGGTTACCACAGGTTTAGTGTTCAGTTATTGATTCGTCGCACTTCACCTGTCGATTGGACTGTATCCTAAAACGAGTACAAAATCACGTGCGTCTCTGATTCCGGTAAGTTTGGTCACTCGCTAGGGATCCATTCGACAGCCATGCGCTACATCGAGATTGTCGGCGGAGCTGCGAAGAAGTGCATCTGTTCGAACGCTGAGTGCGCTGGCTGACACGCTGTGACACTTTTAACCCCTCTATAGCGAATATGCGTTTACGTTGCATCGACGATATCGCTGGGCCGATGATGTGGGAAAGTCGAACCACAACCAAGGCCTAAGAGAGCAAGCAAGAGGGCGGGGTCACCGCAAGAACGCGGATCATGCCTAAGTTGTGTTGATTACTGCTAGGCAGATTGGAAGAGCCAGAGACTGGAACAGACAAGCATTACGCGTTGGGAAAGTGCTTGCTGTTGAACTCGTCGACGATCTCTCGCGCTGCTTTGACTATCTCCACTGCCCCAGGAGAATCCGAATGACAGCAAATGGAGACCTCATGATCGCCCACCGGGAGCTGCAGCTCCTCGCCAGAGACTGCTGTGACAGTCGCATCCTCGACTTGAGTCCGTACATGCTTCTTGATGTCGTCGGGATGCCATGCCTTTTTCTTCCGGTCGATGACAAGCGTCTTGTCGCTGTTGTACTTGACGTCCCCGTAAAGCTCGGCGACAAAAGGCAATCCAAGCTCGTTTGCAACTTCCTCATGCAGTGTGCCGGCCAGCCCAAATACGGTTGTACCCTTGGGCACAGCTGCATACACTGCTCGACAGACTTCTCTGTCCCTATACATCATACCATAGAGCGCGCCGTGAGGTTTGACGTGGTGTAATGGTATAGCTTCTGCGTCCAAGAACGCCTTGAGCGCCCCGATTTGATATCGCACCGCGGCGGTCAATTCTTCGGGAGCCATCTTGATCTCACGGCGACCGAAGCCTTGAATATCGGGTAGCCCAGGGTGAGCGCCGACTGCGATGTTGTGCTTTTTGCACGCGAGGACAGTTTGATGCATTATGAGAGGGTCACTGGGCTTCATGTATTAGCGGAGCTCATGGAGTCGCAAAGGCAGGTACGTACCCAGCATGGAAGCCGCAAGCCACATTCGCATAATCAATGAGGGGCATCAGCTCATCATCAGGCCCACACTTGAAGTTCCCGTATCCTTCGCCCAAGTCGACATTGATCTTGACTGGATGCTTGATCGTCGGCATCTTGGTGTTGCGTGTCGTGGTGGCAGGATCGTAGATGCTATGCTGTAGCTTCATCGTTCGCGACCCTTGCCATCAACCCCACCTTTCAACGCAATCAAGTGACGTCGATCATACAAGCCGTCACTTGCCGAAACAATCGCATGTCGCAAAGCGGGGATGTCAAGGTAACGGCGCGATAAGGGCGAAGGCGCGAGGAAGGAGGGGTTGCCGTGAGAATGAGGCTCGGCGCAGCATGTTGTGACCACCCTCGGGACATAGGACAAAGTCCTGGATACACGCTGTGCTAAGGAGCCATGGAGAAAATCAAGACGCTGCTGATTGCGAACCGTGGCGAGATCGCGGTATGTTCAGAGAGTAAACAAAGCCTCTTATCGATAAAGGTTCGTGCTCACATTTCCTCACGTGCCAGGTACGCATAGCAAGAACTGCGAAGAAACTCAGCATCCACACCATCGCCATCTACTCAGAAGCCGACGCTGCATCTCAGCATGTTCGCGATGCCGACGAAGCGGTGCTGTTGCCGGGGAGCAACGCGACAGCTTACATCGACGAGGAAGCTATTCTCCAGATAGCGAAACAAAAGGGAGTAGACGCAATCATCCCCGGCTACGGGTTCCTGTCCGAGAATGCTCATTTCGCGCGACTGGTGAGCGAGGCGGGCCTCGTATGGGTCGGCCCTTCACCGGAGTCTATCGAGGCATTCGGTATCAAACACACCGCAAGAGGCCTGGCTGAGAGCGCACACGTGCCCATCGTACCAGGCACCAAAGGGCTCGTTGAAAATGAGGAGGCAGCTGCATCAGAAGCTGAGCGTATCGGTTTCCCCGTCATGTTGAAGGCAACAGGTGGTGGCGGTGGCATGGGCCTCATCACCTGCAACAAGGTCGAAGAAGTGCGTGACGGTTTTCGAATGGTGCAGTCGCGTGGTAAGACGCTCTTCAAAAATCCAGGTGTATTCATCGAGGCCTTCTTTCCCGCGAGTCATCACATTGAAATCCAAGTGTTCGGCAATGGGCAGGGTCAAGCCATTCACTTTGGTGAGCGCGAATGTTCTATTCAACGACGCCACCAGAAAGTCATCGAAGAATGCCCAAGTCCTTTCGTAGAAAAACATCCCGAGTTGCGACAAAAGCTAGGCGATGCGGCGGTTCGCCTAGCCGAGTCAATCAAGTATGGTTCCGCGGGGACTGTTGAATATCTTGTGGACGACAAGTCGGGAGACTTCTTCTTCCTTGAGATGAACACGAGACTCCAAGTCGAGCACGGCATTACCGAGCTATGCTACGATGTTGACTTGGTAGAACTCATGCTCAGGCAAGCTGATGCCCAACTTACAGGCAAGGGTGGGCTTGACGGCGAGACTCTGAAGCAGATGCAGCCACTGGAGCCTTCAGGTTCAGCTATAGAGGCCCGTGTCTATGCTGAGAACCCACTGAAAGACTATGCTCCTTCACCTGGGTTGCTTCAGAAGGTCGAATGGGAAGATGTCCCCGGCAGTCGCGTTGACACATGGGTGTTCACAGGATCGCGCGTCACTCCGAACTACGATCCTCTTATTGCAAAAGCTATGGTTCACTCTACGAATAGACAGGACACAATTGCTGGCATGAAGCGACTCCTCACTCAATCTTCCATTTGTGGGCCACCTACAAATTTACAATTTCTCGCCAGCATCCTGAACGATCCGCGCTTCAAAGCGGGCAATACAATGACCAGCTTCCTGCAGGATTTCAAGTATAACCCGCACGTAATCGACGTGATCTCGGCAGGCGCATACACTCTGATTCAGGACTTACCTGGTCGACCAACTGTCGGCAAAGGCATACCTCACTCCGGGCCGATGGACCCCATGGCATTCCAGATCGCGAACATACTCGTAGGAAATCCGCGTGGTAAAGAGGGCTTAGAGATCACACTAAGCGGACCGGAACTACGATTTGTTGGTCCTGTTATCGTTGCGTTATGCGGTGCACCCATGGAAGCCGTACTTGATGGCAATGACTTTCCCATGTGGACAAGTGTGAAGATCGAAGCTGGCCAGAAGCTCAAAATTGGAAAGACCACTGGTGATGGATGTCGCTCGTATCTGGCTGTTCACGGGGGGTTTCCTGCAGTTGCAGACTACTTCGGCTCAAAATCGACGTCTCCACTGGTTGCAATTGGTGGCTATCAGGGTCGGGCACTAGCACCAAGCGACTTGCTGCAAATCTCAGACAGCCTGCCAGATAACTTCACATCTGTCGTCCTTCCAGATAATCTGCGATTGACATATCAATCGAAATGGGAGATTGCAGCCATGGTTGGGCCTCATGACGAGGGCTACTTTGATCCTAACTTCATCGAAACTATATATGATACGGAGTGGAAGGTCTCACACAACGCCTCGCGCAGTGGTATCAGGCTCGTCGGACCCGTACCCAAGTGGGCGCGAAAAGATGGTGGCGAGGGTGGTGCACACCCAAGCAATTTGATCGAGTACGGATACCCATTGGGCGCTTTGAACTGGACAGGAGACGAGCCATGTATCTTTCCTGTTGACTGTCCCAATTTCGGTGGCTTCACGAGTAGCACAACGGTTATCAGGGCGGACTGGTGGAAACTTGGACAGCTCAAGGCAGGCAATACTTTGAGGTACATTCGCGTTGGCCTTGAGGGAGCGTTGGAGGAGAGGAAGCGAAATGAGGCCTTTCTCGATTCGATTGAGCAAGCGATCAAGTCCTCCAGCGGGTTCGACAAGATAGAAAAGCTCGATGGTGTGAGATTCGATGAGCGCGACGGCGGCAAAGCGGTGGTATGGGAGAAAGAAGGCGATGGAAATACTCCCAAAGTCAGATACCGACAGGGAGGCGATGATCACCTGCTCATAGAATACGGCGACGAGTCTTTCGACCTCAACCACCGTTGCCGTGTCACTGCTCTCGAAAACGCCCTGCATTCTGACTCAACGCCTGAAAACATCAAACTCAACCTCTACAACACTGTCGGATGCTGCACAACGCTTTTACTCTACTACAATGGTGCCAGCCTTCCTCGATCAGATCTCATTGCGCACCTGCAAAACATCGAATCACAACTAGGCGATTTGCGCGCCACCAAGGTCCCCACACGCATCTTCAAACTCCCCATCTCCTTCGAATCCAAACTCCAAGACGAAGCAACCCAGCGATACATGATGAACCAACGTCCTCACGCACCCTATCTCCCCGACAACCTCGCATTCGTGGCAAAGAACAACGCCTTCTCGTCTCAGCAGCTCAAAGATATCTACCTCACAGGTCAATTCATGGCGGTCGTCGTTGGCTTCTTCTGCGGCAACACAGTCTCGCTACCTGTAGATCCTCGCCAGCGTCTCTCCGCGCCCAAAATGAATCCAAGTCGTGTCTTCACGCCAGAAGGAACGGTGGGCTGGGCAGGAAGCTGCATGTCGATTTACCCCGTGGATTCGCCTGGCGGGTACCAGATGACAGGTCGCACGGTGCCGTGCTGGGATTACTATTCGTATAAGCCTGGTTTCGTGAAAGACGCACAGCCATGGATCTTCCGTGACTTCGACATCCTGACGTTCTATCAGGTTAGCGAGCAGGAACTCGATGGCTTGCTGGCTGATTTCCGGGCAGGCAAGTATGACTGGGAATACGATGAGTTTGAGTTCGATATGGCGGAACATAACAAGCTGCTGGCGAGCACTCGCGAGGAAGTCGCAGAGATAAGAAAGAAGCAAGCTGTCGCGCAAGATGAGATGACGAAGGCGGAGAATGAGAGCTTGGAGCGCTGGCGAAAAGAGAAAGCCGAAAGTCAGGTCGATGAAGGGACGGTGGAGAAGTTGCTTGATGATCCAAACATTGTAGGTGTGGAGGCACCGGTTGATGCGAATGTCTGGAAAGTCGAAGTCAAGGAGGGGGATAATATTGATGATGAAACTGTGGTGAGTGACCTGCATCTATTGTGTCGCTAGCGCGGAGCGTGTCGCAATCGTCCTCAAAACACTTTTCAGTACGACTCTTTGCGAGTATAACATGCTGACGCGGCGCAGATTGTAATTCTCGAAGCGATGAAGCTCGAGATTGCTGTGAAGACACCGGAGTCTGCAGCACAGGCAGGGAAGCTGAAGGTAGAAAGGATACTGGTGAAGTCTGGTGACACGGTAACGGCTGGACGGCACTTGGTCTTGCTCCGTGTTTCGAAAGGGTGAAGTGATGCGGGTCAGTAGATGAAGCAGTTATGTCGGTTGTTTGTGATGCTTGCTATAGCTATCCGAACGGCTTGAACGCGAAAATTTTGACACGTATATCTATCACAGCATCTAGAGTTTATGCTGTACATTATTCACGCAATGCATACTTATTCCCATGAGTCAAGAACTCAATAAAATCCTTTCACTTGAGACTGCACTCATGATTGAGCGTCAAGTAACTAGATAGGGCAATACCGCTAACGTCGCGACTCTAGGCTTGAAAAAGTCTTACATTGCACGAAATATTGTGATATTCTATTTTTCCAAACAAATTCCTCACTTACAGTGAGGTTTCTTCTTCTCTACCCAGGTCTACGCTGGATACCTCGCTTTGATAGCATCATACTCCTTCTGCGTAATCTGCGTCACAGAGCCATGCTTCAGCCCCGCAGGAAACCCGGTAGTGTTTGACGCAGTCCACTTCCCTAAGCTTACAGATTCAAAAGGAACATACTGCGTATAATTGTCCAGAAGCAGATGATACTTCCCAGCCACCAAGTTGTCCGCATACGACGCCGTGCCCTCCCACGGACTTCCAGAAGTGACGTATCCGGGAACTCTCGTCCACGATCCGAAAAGGCCACCAGTTGTGTTTTCCTGGTAAACTTGGAGGGTAGTCTCGTTTTTGATGAAGCGCGAGAAGTGGCCGGGTTTCCCGAGGTACTGGAATTCCTGGTCGATGACGGGGGTTCCCGCCGGCGCGACGTAGTCCTTGGGGGTGCTAAAGGTAGAGAAATCTTTGGTAGTTGCGTAGCGAATGCGGTCGAGTCCTGCGGTTCCGGTGTGGGCGGTGTCTGAAGAGGCATAGAGGCGTGAGGCCCAGAAAACGTAGAATCGTTGTGTTGCATCGTCCCATACTGCGGAGGGGGCCCATACCATGCCGGCAGTGGCGCCTTCGATGCTGTGATGGTGTTAGATCTGAGTCATGGGGATGCGGAAGTGACGTTGACTAACGTTTTCAGGCTCGAAGATGACCAATCAATGAGGTTGCTTGATTTCCAAACAACGATGCCACGACTACCTGTACGGGTTGCTGCGTCCCAGGAGAAGCCAGAAGCATTGATATCTAAGTCTGTAGCGATCAAATAGTGTTGGGTGCGAGCGCTGTTTGATGCCAGAAAGACATCCCGTACAGCTTTAGTGCCGACTGTCGAAGTCAAGACAGGATTGCCCTTGTTCAGTTTGGTGAAGCTCGTGGGCGAGTTGCCATTCGAGAGGTACCACTGAACTGTCGGATTTACATCCGAGAACGTCGAGATGAGATACCCGGCATAACTACTTTGGCGTCTATCCTGCAGAGGACTTGCGAGGGTGATTTGGAAAAGAGCTGAAACAGCTGCTAGCGAATATGTAAAGAACCTCATCTTGAAGGATTGCTGCAAGATCACGAGCGCATATTGATCATCTATATACAGTATCTTTTCAGACGGCGTTCCGCCATTGACCAATGGACGGAAAATCTCAAGAAGTAGATCTCGTATATGTTGAAGATCTCCGGGCTTATGTTCCCCGCATCTATACAATATTCCGTAACAGCTAGCTGTATTTGGCAGGAATCTGGGGTTGGCGTCTGGGCGCGGACATCCCAAATTACGGCACGTTGTTGCCGGAATTGGAATGTCTCTGGACCTATGGGATATTGTTGCAAACTACACAAATGAGAGTTAGGGCAGCTCAGTTTCATTTGACTGATTTTCGGAATGCTGTCGTTGCAATGGTTTGCCCCTGCATCAAAATACGTGGTTTCTTGTGAGTTCGTTTTATGCCCGTTATGGATGAGACAACGTGCAGTTTGCCGAGGCACGGACTGCTGCTGATACATTTCTACCACATGACTACGTCATACTGTTAGTGACATGCTGAATTTCCGAGAATCACGTTCGTACGTACCTTTCTTATTTCTTTTAATTAATGAGGGTTTTCACGGCTGAAGCGGACTTCAAACAGATGTCTGAAGTTCTATTAAAGAAAGATGTAAAGAGGTTACAACGAAGCGCAAAACCGCATGTACTGTCCATTACGGAAGCTCAAAATGCGACTTCCAAGTCATTGAGTGACTTTTAAATCAGAATGGATGTCAGCATGACTTACATCGAAATAAACAAGAGCGTGCTTACTTTGACACGACGTTCTACAAAGGTATCAAAACCTCCAGGGAATCAGACTTGATATCTGGTCGCCAAAATGACTATGTTAGAAGTATCCCATTCACCATGGTATTCTGCTAATCCAACGTTTGATTAACTGCGTCTAGGAGTAGATTGCAAGAGATAGAAAAAGGAAGAGAGACTGCATTGCGAAGATCTGGACTGTAGATTCCCTTGAAAGCATTGTCATCTCAGGATTGTATACATTTCGATAGACTACTAGCTTTACATGGGATACCTCATGATACATATCACCCTGAGGCCGTAGGTCTAGGCCTGACGCTTTTGCTCATGCCAGAGAACTTGAGTCAACCGACCCGCCCAAAGCTGTTTAAGAAGCCTCCCGGCCTCGCCCTCGGCATGCAAACACACACTGAATGAAACCTCGTCATTCTTAGCCACAACCCAGATTCGCGAGACATAGATTCCAATATCTTTAGGCAGAGTCACCGGGTGTCCGCAGGTCATCACTCGACGCACACTACCATCAGCTTGCTTGAACACCTCCCCATATGTTTCACTTATGACCTTTATAATCGCTTCCCTGTTGTAGTTCAGGTATGCGTGGGTTTGAGCAACAAACTGACCCAACGTGATTGGGCTCCCATCCTCATTGTCGATTGTCAGGCGGGCTGGTGGCTGGTATTGATACGGGTAGTTCATGCCCTTGTCGAGATATCGCTGCTCCTCTGCGTATTTGTCTTCACAGACATCAATACCCACCTGGATGCGACTCAGCGGTGGATCGGCAAGGGACTCGTCCGCAAGAGGATGGCCGAGGAACAAAACGTTTGTGGTCTGATCGTGGGGACCAATTGTGATTTCGATATGCTCTAAGGTGGCCGAGATGTTCCAGCGCAGGCGGAACAGAAGATCCTGGCGGATGCGATCATCTAGATCAACAAACATCCCGTGGTCTGGCGTTGGAGCAAGGTATGTTGGAAATAGAATTTTGTGTTCGGATGTGAAAGCGGTGTGACATGCGGCGCAGCTTTATAAAAACTCTCTGCAAAGGCTAGCTCCACCTTACTGATTGCTTGGCGATGCAATACTGAGTTCATATCTCACGCCACGTGAGTTCAGACCTGCAAGTTCAGCACCACCCACTAATTTCACTCCTTCACATTGCTGATAGCATTGACACCAACGCTTATGCCTCGTGCGTTTTCTCTGAAACCTCAGTGTGACATGCGAACAGGTTGTTATCTCCAACCAATAACTCCGTCTCCTTCTCGGTTCTTTCACCTATCTCCTCTGTAGCTACTTAGTCAAGATCTAGCGATACTGGCAGGTTTGCGAGCTGTGTCGATAAAACTACATACTTGCGCCGTCTTCTTTAACGCAAAGTGCTTTGGCATAGTTTTGCAAATCATCTCACTTCCGCATGTCGTGCCTTCAAGGTTTGTTTCGTTTTCCTGATTTTGGCTCCTTTGTCACCCCAGAGTGACTTCTCACGGTCGCTTTCGCATTGGCATATTGGTCTCCCTCTCGATGCTCCGTCTTGTTGTTGTGAAGTTTCTATGCGCCCGCAGTCGTCACAACATCGAACCTGACCTCGTTTCTCGCATCGCTCGCAAACTACGAGCACGAGATGGCACCCTGTTCCAGCACACTTTCCGAGGCGATCCTCCGATATGCCGCACTCGTGACAAGTTGATACTTTCTTTCGAGTATCGGCGTCCATACTTATTGATCCTCGGCCATCGAACACATAGTTTGTTCCTCTGAAAAAGCTGTCCTCTTGCGTTTTCCTTCCCGCCTCGATTTCTTGCTGTATCCATGCCTGATATGCCACGATTCCACCATGAAGAGTGTATACTGGAGCATCGCTACGGTCCCCTTCTGCGGCCAAAGCCTCCTGCATCCAGCGCGCGCCTTTCTCACATCGAATGCCACCCGTACAATAAGTGGCGATTGGCTTTTTGTAGATCTCGTTTCCAAGCACATGTCTCGCCACGTACCCGGGCCATTGACTGAACCTGCGCACCGCTGGTCGAACAGCTGCTTCGTCGTTACTCGTGACAAAATAACCGATTCGCGACTCGTAATGATTCCGGACATCGATGAGTGGTATTGAGCCTTCCTTGCAGATTTCGTGGAATTGCTCTGGGGAGAGTGAAACAACATTTGACCATGACGCAGGTGAGTAGTTCGTGATTCCTAGCGGTGTGATCTCGGCTGTCACTCTGACAGAGGCACTTCCACCAAACGCGCAAGCACAGCCAGCTGTAGGTTTGAAGAATGCATTACGTGCTTCCACAGTCGATAAATCGATGCCAGAAAAAGCCCAATGGTTGCGACACTCCTCTATGTATCCCTGGATGAATGAAGTGCTTCCGCCGAGCGTGATGTTGAAGCCTTCCTTTGCGATCCTGAACTTGCCACCCAGATCGAACCGCAAGGCGAGGTCTTTGTGAAAGTTAGCCAGCGATTGAGGATCCTTGGCGTGCGACGAATGTTCTGATAAGAGCCTGGGTGAATTTTCCCAGTAGCGGTAAAAGAGCAGGACTTCTCCGCCCAGCGCCTGCGCGGGACATGTGCACGTGTATGACACCGGATCGGAATTATCATGTGTTTTCGAACCCATATCCAAAGCGCCGGGATGTGATGCAAGTGATCCTGTAGGTACGAAAGAAAGCTTGAACAACGCAGCGAGTCAGATCGAAGTGGAGCGCGTCAGGTCGCGCAATAATTGTGCTAGATGAGGTAAGCGTAGCCCCTGCAACCATAACCACAACCGAGCTCTCGGTTAGTCGAAATACCCGGAATCAAGGTCTGTTCTTTGCAGCAACACAGCAACCCTAACGTGCAAGATTGAAAGTACTACGAATATATGCATGCTGGTAGGCGTATACAAACAACGCGTAAGGCGTAGGAATCTGACAGTTTTTTTGAATGTAGTTGTCAAGCTGTTGTAAGAACCAAGTACTCTTGTTTCTTCTTTTGCTTGCACAGAGTACCTATGCCCATTGCTGGTAGAATATCTGTCAGCGACTCTCCCAAAATCCATGTGCCCATATCGATATAAATAATGTGAAACAAACGACATAGAGAAACTTGTCACGTAATCGTTTAGCGAAGTTCGGCTTCGCATTGTTCCATAAAGGGCCAACACGGGCCGAATTTGCCGTTGCCGACGTTGCAGGCGATCTTCGTCATCATCACAGCAATTGGCTGCAAGAGAGAATTTTTCGAATTTCGAGCCAGTACTTCTTTGATCGCGTATGGTTACTCGATTGGGGAAGAAGAACAGTGATATTGGGCGCTACGGGAATAATGGGTATATTTCCGTCTAATTTTGGTGATGCAACCTCAAGCTATCGTCCCATTACAACCCTTCGCTACCCTATTTTACCAACTGTTTGAGATCCCACGAAAACAGGTATAATGGAGAAGCCTGCTAATAGCGACATGTATGATCTGGAGGAGCAGGTCATCGCCGACGAACAGAAATCTGGCACGAGCGCATGGCCAAACCCAAGCGATGACGAAATCGAGCGAACCTCTGGGACGATGGAAGAACAACAGCAACCCACAACTCCGCCAAAAGAGCATGCGTCTGGCCTTGCAAAGATTCTATCGCGAAGGTCTGTAGTATCGTCGTGGAAAGATCCGGGGCCTGCACCTGACGGAGGCTTGACCGCCTGGATCCAAGTTTTTTGTTGCCACCTCACCATCTTCACAGTAAGTCAAACCGGCTAAGCGATTAAAACACAGCATTCCATTAACAAACGTCGAGACCTTTGGCTTCTTTACTTCGTATGGAGTATATCAGACGTACTATGTGAGCGATTTGGGCATAGAGCCGTCGACGGTTTCCTGGATAGGCTCGATACAGGTACTCTTCCTCTTTGGCATTGGGGCAATTAGCGGCCGGGCGACAGATGCTGGTCTATTCCGACACTGTTACATCGCGGGCGCAATGTTCCAGATGCTGGGCATATTTACAATGGCCGAGTCGACAAAACTGTGGCAACTCTTTTGTTCCCAGGGCGTGTGTCTCGGGATCGCGAACGGACTGCAATTTTGTCCTGCCATGTCTCTGGTCTCCACGTACTTCGTAAAGAAACGCGCATTTGCCCTTGGCTTCACTGCCCTTGGATCGTGCACAGGCGGCATTGTATTTCCGGTCATTGTCCAGCAATGCCTGCCACGCCTCGGCTTTCCATGGACAATCCGAATCATCGGTTTCATCATGCTGGTCCTCAACATCGTCACAATCGCGTTGTACCGCACACGTCTCCCGCCTCGGAAAACCGGACCACTCGTTGATTGGGATTCCTTCAAAGAGGCTCCCTATTCGCTCTATTGTGCCGGAATGTTCTTCGCATTTTTCAGCCTCTACTTTGCCTTTTTTTATATTGGCTCATACGGTCGCAATGTCTTGGGCGTTAGCTACCAGCAGTCTATCAACCTTCTCTTGGTACAAGTCGGCATGGGGTTCATATTCCGTCTCCTCCCGAGTTACTTTGCGGACAAGATAGGGAGTCTCAACGTTCTGATTCCGTTCGTCTTCATCTGCAGCATCATGATGTTCGGATGGATTGGCATACACTCTGTTGGCGCTCTGTATACGTTCGCGGTCATTTACGGATCGGGTAGTGCAGTCATTCAGTCGTTATGGCCTGCTGCCATTGGTGCGATGAGCCGGACGCCTGATCTGAACAAGTCCGGAGTCAGGATGGGCATGGCGTTTACTATTGTGAGCATTTCAAGCTTCACGGGTCCACCGTTAGCGGGTGCTCTGATCCAATTGAACGGCGGGAGCTACACCTATGCTAATATCTGGGCCGGGACTTCCTTTTTCATTGCAGGCTGTTTACTCATCGCAGCTCGTTGTTCGGTGGTGGGGTGGAAACTGAAAGCTAGAGTTTAGGTATGTTCTTGGTTGATCGAAATACCAGGAGTTAAGGTGCAGCATAGTCTTGCAACAGCGCGACAACTACAAGTAGAATTAGCATAGAACTCTTATGTCAGGATATCTCGATGTATGTGCCTAGTAGGCACGTTTGTAAACTTTATTAGTGTAGTTTTGCTGCTTGTAGGAGCCACAGAGAACCCAGCTTACTTCCCGCTTCTGCAGGTGTCTAAGAGGCGTGTTTGCATTTGGAAGGCGCTTAGTCACGTTGATATCGACATCTTGGCTTGTATAGCATCTGGTTTGCATAGCTACACGGTTGGGCATCTGGCGAAGAAGTGCAGAGTGAGTAAGAACACAGGTCATGCAAATACGGCACCAAGTCCAACAAACCTTGCAGAACACAGATGAGACCATGTATCAAACGTCTGGCATGAACTATGGTCCTTAAAGTAACAGTCGGATATTAATCAACGTCAGTCATGTTCTAGAAGCACTTTCTAATCAGGCATGAGCCTTTTTTGTGGCACAAGAGGCAGAAAAAGCGGATGCTACTTGTCGTCGCTCACTGCTTGAGCCACAACTGAGTCCCCTTGGTAAGGCTGGCCGCCATTCTGTCCTTGCACACTCGCCAAACTAATCGGTACAAGTCTATTTACAAGACGAAACTACAGCTAATGCACTGGCTTGAGTGGAGGGAGCATATCCAGTCCGCCGTTGACGGGTATCGGAGCCTGTACCATTTTGGAGATATCATTCCCACCGGGCTGCAGCGCCAGACGCAGAACGAGCTCCTAGAGCATGTCCACCAGGTTCCCGCCGAGAACAAATCTGGAGACAAGGAAATCGAAGAGTACAATGGGGAGAATAGCGATGTGGAAGAGCGTAGCAAGATGGAACAAGTGATTGAGCTCTGAAGCGACCAAGACGAGCATACTCCCGAGGCCCAAAGATCCGCCAACAATCAACTTCCAATCAACGGCCAGCAAGATATCAGAGTCCCAGAAGGTGCCGACACCCATGCATCTGATGACACTCAGACAGCAGCATTTCGTTCCTCGCCCTCAACTCTGCCCTTGAAGTCTGGCCTGCTCACTACTGCTACTTCGAAGGCACCCTCCCATCGCGCTACAACTGGGACAAGTCACAACCCACTTGAAACATACGGGCAGACAAGCTGTAAACTTCCCAACGCGTTTTCTCTGAAGCACAAGACATCGTGGGCAAATTCACAACAGTCATAGATACGATACGTCGTAACCTTTGATATAATGTTTCGTTTCAAACGATCAAATACTACCAATCACCAATCTATACACTTTGATGAAGTAGTGTTTTTTGCTTCTCTACAGACCAGGGCCGCCTAGACACTAGGCTTCTTCGGAAGTCCTGTCCAAAACTCGTGGATGAGCGCCGCAACCTCTGACACTCTTTCCCTGACCACACCATGCCCGACCTGCGGAATAACAGCAACATTTGCGAAGCCAACTTCCTCGAGCTGATGTTGACTGCACACATCATCTGTTCCGCCAAGGATTGCATGTGATGGAATGCCGGTATGCACCGCCTTGACGAACTCGGCGTCATTGTCCATGATACCACCATCTCTGACCACTGCGACTACAGAAGCCACATGCCCAGAATGCTCACGCATCTGCCATTCTCGAACAGCCTCGGCGACAATCTCACCTTTCCCAACTCTTTCCTTCCAGTCCGCAGGCACGACTAGCTCACCGCCTTCAAGCCATTGCAAGACCCACTTCCGAGCTGCAGCCTCGTCGTCGCCTCGCAAGTAGCCCAATTCCTCGACTTTGAAGTTTGAAGAGCTGTAAAGTCCAGCTGGCGCGACGAGGGTGAAACTTTGCACCCGTGATGACCGCGAGGCTGCATATCCGACTGTCAAAGCGCCTCCAAAGGAGAATCCTATGAGATGTGCAGAAGGCCAGTTCAACTGATCCAACAGCGCGTCTATCAGTTGATGGAAAAGATTCGAGTCGTGCGGGATAACGGGTGTATCGCTCAATCCATGGCCCCAAAGATCGACCAGTACGAAATGCGCATGCGGAAACGATGCATGTAGGGCGCGGGCGAGTGGGAGCATGCCTAGAGCTGGGGTTTGCACGCCGTGGATGAAGAGCACTCGATCGGGTATTTGGGGGCTATTTTCAGAGGAGAGAGAGCCGGAAGGTAGCATCTCATAATATGCGGCATTGCCGTGGACTGTGTTGAGATATTTGGCTGGCGGTAGGAGCGTGCCGAAGGTCTCCGTGAAGGCTGCCTCAGCGGGGCCTGGAATTGGCGTCTTCGATACACTAGGCGCTCCGCCCGGACGTGGTAAAGCAAAATCGCTCGAGGTGGCAGACATCTTGAGATCAAAGTTGTGACAGGATAGAGACGAGGCTAATGGTCATGCGGCTCTTATATCGTAGCTGGCTCGAATGTCCAATGCTTAGATTGACTCAAGCTAGACATTCAGCTTGGCTAGAAGCTAGTATGTTAGTAGCAAGAGCTCTGCGCTAGTCCAACTACACGAGAATATGGCGCGATAATGTCTATTTATATCACAGTAAGGATGTCGCTAAGAGACATTCACGATAAGAACTGAGAACGATTGCAACATGCAACTCTCAAACATCAGCCCTTGTGGTCGCGCCGATAGCCGCACCCGAGGTGGGAATCAAAAAGTCACTTGCCGGGACCCTTCCGTCTGAGCCTCTAGCTCCCTTCAGCGTCGCGGGATCGATGCTCTTGAATGAGCTGTTAGACCAAGTGCCGGAGTTCCAGGAGTTTCCAGAGGCCTTGACCGTTGAGACAAGCGTTGCTTGGCTGCCCACGTTGGCAACAGCGATGTTAGCCGTCAAGGTGGAAGACGAGCTGCGCATGTGGAATCCAATATCGCCGTTGTTCCACGCTGTGTTTCGCTCAATGGTCAACGATCCCGGGTTGCCGTTGTCAATGAAGCCCTTCTTTGCGTTCGAAAATGCCATGGAGTTACGGACGATGTGGTTTGCGGGCGGATTATCCGTAATGCCCAGCTTGAAACCGTTGCCATCGCCTTCGAAAGAAGTGAAGCCCCAGCGATTGACTCCATTACCCCATGCGTATACCTCCTCTATCGTGACAGCAGATCCGAACATGTAGAGATCCAGGCCATCATCGACGTTGTCCCACAGTCGGGCGTTTCGAAGCACATTACCTTCACCAGAGCCTTCCTTGCACGCGAAACCGTCAGCGCTCTCTCCGTTCTTGCGGGGATCACGGTTGCGGTATGAGTCCAAGTAGATGACTGTGTTATTCGAGGCGGTTCCTTGCAATTGGAATCCAGTCTCGTAATTGTCGTGGGTAGATAGCAGCTCGTAGTAACCGTGGGATGAATCGCGCGCGTAGATTCCATAGGGACCGTTGATCAGCCTTCGACGAAGGTCAGTGAACAATCTACACCGATCTGTGCAATCTCATGACTCACTCCAAGTTGTAGAACTTCCAGTAATTTCCGCCCTCAATATGCAAGATGCCTCGCTCTTTGTTCGGAAGAGACACGTCCAATGCATAAGGAGTACTATTTGAATGGTCAATCTTTGTTGTTTTGCTCGATCATAGTTTTTGAACTTACCCTGGCATGTTCTCGCCGTCGAGAATCACCTTTTCTTTTCCATAAGACCTTAGAGTGATCGGTTGTGTTAGGGTGCCGCTCTTTGTGATTTGGATGTTCGCAGTCGGCGCATATGTACCAGCGCGGAGGTAGATGACATCGCCAGCGACAGCAGCATTTACAGCGGATTGAATCGAACCGTATGGGGCCGTAGAAGTGCCTGTACCAGTACCGGTTGGCGAAACGTAGATCTCCTTCGACTGCCCTGTAGTCGACAACGCTACTAGCGTAGCAACAATACCCCAAGATCGCATGGTGGGCATGTCTACGAGATCCAAGATAAGTGGGTCAAACAGGATATGGGGAAGAAGCTGACAAGGAAATCTTGCGAATCGGAGGAGCTATGAAACCTAAATACTACATTCTGTACAACTCTTACCTTTTTGTTCTCGACGCAACTTACTCGTCAATTGCTCGGCGTGCCACTGCCAAGATGCATTTGATTAGGCGTAGATTGATCCACACTCCGCCAACGGAAGAATACCCCTCTTATTCCCGATTCCAACATCAGGCAACTCTCTTAACAGCGAATAGTTGGATCGCTGCTTAATTTGCTTGATACCGACGTCCAGCAACCTCTGCAATGAGCTTTGCTTCTGTTTGGTGCAATAATGCGATTGATTCCTGATCCTGGAGTAGTCGTGTCAATACAGTTTGACTGTCTCTTGCTGAGCTCTGGCAGCACGCCATGCATCAACACAAACTCGACCAATGCCAGCGCGGACCCGGTGTCCGTCCAATCGAGTTGTAAGAAGCACATTGATGAACTTGTAGAACGTCGTTTTCTTGACTTCTGGTTGTTCCAGTACGTATAACCTCTCCGGAAAAACTCTTTCATGCATACCTCCAATGTAGCGCTCCCCGTCTGATATCTTGATCAGCTCATGCGCGATTCCATGTTGCGTCAAGGGTTCATGAAGTATGATAATGCCACCCCAATCACCTCTGGAGTCGAGAATAGTGGCGGCATTGGGGCAATCGATGTAAGACGAATCCCTATTCGTGATGACAAGGTTCGCGATCTCAGTCTCGAAGGATATCACATGCGCTTCGCTGGAGGCAGATTTTGTGTTGTTTCCCCTCTGCAATATTGCTCTCGGCGTTGGGATAGGATAGTTGAAATACCTGGTACGATCACTCGCATGCACAAAGTGGCGTGATCGGGTCTTTCCTTTGTCGAAATGGGGACGCATCTCTTCGCACTTCCAGTCCGAACCTAGGAGCACTTCCCATTCTGCGGAGTCGAGGTCTTCATCCTGATATCTTGCCCAGGAATCGCGCAGCTCACGATTTTGATCATCATCTGTATCCAATTCGAACTCTGTGCTCGGTACAGTACAGAACGAATCGTCCATCTCGTCATTACAACGAAAGTCGCATGACGCTCGCCAGCGATGAATGCCGATGTCGCATACCCATGCCGCCCATGACCACGAGGGAAGGTCCATTCGCTTTGGAGTCTGAAGTCCTTTTGTTTGCATTCTGCGTCTGCAAAAGTTCTCGGGTTGCCATAGCATGCAAAGACTGAAATAGAAGTCGGACATGCCCTGTGTAAAGCTCCCAAATGACCAGCTGATGTTATTCAAGATGCCTTGAAACGATATCAAGACGTCTTCCTCGAAGGTAAGGTCCCGCCCCATGTGCTACATACATGAATCAGCTTCAATATCGCACAACTCGTGAACAGGCCTTACGTACCCCGTGTACTAAATTGCAATAGTCAATGAAGCTTGGGAGTACAGCATTCTTCCCGCGAAGCGTATACTCGTCCTTTTTTCGTACTAGTGATCGACCATCCCCAGGACCGAGTCCGTTGAAGTAGACATCCTCATCGCTTACTCCGACGAAGTCATACATCTGAAAGTGCCGCTTAACATCCTCTTTCTCGGCAGCGACGTCTTCAGTCCATGTCATGCGTTGGCAGTTGAAGTGGACTCCATCCTCTAGAAAGACAAGTTTTCGTCCGGACAACAAACGCTCTTGATGCGTCCAAGCTCGTTTGTTCCAATAACACATGTCAGCGCCCTGACCTAAAACCCTTTGGAATGGGCTTTGGGAGATTGCAATGCGACGCTCCTCTCCGTAGTTGATAATTCGCTGGGCTAGTTTTCTCGGAGACGACAGACTGACACCAGGAAGTCCAGCACTTGAGTCGGTTCCGGCTGCTGCGACTATGGTACAGAGAGCGCCCTGATAAACCTTGTCCATTTGATTGATGAGGTCCATTTTGTTCTCGTAGTCATCTTGAACTATGCACAGCGCGTCGACCCACAGATATCGTTCTCCAATCTCAGAAGTTAGAAGAATCGCGTCTTGAATCGTTCTTGGAAGATGTGCTGCGTGTTTGTTGAAAGCGCCAGCCTTCTCAAGCTCCTGGACGTTGGACTTGGTCGTTGTGAGATATACAGTCTTGCCCCATACATAGCTAAGCGCGAGATAACGCGATGGGAAGGCCACGTGAACAAGACAGCTCTCGATGACATCGATGACTCGAAACATAGACGAGCCCTGAAGCGGTTCGCCATCCCAGAGATTACAATCGTGACTATGCCAGTCCTCACAGGATTTGACCCAGGTGCTAAGAAGCTTTGTATCCACCACATGAAGATCTACGGCACGTCCTGGTGGCTTTCCTACCGGGACTTCTAGGGGTATCAGGTGGATCTCTTTTCTCGAACTTCGAGACGTTTGCTGCTGACTGGCAGGCCAGAGTAGGTATACATCATTGGCAAGATTGATATCAAGCGTGAACGTTTGCGATTCGTCGAACACGGCAGCTTCCACTCCATGAGATACCCGAAAAGCATGTCGGATATTCGAGCATATTTGGCAATTTGGGTCTTTCGAGAATGTTATCGGCTTCCGTAAGCCTTTGTGTGGCTCATCCCAGATGTTTTCGTTCAGATTATACACAAAAGGATCGCACTGGTGACAGATCGAAGTTTTAGGGTGTAGTGGTCTCCTAGCTTGCAGGCCTTTGATGCTAGACTTGATGTCTGAGATGAATGTCAACGGCATTGTGACACTGTCAGATTAGTACTGTGGTACCCCGCCAAAGTAGAAGCTATCACCCACTTTAGGTGCTAGTCTTCTATTCGTCAGGATTGCTACTTCACAGACATCTTGACCAATCCGTGGGCGTTTTGAAAAGTACCCACAGTATTCGTAGCCCAAGACTGGTGCATAGCACGTTGGGTCTAGTCGCGATCCAAACGCTCGTGTTTTCGAATCAAAGCTACATCGCAGTCTCAACGCAATGCCTCAGATGTTTGTTGTTGGCGCAAACCTGGAGCTTGTTCGCGATTCAAGCCACTATGATGTCACACGCACGCACTAAATCTTCAGATTAACCGCGTGAACGAGATTCTGGTTCGGCTCCAGAACAATGCGTCCACGGCTGACTGGGAGTCACATCTGATCATTCTTCAGCCCATCTTCCATTATCTAAAGGCGACCGAGAATAAATTATGAATTTGAGATAGAACTCTTGGAAGGGTGGATCGGAACCAGGCATGGGTCAGAGGCACTCTTCATCGAACAAAATCCGTAAGTATAGGCTTTTTTGGATCATGCAGCCAAGTCAAGAACTCATGATCAAAAAGAACATAAGAAAGAGCTACTTGAAAGATCAAACGCGTTCATCCATACATAAAGTATTGGGATGACCGCAAACTCAAACGTTTGCACTTTCAGGCGTTGGAAACGTCTAGCTAATCCAAGCATGGCGTTGCAACACAAGGTGTCAGTTGTTTAGCATACGATTGTGAGGCATTTAGATAACACTGATACTTTGTCTTCGTTGTGAAGAAATAGGAGCTGTTGGATTCAATCCTTCACTGCTATTGGGTAAAGACGAGCATATAACCCATTATGTACTTCAACAAAGTTACAGCTTGCTCGGCTGTGAACGTGCCGTCATTGTAGCTAAGTCCGATCGAAGTCACACCTTTCCAGCTCTCCATTCGCACCAATCTATAGCGTAATTAATACATGCAAAGAGCAGAAGTTTAGGGACGCATCTTGTGAGTGGTAGACTTACAATCCAGGCATATAAGAATCTGTGAAGAAGGCTACATTATCAACAGTCATGATTGTCTTATTTGTCGTCGAGTCAATGATGTTGCCGGGAATGAAGCGATCATTCACCCCATCGCTGATGAAAACCTACTCATACCAATATAAGCTATACGCCTTTTTAAACGAGATGGGATACCAACTCACCGGGACAGCTTTCGAGCTTGCTTCCTGAGGATTGCTGTTCGTCTAGATGTCAGCGTCTTGGAAAAGAAGAAGCCAGACCTAAGAATATACTTACGCGCTCAAGAATGAAGCAAGAAAGTTATCCTTGGAGATATTGACCGCCATCTGAAAGGGCTTGCTGAGCCAATAGTCATACTGCTCTTTTGAGATTCTACATCCCTTTGCCAGCATCGAGATGACAGCGCTTTTCTCGTCATCATCAACCAGAAAAGATCTGGCATCGCGGAATTGCACCACAGCACCAGCCTGACAGGCGCCATACTGACCCTGCACGTACTCATCCTTCAGGAAACGACGCCCGTTAACGGGAAGTGGCATGATGATGGACGGAATACCTGATACATCTTCCGGTATCGGGTTGGCCTTGAGCAATGCAAGAGCAGTGGCTGCCTGTCCAAGGTGCGAGATTGTATAGCCAGGGCCGAGACGAGCTTTGACAGCTTGAATTATAGCTCGACTTTCCGCAGCGGTGAAAGTTCGGAATTCAGTGCTAGGTGCTCCAACATCCACTTTCAGATCCATAGCCCAGCTATTCTGCACTTGTTTCAATTTTCGGAAGAGAAAATGCGAGACCGGAGGGTGCTTACTGCAAAAGCCATCAGACTTTGGAGGAATTCTTCACGTGCATCCTCAAAATCTTTGCCTAGTGAAGTTACGTCTACTTTTGCTGCGTCCAAGATCGGTTGGCTGATGTTTTTGGTCTCTCTTCCCCAGTCCAATTGCTTGGGTTTTTGATTGTCGCTTAGCTCTGTCTGAAGTTTCCGCAACAGACTCCCGACGAACATCCTCGCGCTGATACCATCCCAGAAAATATGATTCATATGCATTAGAACATCGACAGTTGCACCAGGAACTAGTGGAGCATGTTCCGATGGAACATCCGCGACAAGGTGTACCGTAAGAGACTTTGCGTGACCGGAGAAAACACTACCAGGTTCCTTTCGTCGTCTACCAATCTCTTTTCGTACTTCAAAGCCAGTTTTAACAGTGAACCAGAGCTCAATCGCGGCTTCGGCCCAGGAAAGGGCATCCTCGGCGCTTTCCGGTGGCGTGTATTGGAGCAACGGGCCTTGGTCATCCCAAACCGCTGTACCAGCGCTTTCTGGATGCTCAAAGCGGAGCTCTACTAGAACTGTCGTAACCGCTTTCTTAAGAGATGCGAGCGATAACGGTGTTTTAGTTGATTCGACTTGCACCCTTAGCGTCGTGTTCAGAAAAAGGTCATATTGACCTTTGTAGTTCTCGTCCTTGATGCCCACCCATGCCTCCGTTCCAATCGCGCGACGTTCAATAGTGCGCGAGTTTGTTTTAGACGTTTGCCATCTGTACGTTGCCGGCATAAGCTTTGGGAACTGATCGCTTGTCATTTTAGGTGTGGAGTCGATCACGATGCTTCTTCCACAATGGAATGTTTTTCGTCCGGTAGAGTTGATGCAAGGAAGTTCATTGCGAGGAGTATCAAAGCTTCAAATACTCTGGAAATACAGAAGGCTTTGCTGATCACCAGCACGTCATGTTGTCTTCCGGTACCCACACCCTCGAATGCGCTAATGCGACCCCACTTATTGCTTACACTCCTGGTCCGCACCATCTCGTTGAATGAGAACGATCTTGATGTATTATTGGCTTGGATATAGATAATCCTGAGTTCTGTCTCGCTGATACGTTGCGCGTTTCTATCTCTGATACGAGTCGTCTACACGATGATATCTCGAATGATATGACATCAATCACACCACACCGCATGTTTGGGGATGTTTTTGTGTTCCCTGGGAGTAGAGTGCCTGTGGAAAGTACAGATCAAGTCAATTTATAACTGACTTCGTGTTTAAGCCTTACTAATTGGTGGGTTTTCAAGACTGTCAATGCATGAACAATTTTCTAGTTGGATATCAATATCAAAACCAATAACATTGACATAGACGGTGAGCCACAGATGCTGAGAGTGGTATCCTACGCAACCTTTGTTTATACAATGATTTCTCCTACCGTAAACAACGCGCTGACGCTGTACTATTCTGAATCGGTCCCAGCAACGTGTTATTCAAATTCCGTGCCTTCCCTTGGGTGTATTGAAATTACCTGCAACCCATAGTCATTATGACTCATAGTCAGACTAAGGTCTTCGAACCCCACGACCCGGGCCTGAAGACTCATGTACATTCTTATCTTGACGTGTTTCGTAGAGATGGGGTTATTCGAGATCTCGGACATGCCAAAAGCGGATCGTGGCCGGAGCAGGAGCTGAGATAGGCGTCGCTATTGTGGTATAGGCCAGTGTTACGATCATCGATATAAAATCACATCAGCTCACAACAAATTCGGAAACTCTGAAAATCTACATACGGCGTCTGCAGTGGTTTCTACAAACTACCTAGCATCTGGTAGTTAGTGGAATTGAAGAGTTGGGAAAGTCTAACCGTAATTGGCGTTAGGCAGTGTCTTGTTTCGACGCAGTCTTCTCATACCCCAGCCCACCTCGCACTGTTCCATTTACTGTCCATCTATGCCAGCCCTTCTCTGAAGCGAGAACGGCTTTGCTGATTCGGACGATCTTGAACATTTGCTTTGGTTTTTCCGGTTTCTTTGGAAAGGTTCAAGAACTTGGCCGTACAGAGCACAGCCATCCTAAGCCTCGCCTACTGTGGTACCCGGCATAAGTAGTGCACAGTGGGGACAGTGGTTTGTGTGCTCGCCAATAGTAAAATTACGGCAGGAGCAGAAGCGTGAGTTCTGCAACTGGCTGCAAGGCCTGTGTTAGTCTGTGTTTGTAACCCTGTAAGCCACTACGCCACAGTCTCCACTGTATACTACTTATGCCGGGTACCACAGTAGAAACCGGAAATTGTTGAGATTGTGAGTATCGTTGAGCCGAGAGTGCCGTACTCTGCACGGCCAAATTCTTGGCGAGCAAGCAGGGGCCGAGTAGGTGGTTCTGAAAGCTTAAGGCTTTATAAAGTAATCTGTCACATTTATTCTTCATTAGCGGCTTCTAAAGTGTTTCCTTGTTCTGACGGTACCTGTCACAAAGATATCAGTTTGCCAATGCATGCTGGTCAGCAAGATAGAATGATAGTTACATTGCGAATCAATATCAACCGATTTGCAACAGATCACGATTTTGAATCTATCTCTTCTTCCGGTCAAGTGTAAAAGCGGGAAGTAAATTAATGTGAGGTTTTACAGCAGCATGGCAACGACATCTGATTTTTTTGCAGCACTTGAGCGCCTTGATTATCACTGGTAGGCCTCTAACCATATCTTCTGGTAGCATATCTTTCTGTCGCACTGTTGCGTAGTCGCCTCTAGAAAAGGCGTGAAGCTTACTTTTCGGCTTTCACACTTGACTGTATAACTATTTATTGCGCCTGTTTCAATTACATGTCTTAGCTTTTTAATCCAACGTATGCCCGCCCTATCCCTGGTGCTTAACCTGTTCATCCATCTCAGTCCATCCATACCGAACGCTCCTTTGGAGCGGCTTCGTTTCATCCGCAACACCAAAGCCAGCTCTTCGCACGACATGATTCCCCACGTCGACCGTCGCGATCCCAGAAGCTACCTCGGTATACCCATGAGCTTCACGCGACTCTCTAGTCTCCTCGTGATCTCCATGTCTGACAAACTCTTGTACTACAATCACATCATCCGAGGCGACGCTTCCACCTATAAAATCACTGCGACGACCTCCATTCTTCGCTGATTGCTTCTCGTTGGCTACATCCCCAACAGCGCATGTTTCACGAGACAACAGCTCCCCGAACCGAATCTTCAACATCTCAAGCTCTTTCGGAATATTCTTCTCGCCGCCAAGACACCCTTTCATAGCAACCCTGTCGAGCTCCGTGTGCCCAGTCGTAGTCATCAGGATCTGTACGAAACCGCCATCGATAGCCGATACGCCATTGTGACGCAGTGCCAGTAAGCCGACGGCAAGAACCGGAAGCGTGAGTAAAAGACAGAGACCATAAGGGAGGTAGAAGCTGAGTTTCCGTTCGAAGTGGTATACGTTCATTACTTTTGTTGATGATCCGTGTACGACGTCGTACCATGTGTTGAGCGATAGAGCTGAGATTGTGATGTTGGCTAATGCCTCGTTGAGCAGCGCTTCGGAAAAGTCGATGCTCAAAGGTGTGGCGCCGATCTCGCTTTCGATGTAGTACTTGTTGAATGCGGACGTCAAGAGGGTGGAAGAGCCTACAGGCGGTTAGATATTTATTGGTCCAAGGCTTTCCGAAATTGTAACTTGATCGATGGCGCCGCCGTTTACTTACCACTCACGATATTCGACATGGTATAGTTCGGAGAGCAAACCTCCACATCAGTACCGTTTGGCAGACGGTACTGTGTTGGTATTTGGAGCGCAGATTGAGGAAATCTCAGCTCAGATAGGTAGACTCCGGTCAGATGGAAGTGTGAAGCCAAAGAATCAATCAAGGCCAAGATGGTGGCGTATTCTCTCCATGATCGCAGGGATCCGATGTCTTGTGATCCAGACTCAAAGGCTGATTCAGGTAGAGGAAGAGGTAACGGCTGTACATCGTTGGCAGAATATCGGATCTGCTGTACACCATTGATGGAAGTGATGTTGACATTGTACTCCGCTGTAGCCGCCAAACATTCTGTTACCACTAATGGTCGCATAAGTGTGAAGTTTCCTTGGTGATTGTCGTTCGAACCTGATCCGTCGGCGGCGTCCTGAGCTCGTGGACACGGCATCAAGTTCAATTGCGGTTGGTTAGGGTCATATTCAAGTGTGATAGTTCCAGGACTGGACGATAGATTGTACACTGGGTAATCCTGGTCTAGGGTGATGTCTAATGCTTCCTCGCCAGGGTTCGAGATTTGACGTTGTAAGCGATTGCTACTAATCATTGTAACATTAGTGCCACTTTTCTGTTCGCAGTGTAGCATCGGCCCTTGGAAAGTCATGGAGTATGAAAAGTTTCCGTGCGAGGGGCGTTCTGTTTGAACTATACTAGAAGACAACAGGACCGATTTCGCGAGAGATCTCAAAGGTCCGGAGGGTTGTCTGATGAAGTTTGTCAGTTAAGTTAGGACAACTTGGTGACACAAGGCTTACAAGTAGAAGCATGTGTCAGAATCGCATTGAGCAGACCCGTCGTTCAACGATTTCTCGAGAACAGAATCCACAAAAATAGACGCAAGGCCATATTCAACGTCGCCAAATCTTTTTCTCACATCAATGACATTTGAGGCGCCAGCCGGTGGGATGACGGAAATGTTGAAGTTCTCGTCAACGAGGCGGGTTTCCAAGCCGACAACAAGAGCTCCAGGGGGATATATCATGGCCAGTGGTACAAGCCACGAGAACAATGCAATCGAAAGCAAGACTGGGGTGTATCGCGCCAGCGCAGGATTCAAAAGTCGTACAGCGTTGTTTCTGATTTGGAAAAGCTCCTCGATGAGACCGACTTCCAGGATCTGACTCCTCAAATTCTTCCACAGGTATTGTGTGTAACAGTAGCCGATGCTGGCTGTCAATGCTGCGCGAAAAGCCGTGACGAGGACTAGGGATATTGTCGTAGCATGACTCTGAGGGATAGTTGTAGTATCGAACGACACGTTATCGCGGTTTTGGTTGACGACCCGTCCGTCGAGGTAGTTGAAAACGCAGTTGTGTACTACTGCACAGAGTAACGCTGAATGATGGATATATTAGAAGAACGTTCTTGTTTGAAAACCCCGGCACGAACCAAGCATGTAGAACCCAATGATGATGATGACAGGGCCATTCCAGTTTCTTTTCCACTTCGCTGGTCGTGACGGGAGATTAGAGCAACTGTTTTGCGCACCGCGTGCAGACAAAGAACCATCCAGTTTGGTCGACATGTTGTTGGATTGGTCGTGTGGTATCGTACTGCACGAGGCGTCGGGATCTTCGATCAAATTGTCGATTGAATGGCGAGATGGCATTTCACCCAAGCTATCTGAATCGTCGTGGGCTCGATGTATACGCTTGACGTGTGAGCGAAGCTCAGAGGCCAAATTTATATTTGCGAACGGCGGAATCTTAAACTGTGGGAGGCTGAGAGATGTGACGACATAAGTAAGCAACACTATGCAAGTAAGCTGAGGAAAGGCTGTGCTTCGTAGTAGCCGATCATCGATGTTGGGAGGTGTCTCAAATGTCCAATCAACGAGTTGTAGAAGTGGTCGATCACTTCTGTATGATCGACAGACGATCATGTCAACACCTGAGCGGTGGAAGCTGTGGACACCGTCGAATGCTTGAAAGCAAGATCCTTGAATAGGTTTAGAGGATATACTGATTGAGTATAACCATCAGACCAAATTCGCATGTACCAAGACTACAAAACTTGGTGTACAGAATGTGAATGGCAGCTCTAATGCGCACCGCCTTTCCGATGCCGATGTGTGAGTAGATTTCCTCCAGAGAGGCGCCGAAACTGTAAGCGAAGCGCCGAGGACTACGTGGTACCCCGGAGTATACGCCCTGCTCCACATCAGATGCTAGTTCCCGATTCGTCGAAACTGGTGCTTTACAGAATCTCGACCACTCCGTGAGCGTCCTGAGACAAGCCCTCAACAGGCGATGGTTTATTTTGGGCGTACCACGATACATCCTCGTAGATTACATGTTTCATGCAACATATGCCAACACCTGGTAGCTAGTACCAAGGTAAATCCTGGTATTCTGCCTTACACAGCTGAGTCGAATATACGCCCCAATAGCGTATATTCAGGTAGACCAAGTGCTCTTCCGTATGCCCCAGTTGTATGTGCAGGCATGTATAGACTGGATCCCACCTCACTGTATGCAGCAAATGTACACAACTTTTCTCCATCTCTCAACTCCGCGGTGATATAGGTAGCGAAGCTTAGACAAGCTCGCACGCTCAAGAACATAGGACTTCGTTTCAATTGAGGTAGCGTTGACAACCTCAGAAGTAGAAGTTGACCATGGGCCAGAGATATTCCAATCGTCGGCGGTTTACAATTCTCAGCGAAACTGCTGTGGGGGTGTAGTGTGCAACATGAGATGCGTCGAGCAGGCAACATGCACATACAGGGTGTTTGTCCGCTTCGAAAGTCCAAGTGCACAGGGTGCTACAAGAATGTGACCGACGCAATGATTTGTTGCAGCAGGGTATGACAAATACGGGGTAGGTTCCTTTGATGATTCTTTCAACCTCTGGGTACTTGTATACAACTACTCCATGCTAACGGATCGTGGGCCCAGTATCGGCCAGTACGATGCATGCGCCACACAAGCGTTGATTGGGCTGTAGAAGTCGCGATCAAGAGTCTGAAAGTCGTCAGAGCACATTCGAATCACCGCAAAATCGTCGTCTGCAAATCTTCGCGGCACAGGAGGAAAACATCTCATGACCACAGGCTTGTTTCCTTCCTGCCATTGGTGTCTCTGTGGCCGCGGTTGAACCGACAACGACATCGAAGCGACGCAATATCGAACACTGACTTTGCAAAAACTGCGGCGATGGATAACCGGCTTGCCTTGGATGTTGCAGACAATCTAGTCATTGGAGCCTGCATGCCGAGCTCTATACACATTGGTCGAACCGACGGAACGGTATATCTTCCCAACAGCAAGCCCTCTTCCAGGAGGCTGAATGAACGGTTTTCCCATTGCACCTTTCTCCTTGAACGCGCGTGTCATTTTCCTCGCTATGGAGCTTCTCCTCCCCATCCGCTGAGCGCGATTCCTATCCATGATATTATGAAAAGCCTCATGAACATCCTTGCTCTTAGCGATCAATGCCAGCGAAACGCTCACAGTCGTGTTCGTACATTTTAACAAGCTGAAGTCGTAGAAATGCTCGTTCAGTTCCTTCAACTCTGTCCGCAGTATCATCATCCTCATCCCATACACCCTGCACCCGTTGAAGAACCGCACTCGAACAGGTCGTGCATGGGGCGGCATGGATCTGAGGGTTAAGTGCATGCCTGCGCCGATCAGATCCGTGACCTTCGCCATGGTGTTGTAGGCGTCTCGACAGAGGTTCTTGAGCCGAGTCCAGATGGTGTATGCGGGCCACATGCATGGCAGAGAGTCGAGCCGCGATAGTTCCTGGTTGTGGGGGTTGTGGGACGCCATGTAGTCGACTTGTTCTTGTGTGGTGTTGAAGTATAGCAAGTTCAGATCATCGTCAGTCCATCGTAATCTGAGGAGTGGCGATGAGGCTTTGACCTGCGAGCGGATCTCTTTCAAACGGTGTCGTCCTTGTTCCAGGTGCTGCTGGTACTCGAACATCGTGAAATACGATGCAATTTTGTAATCATAGTAACGTTGGCCGTGGGAAGATGGAGATGGTAGTAGGCGTAGACCTCGAACGGCTTCGATGTCATGGCGCAATGTGAACAGCAGTTGAATGCTGTTGGTAAGTACAGCCTGCAGACTCGATATGTGTGGTGCTAGCGATGGTCGATGATGTTGTAGGACGATGGTTCCTCTGAGTAGATGATTGGTCATGACCGCTTCTGAATACAGCTCCCAGAAAGGCATGATACTTTGTAACGCATGAGCGCGCGATGCATGGTAGACGAGCTTGTATCGTTGTAGTTTCTCGCAAGTCTTTTTGCTTCCTTTCCTCGTTTGTAATACATGTAGCATTATCTGTTGGTGGTAGATTTGAGCCGCCAGTGTCACATACGGCAGATACGGAGTGCCGTTGCTCCAAAGCTTTCCGTCCCAAGATGCCCATCCAAATTGGTAGACGTGGGTCGCTCTATGTTTTGAGAACCGATCTAGCTCGCGATAAGGAGACAGACTGAGTCTTACCCAGGAGATGTCATCAGATGTCTCGTCTTGACGGTACCGAAGCTGCCGTTCATGTTTGAGCAATGACGCATTCGATCTGGATGAGAGGACTGCATGTTGTACATCAGGTCTACGTGGGACGATGCTGGTAGCAGACTTTGCAGAGTTTATGGGATCGCTTGTTGATTGATCACCAACAGTGGAAGGGCGCTTTGCAGTACGAATAACGTCTACTTCGTGTCTCGAAACATGAAGGAGGCGAGACGTCAATTTTGAGATACGGTGATCAGCTCTTTCAATGACCTGAACTACCGTCTGACGGTTTGTCATAATCGAGAGCGAGCTTCAACGTGGAGAGACAATTTGATCATTGGAAGTAGAAAACGCTGTGGACCGGATGGCTTCAACGTGATTGGAGAACGGGTTGTTCATTTTCTGAGGTGCCACCTTTGACGAGTGAGCTTTTCGCGATGACGCTAGCTATGCACCTAGTACCTGATCTACAAAGATGAAAACGTCTTTGTAGAAAAGTTCATATCTTGGTCAAGGGTGTATTGTCCTCCTCCGAAACCCAAGCGATTATTGGCCACCTTCTCAGCAAATCGAAAGAATTGAATCAAGCTCTCTTGCTAAATACACCAGGCGACCAGGGATTCCACCCTAGAGAATATACTTGAAATATTGGAATTAGCCTCTCACTTCGACAAATAAATAGATTTTCTGGATACGGACGTGTTAACTCTGTTCACCAGTAAAATGTTGTATGCGGATGGCAAGTATGTCGTAGTCTTATCTCCAAATGGTTTGATATACCGAGAAACGACTTAACAACATCAGTAAGTCCTGCTTCCAAATCAAAACCCCACCCTCAAGCTTCCATAATCTCGTGCAAGTCTCTCGTCTAGGACAGATTCGAGTATGAGAAAAGCTGAACAATCGACATCTCTCAACGAAAAATCGCAGTATTACATTCATCACGCTCCCAAACTAATCGGTGTATAAAAAGCTACTTTTCCTACCAAAGAAACCCTCAACAAACGCCTACCCATATAGAAGCCGCCCCAAAAGCAACCCAAACCCCCCTCTCAACCCCCCCTAAACCGGCACACAAACCCGCGTCCCAACCCCCAACCTCCCACAATCCACCCCCTCATTCCCCCCCAACGCCAGCAACTCCTCAACCCCCACCCCCCTCCCCTCTGCAATCCCCCAACAAGTATCCCCAGCTTTAACCCTCAAAACCCCCGTGCCCACAGCACACTCTACCCTCCCCCCCTCCCCACCCCCACCCGCAACATACCTTAACACCAGCCCCAAAAACACCAACACAAGCAGCACAAACGGCATCATCATGCGCACCGACTCCGCATGTCCGGAGCGCACTTTCTCCTCGCGCGCTGCGGTTTCGGCGGGTGTGGAGACGGGGGGCTGCCCCGCGGGGTGGAGCTCCCCGTAGCGGTTTCCGGGGAGGGAGGTGTAGAGGGCGCCGGTGGGGGAGGTGAAGGTGTAGGTTTGTGTGGAGGCGTCGTAGCCCGTGCGTTGGAAGCCTGGGGGGAGGCGGGAGGTGTCCTGTGGGTGGTGTTAGGTTGTGGGTGGGGAGGGGAGAGGGAGGGGGGGTTTACGTCGTCTGCGTCTGTGAAGCGGGACATGTTGGTGTGGTGTGGTGTGCTGGGTTGGGTGTGAGTTGATGGGTGGAGATGTTAGTTGCGAGGAATGAACGAGGTGGTGAGTTGAGTCAGATCATATCAGACCAGGCAGCAGTTCACAAAGCAAAGCATGACGAGCCAGCCAGTGCGTCGATCGCGCAACCACACAATGCAACACCGTCTCACCCTCTCAGCCCTGTCCGTCACACCATGCCATGTCATATCAAGCCACCCACTCACAGCGCGCTTAAACCGCTGATGCGCACCGCCTCCGCAATCAGCCTAGCGCCACCAACCCAAAGCTTGGCACTTCAAGCTCCGACATGCAACTTCACATACCATCGTCGCCGTCACCACCACCACCCACCGCACCGCACACCCACCCCCACCAAACTCCAACGCATCCCCCACAATGGCAGGCGGCGGCTCCGATCCCAATGCGCGCAACAAAGCCACGTACGTCCCCCGTCCTACCCTACCCTGTCCTCCCCCGCGCACCCCATCCTAACGCATGCAGATGGCACATCGGCTCCTGGGGCAACCCCTACGAAGGCGGCGGCCGGCCCGGCAAAGGCGTAGTCTCCTACTCGCTGTCGCCGAACCAGCAGCGCCCCATGGCAAACTTCATCAGCAAGGGGTTCTGGAATGTGGCGCGCCGCAGCAAGAACCAGGTGTTGTTTTTTATCCCGCCGCTGGTGCTGGCGTATGGGACTATGCAGTGGGCTATTGAGCGGTGAGTTTTTGTTTTTTTGCTTTGGGTATATGGAGGGGGGAGGGAGAACGGGGGGGAGACGGCGGGTTTTATGAGGGGGGGAGTTTTATGAGGGGGGCTGACAATGGGGATAGGAACGAGTACCTCAATTCCAAGCCTGGTCGTGCTGAGTTTGCGGATTCGGAGGAGTAGGGGTTGAGATTGAGGGGATGGCGGATGTGTACAACTAGCAGGCATTGGCAGCGTGGGCGGCAAAGAGAGAAACGGGGAGTCCCGATATCGACAAACAACGGATAGAATGTACAATCATACTCATTCGACAAGTCCGTCCATGCATCATTTCAAAGTCTTGATTCTTCCATGCTACTATACTTTACATGTACAGCCCCATCTTGCCGTTCCGTAACAATGCTATCACTACACTCCACTCCGCTCCACGCCATCCCAAAAGACAGACCACAAACCAGAAAAAAGAAGAGTAGCGATTACCCTCCGCACACACCACGAATGCAAAACAAGAAAACGCCACACCCCCATGCCCACTCCCCTCACCTCGCCCCACCCTCATGCACCCCAAACGTCGCCGGCGCAGGCGGCACCAACGGCCCCTTAACCCCCGTCTCCCCCCCATCACCGGGTCCCATCAAACCCGGGGCCTTCCCAAACTCACCCGAGAAGTACTTATGAAAGTCCTGCGGGTCTTCAAACGGGCGTGGACCCAGAAGACGAATCATATCCTCCCTCCCCAGCATCTCCTTCCTAAGCAGCTCCTCCGCCACAAGGCCAACTTCATGTTTTTTCTCCGTGAGCAGGTCCTTGCACTGCTGATACGCCTCATCCACGATCCTCTTAACCTCGGAGTCGATATTCCGCGCTGTTTCCTCGCTAAACGGCTTCTGCAGTTGCTGCCCAGAGTCGTCTTCGAAGTATATATACCCGATCTTCTTGCTCATACCCCATTTACTCACCATCGCGGTCGCCATCTGCGTAACCTTTCTGAAATCATCGCTAGCCCCCGACGTCACGGTTTCAAAGTGCAGTTCCTCGCTCACCCTTCCGCCGAGCGTCATAGCCATGCGGTCCATGAGCTGATTAACGTTCATGAGGTACGTGTCGCCGTTGGGGAGGTACTGAGCGTATCCGAGGGCGCCCTGGCCACGCGGGATGATGCTGACTTTGAGGAGGGGGTCGGCGTATTTGAAGTACCAGCCGCAGATAGCGTGGCCTGCTTCGTGGTAGGCGACTGTTTTCTTCTCCTCGGGTTTGAGGACGAGGGATTTTTTCTCGAGGCCGCCGATTACGCGCTCGATGGCTTGCTCGAAGTGGACCATTGTTACTGTTTCGGCGTTGTGGCGGGCGGCTGGGCGTGTGTTGTTAGCTTTGATGGGTTTGATGGTGGGGAATGGGGATACGTACCGATCAGGGCGGCTTCGTTGACGCAGTTGGCAATGTCGGCACCGGAGAAGCCGGGCGTCAGAGCTGCCAACCTGCCCTTCAAGAACTCCATATCCACCTTTGTGATGATCTTCTTCAAGTGGACACCGAAGATCTGTGCACGGCCGTCCATAGTCGGTTTGTCGATGTTAATGTGCCTGTCGAAGCGCCCAGGTCGCATGAGCGCCTTGTCGAGGACATCAGGTCGGTTAGTACCAGCCAGCACAACAACCTGCTCAGTCGTGTTGAAGCCGTCCATTTCCGTCAGGATCTGGTTCAACGTAGCTTCACGCTCGTCGTTGCCACCGCCAAAGTTGCCGTTCTTGGATCGCGACCGACCAATGGCGTCGATCTCATCAATGAAGATGATGCACGGCGTGCTCTTGCGCGCGTTGGCGAACAAGTCTCGCACTCGCGACGCACCAACACCGACAAACATCTCGACGAACTCGGAACCGCTAACGCTGAAAAAGGGCACGCCAGACTCGCCAGCAGTCGCCTTGGCCAGCAGCGTCTTACCCGTACCTGGCGGCCCAGATAGGACCGCACCGCGGGGGATCTTGGCACCGAGCTTCTGGAAACGTGTGGGGTCCTTGAGGAAGGAGACAAACTCCATAATCTCCTGCTTGGCCTCGTCCATGCCGGCGACGTCGGAGAACTTGACTTTGACGTCTGTTTCGTGGTTGAACTTCTTGGCGCGACTCTTGCCCATGCCAAAGATGCCGCTCGAGCCTCCGCCGCCACCGCCACCCGCACGCCTAGTGAAGTAGAACAGGGAGCCGAGGAGCAGGATGGTGGGTCCGAAGGAGAGGAACGTGCCGAACCAGGAGATTTCGTTCGAGTAGGCGACGGGGATGCGCTCAGAGCTGGGGATGCCCAGCTCGAACTGCGCGGCGTCCATCTTCCGTTCGAAAGCCTCGACAGAGCCAATGGTGAAGTAGTAGTAGAAGTTCTGGTTGACGGACGGCGAGTCGGGGTACATGGATGCGACGGCCTCGCGGTGGAGGTGCACCTTTGCCTTGTTGCCGTTCAGGATGACGACCTTCTCGACCAGGCCCTTGTCGAGGAAGGTTGTCCGGAACTCCTGCCATGTGATTTCCTTTGTGTTCTCACTGGGCACGAACATGCGGTATGTTATCCAGGCGAGGAAGGTGGAGATGAGGGCCGTGTTCATGTCGAGGTTGAAGGACGTGGGGCCGCCTGGTCCGCCTGGCCCGCCGGCGCCACCCTTCTCGCCCTTCTCGCGGCTCTGTGGCCCTGGGTCGTGTGCGCCCGCCTTCTGCTGGGGCTGGTCGGGCCGCGGCGGCTCGTCCATGGAGCGCCACTGCTCGGCCGTCTTGCGCGCCATGTTGGTCGTCAGGCGCGAGATCTTGGCGACGGTGGCGAGGTCCAGCTTCTCGCCGCGCTCAAGCTTGTCCATCTCAGCGCGCAGCTCTGGCGGGATGCCCGTCCGCTTGATGTCCTCCACGGCCGACTGGAGCGCCTTTTGCTGCCCCTTGGGCACGCCCATGGACACGAACGAGATCAGCTGATCCAGCATCTTCTCCTCGTCGGCCGTCAGCTTGGACATGTTGGCCTCTGGCGCCTTCGCCTCGTGCTCGCCCGCCTTTGCATCCTTCTGTGCCTCGGCCGGGCTGTCCTTGCCCGCTACCTGCTTCTCGCCATGCTGCTTCTTGTCCTTGGGCTCCTCGGGCGGCTGTGTGGCGAATCTCCGCGTCCGTTGCTGCGCGTATAAGCACTGTGGAATGGGCGCGCGTCTGCGCAGTGTGAAGGGTGCTCGTGATGCGGCGGTGCAGTTGGAGCGTGTGAGGCGCGCTAGTTGCCCTGTCCGGCGGAGGAGCGTCGACATTGCGTGGGCGAGGGTGGGTCGTGTGTGTGTGAGGGCAGGAGTGAGGGAGGGTCGCGTCTTCACAGGGCTCCCTTCACTGATAGTCGTCCTAGTCGGGGTGGCGGCGGGATGGCGAAAGCTTCTGCCACTCTGACACACGACGGTGACGCCTACAAAATCGTGCCAAGCCGCACATGACTAAGCCACATCGAAGGCTGCAGAATCGCCCCGCCATCTTCAGCCGCAGCCTCGTCTTGAACCATAATATTATACCAATATCTAGACTTGCGGTTATTACTCGTGAAATGACATCCATCATCCCAAACATATGGTTATATGACTCCAACACAAGCACGTCAAGAGCGAGTATGCTGGTCTGAATTGGGAAACTACAACATAGACGTCAACTCACAACCACCAAAGACTCACACCGACACCATGTGGACAAGAATTCAGGCGTGATGAAAGACAATGAAGACGTCACACTGACTTGCACTGTGATGACGGTATGATAGACAGGTTCATTCAAATTAATAGACTAGACTATTCAGAGTCGGCTCAATACGTATATGTAGGTGTATGTAGGGTAGAGACAGACAGACAGCAGGCAAGCGAGGAATCATGACGCAACACCTGTCCATAGAAACTCATAAATCCCCATCGTAACTTCATCACCGACCTTCCGTCCCCATCATCATCCTAGCCATTTCAATCGTCATGTCCTAACAAACCCCTTCATTACCGCCAATAGCGCTAGCCGCGCAACCACTCGGGTAGAAGAAACTCGAGAGCGCAATGATAGCATACGAGCCAATCAACAGACTACCCTCGAGGTAATTACTCCTTCCGTCCAAGATGAGGAAGTTGACGATGAGGACCGCAACAAACAGACACACCGTCTCGAAGATGTTGAAGTACAGCGTCATCGGCTTGCCCATGCACCAGCCCAGAATGACAACAAGAGGTGTGATGAAGAGAGCGATCTGGATGGAAGATCCGACTGCAATACCGATAGCCAAATCCATCTTGTTCTTCATCGCCATCGCAACGGCAGTGACGTGCTCGGCGGCGTTGCCGACGATGGGAATAACGATCAAACCGATGAAGGCCTGGCTGATACCAGAGCTCTCAACCATGGGGTCGATAGCATCGCTCATGAAGTCGGCACAGATGGCTACCAGACCGGTGCTGATGAGGAGCATGAAGATGGCGGCCTTCATCGACATGGCAGGGCCGTGTTCTTCGTCATCTCCTACAGTGACAGCAGCTGGTACCCCCGGAAGCATTGAAGTGCGGTTGGCCACGCCCACCTGCGAATTCTCGCGGTTGATGCGCTCGGGTAATGACCTGCTGCGACGCAGAGATCCAGGAGCTTGTCCAGCTGGAACAGCGCCCTGAGGATTGACAAACACGTTATTCGAGAGCAGCGACGGAAGAGCGGGTCGGAACGGACGACGGGTGGCGGATGAGGTGACCTCTCCGTTTTGGATGTCCTCTGAAAAGGCGACCTTGGGCCTGGTACTTGTCGGTTCAGGGTGCTTCTCGTCCATTTTCTTTTCGTCGGTGAGATTCTCAAGATCGCGTTTGTGGTGCTTCCGGCTCTTGTGCCTGCGCTTCTCCTTCTTGGTGTGAGGAAGAGAGGTGTGTGAGGCCGTTTCGAAGTCGCGAATAACAGGAGCGTATTGGTCGTCGTCAGCCTCATCGCCGCTCATGACAGCGTCCAATGCCACCTGACGAGAGACGTGGCCGCCTTCGGCAGTGGCATCATGCACACTAGCATTCCTCGTTGCGGAGTGGCTTCCGAGATTCTCCACAGAACCAGAACTCGTGATGGAGTGTGCAGACGGAAGGTCTCTGGAGCTTGCGCTCGACTTGCGACGTAGACGGTTAACCATACGCTTGGCCTTCCGCCTCATGGTTCCTTGTGATGAGTTGGAGGAGTCGCTATCATCACTGCTGGAACTCGACGATGAGGAGCTGGACGAGTCGAATACGTCTGCCAGAACACCAGGATGAGACTCCTCGTCGACGATGTGCTGGGGAGTGCTGGCATAGAGGTGTCTGTGACTCTTGAGCTGGAAGAGCAGATACAGTCCGTAGATGATCAACAGGATGATGCTTGTGCCACGGCTCACGGACAACGTCTCGTGATCGGCAATCTTGTAGTCCTGGAACGCGGCGTGGAATGCAGTGGGAATGACCAAACTCATGACTGCAAGAGCGAGCATGACACCGTTCATCTGCGTGACGTAGCTGTTGTAGACCTGGCGTATGGTTAGTGACTGGAATGCAGGAAAGATGACAGTGTGAGCTTACCTGCTCTTGGTACTTCAACCCTCCAAGAAGAAAGGCCATGCCTAAGATAAGAAGCAAGTTCGCCAGAATCGATCCGACTAATGACGCCTGGACGACTGCAAGCTGGTTCGACTGGAGCAGGATGATGAAGAGGATAAGCTCGACGGCGTTTCCAAACGACACGTTGAGAAGCGCGCCCCAAGTGTCACCAACACGTGTAGCGCAAACCTCGGTCGCGTGCGCAAGCAAGCCTGCCAGAGGAATAATGGCAATGGCGTTCATGGAGAAGATGAGCTCAGCCTTCAGGCCGATGACCTTGACGACGATGCCGATGGGTACGAACACCAGCAGGACATTGATCCAACTCCATGTCAAGGCATTCTTGGTGTGGGTGAGAAATCGTAGAGATCCGTTCTTGAACCGCGTGGGAGACCACAGCGGAAGCTTGGCAGACTCTACGGTGGACGCCGTCTCTCCATCGGCCGTGGTATTAAGCACGCCTGGGGCAGACGACGAGGTGTTGTGTGCAGCATTGTTGTTGTGTGCATTGTTGTCGCGCTTGTTGCGTGAGCCATGTTTGATGATAGGTTTCTCAGTGAGAGAGCTGCTGTCGGAAGCTCCACGCTGCGCATCTGGCCCACTTTGGCCGGGACGGGTGTGGGGGTCACTGATGGGGAGGATGGGCTGAGTGTGCTCTTTGCGTGTCAATCCGAGTGCAGCGGCTGCCTTGGACTTGACACTGCGTGGTTTAGAGGGTTGGTCTGGCTCTCCCATCGGTTGCTGTTGTGAGTTGTGTATGAAGACGAAGGCGTACAGGAAATGTACAGAGAGTGAGATAACCTGGATCGAAGTGAGGCGGAACCTCGCCTTATCTAGTGTTGGCACGGACTGGGTAAGCTTGATCGGATAGCGGCATGGCGATTGTCGTCACAACGCACACAGCCACTCTACGCCACTTCATGTGCCCAATCACCACTTCTCGCTTAGCCTGCGACTCTGCCGGATTTGAACGACTTCCTACTTACCGGGATTCTGGGCAGCCAGACGCGTGTCATGTTATGAGACGTGGTCATTGCGTACTACGACGTAGGAAAGCACGTCCCTACGAAACACCGGTACACCGTACATGAGCGGAGGCTTGGCACTGCTCACCGTCAATGTTAGCTCCCTGTCAAGATGTCAGATGTTTAAGTAGGGTTTTCAGCCGCTCGGAGTACTCTCTTACCCGCACTGAGGAGCACTAAATGTCTTTGAGACCGCGCAATTTGTATTGAATTTGTATCACCTACACAAAGTTTGACCTGACGTTGGTGACCCCCCTGCAGTGCACGGGCCTTCTGGCGTAAGTCCGGCACATCTTACGCCTCACGCGACACCTTAATAAGGGAAATTGTGGGACTATACAACTCCGACGATCTTAGTGACATAATTCCAGAAACAAGCATACAGGAAATGAGGCTGTTGGACTTGACCCCAGAGTTGTTCGCTCACGTCATTCACGAGTTGGTCGCAGAGGTGGGTATCTGCGACTCATTCCGGTACCGCCGCGTGTGCAGTGAGTGCTGCCTACGCAATACAAACCTTGAATGCTAACACCACCAGAACTTTTCGCTGCAGAGATCTTCCGAAATGTCGTGCAAACATGTCCAGTCTATGCCTTCCACACGGAGGTCGAGCCACCTAGAAGATCATACTTGCGCTCAGTAGATACCCCAGGGCAACGGTTTCAACGCCTCTTCTCTGTTCACGGTCATGTTATCATGCAACAACGTCTCTTGGGGCCACATAAGTTCCAGTCGCGGGTAGCAAAGTGTCTGGACGACGTATTCGAAGCGATACTGCTCCTCGAAGGTTCTGGTTCGTCTGAGATCCGGAGATCTTATGCGCACGATATAGGAACTGCTGTACTCTCCAGTCTCAAGAAAAACGCTTGTTGGGCTATGACCCAAGACAATCTCAAAACTTTCAGTGCAGACGAGTTCTACCAGAGCTCTGAAAACTCTCCTCGATTATTCCTGCCTGTGGCCGCTGCTGCCGTAGGAAGTCTGTCTTTGTTTCAACAGATAATATCTTGCGACGATGACATTCTCAACCAGCCATGGCCTTTCCATAGTCCCTTGAGCGCTGCTGTTGCCAACTGCCACCTTGAGGTGATTAAACACATACTCCAGTTATACACCAAGCGCCTCGCACGTCTGCATGCGGAAGGTGTAATGTCAGGCGAAATCCACTTACGGCAGACTGTGCACCACGCAGTCATGGACGGAATTGATGCCTGCCAGCCAGATGCCACCGCTCTAGTGTTTGCCTGGGTGCTGGAGAACAAAGGCGGTCCCATCTATGAGAGACTTCGTCGCAGTTTCTTGGTGATCATGCGATGTTGTATCAATCACCGCCAGCCTCAAATTGCGTATTCTGCGGTAACACTGTTCAGCAACGAGGGTGAACCGACGTTTCCGGAATCCTTAAAGGGATATCTACTCGAAAAAGACGACGGCAGTGTGCTTCGCCACTTTTATCAGGCAGGACTCTTAGACATTGGGATTTTCCAACATGCTCCACTAGTGGCTGGGGTGCTACCACCAGTTGGTCAATGTCTCTTCGATATGATCCTCCAACTTGGAGCCAACATTGATGACCTATTTCCCGATACCCTTACGGGAAAGAGTCTCCTCTGGCATGCTGTTGATTCCGGGAATGAGCAACGGGTCAGGTTTCTTCTCGAACATGGTGCAGACCCAGATGCAAGCACAGGTGACGGATCACCTCTTCAAGTTGCTAAGGGTCATGGACAACAATCAATCGTCGACACTCTCTTGCGGGCGAAAGAATTGCGGAACAAGTGAGGTAGGAGTAGCGCATACACCGACAGTTACATTTCCATTAGATAGAGCTCATCATGAACACGACGACACGATGAACGTATATTTTTCTCTCTTTGCTTCATCATCTGCAGGTTACTACGGCCGACCGTTTGGTTGCAGAAACAATGGATTGAATCCTGATGACCCAGCAAATATTTCTCTCGCATAGAAAATAAGTCTACAGCCACGCTAGAAAAAAGATCTAGAAATCGAAACAGAGCAAGAGATCAAGGAGCTTCACTACATATCCAATCTCAACACTCTCTAGTGTTTTAGTAACAGAGTCGCTATCTTGATATTACTATAGTTTTGTATCATACCACTACTTAGAGTCATATTTTCCTGCAACCGGTGAAGCAGCTTTGCGACACATGCATAGTTCTCAATATGGAAAGATGACTCATCGCGATTCGCCAAGGTGTACTCCTTGTGGGATATATAGCACACATTGACACTCAGTTCGCTTCCAAACACCTCGTCATGTTCATCTTCTCCAGCTGGCATCAACATCGAGTCAGGCTTAGTCATGAAACTCCTTGAACTGCCTCCCGAGCTCTTCTCTCAGATCGTCCATGAGCTTGTTTTGGAAGTTGGTGTTTGCGAAGCCTTTCAATACCGGCTTACTTGTAGTGAGTGTCAACTTCGAGATATAGTTTGGTAAGAGGTATACTGATTTCTAACTTTCAAGGGTCATTCGCCAGGTTTCTCTACAAGGAGATTATTTTCTACCAACCCGATCAGTCTTACTATGACCACTTCCTCCGCTGGCCACGAGAAGGCCTGACTTGGGGCCAACGACCCACCCTTAGCGAGCTAGTCAAGAAGTTTGGTGCAACAATACTGGCTGCCAGGCTCATCGCACCATACGGTTTTGGAGGTATTCTTGTGGCGTGGCTCACGTCAGTTGTGCAGGAGACGTCGCGATTTGATGATGGTGTCTCAACTTTCACCAAAGAACAGTGTTCAGCAAACATCTGCAACGCGTTGGGGCCATGCGGGGTTCTCTACGACTATCTTACGAACAAGGGGCTGGTCATACCGAAGGAATATCATGGCTCTGTACCAGCGGCGGCAGCAGCAGCGTCTGGAAATGTCGCAGCGTTGCGCAAGATCCTCCTTGACAACGTGAAGCGCGGAGTTCCGCTGCGACCCCTAGGTGCCTCAATTGTTGTGGCTGCAGTCTCAGGGCAAGCCGACGTCCTGAGAGAGCTGCTGCTATATGCAGGCAGCATTATCAAACCCCCAGCCTCGTTATTGAATGGTGCCATGAAGGCGGTGATTCGTCAAAATCACTTGGAATGCGCGGAGTTGTTGTTCTCCTATCAACAATCTACTAACCTATGTATAATAACCATGCGCTCTTACCAGAATGACTGTTTTGTCACGGGATCACGCCAGATGCTTGACATCATCCAGAAGGAAAAACGCCAACCGAATTTTTCCCTCCACCTCGATGAATTACAGAAGATAAATGCGCTTTCGAAGGCTACACCAGAGCTCTTTCGTTTGCTCCTCCAGGATGGCCTCATCAAACCGAACTCCGCCTTAGACATATATTGCGGCCATAAAACCGCTTTGGGGGTCGCATTGTCAAACGATCGATATGATATTGCACGCATGCTCATCGAGCATGGTGCAGACGTAAACATGAGACCACCATCAGCACCACTCGGAGTGACGGCGCTTTGGCATGCGTCGAACGACGGAGACATAGATGCGGTCAGATTTCTTCTTGATCATGGTGCCGAGATAGGCTATAAGACTGGCGACTCGTGTTGTCCGATAGAGGCAGCTACAGAGCGCGGCCATACTGAGATACTCGCGTTGCTCCTCGATGCGAAGGCAGCCCGCAACTCCGACTAGATACTGTGAGAGTTGCGCGATGCACAGTTGGTTAGCCTCAGCTAAGTCGAGGGTACAGGTGACAAACATTTGGCGTGTCAAGGTCGTCTGAATTGATGCGTGGCTCTTCCAGCCTCCTTCTCCCTGCACTGAGGTTGGTTCGTCTTTAGTCATTCTCGGTAGCCTGGAGCGAATCTACTCGTGGTATTTACTTTTCACACTAATTGTTTTCTTCCCAAAAGAGTTTTGGTCATCATGAGGACCATGGAGTATAGAGGGGGGTGGATAAAGATGTGTTGCAAATCTTGATTCCTCAAATAACAATGAACTCGCCAGGACATACCTACAACAAACGTGAAGTAACACACGTCCAGATCGACTTCGTCAACTTGATTCTTCTTTCACTTCGCTTGGAAGTTCACCTCATGCCATCTCACGCCACCATGTCAATACTGTCATCATGCTTAACGTTGCTAAAGAAGTTCCGTCAATATCCAGTGTTTCTAAATGTTGATATGCAACGGAACGAGCCCACCCTTTGGACTAATGTATGGAATCCAAAAGCCAGGTCTCATACTGATTCATGGACTTGAGGGATTTGCGGACTAGAACATATGAGCATGGCTTGCACGTTATCAATCATGATGAAGTTCACTGCCATTTTTCATTGTCGATGCGAGGAAACTTTTGTGCGCGATATACCGCCTTTCCCTTCATGGCTATAGCTTGTGATAGACTCTGTTAGGAAGCTTCATCAAAGCCAAACCTATCCGGTGCCCACGTACCCCGTTCAGTCATCGTGTAAACATACCACCTCTGCCATCTGCGATGATGAGATGCAATTCTTGTACCGAACAGACTGATGCTCTTCTAGGGCGGCTTGGGCACTTTCGAGATACCAAGTGGTCATTTTCTCCGTGGGCAACCACCTGGCAAACACCGTGTACTACGCCTGCGCTGCCTTCACCTCACGATGGATATCTCTCACCCGGAATATGACCCTTGGTCATCTTCTATCAGTCTAGATATGTTAGATGAACGCATTTGCTGCTCAGTCTAAAACCTTGCATCGGTATTTTTGTTCTGTATGCGGGGTCATGTCATAGTTCGCTTTTCTCTATCAAGACAAAGCTTGCAGCCCTACGCCCATGTATGCACTCACTGACAAGATAGCCCATCACGACCCGTTTTGGAGACTATCATAATCATGAAACACGGTGATGTTCCTTTGTGTTCTCACCTTCACCTTCGCCTTCACCGATAGTGGCTCTTTACTACACCCCCCACGTCTCTCTACTTCTGCAACCTCAAGCCTTCTTTGCCAGTTCGAATATACCTACACTCCATCACAGCAACACCAACCTACGTCAACATGGAACTCTTGGATCTCCCGCCGGAGGTCTTTCAGCAGATCGTCGCGATCTATGTCTCCACTGTCGGCATTCGTAAGGCGGCGAAGGCTCGAGAAACGTCAAGTAAGTTAGTTGATTGGCTGCCCGATACATACCGCTGACTACAACAGAAACCTTCTTGTGCTACATCAACGAGGAGATGTTTGCGCGACAACCTACCAACAAGTTCACCACCCGTGTGCCAAAGAAGCTTCTCACAAAGAACATGGCCCTGTTCTTGGAATACCGCAGTCAAGCATTATACGGCGCCCCGGACATTCTACCATCCATGATTCAGAAGACGACGATGAAATTCATGGAAATCACCGGCGAGACATCCAGCGATGTAGGATCGAAATGGATCAAGCGAGTGACAAAACAAGTCGTTCAACATTGCGGTGTCGTTATGTATCTTGCCATAACACCAACCGCAAAAAGGCGTAAGGACTTCTTCAACAACTCCTGCAAGAACTCAGAAGACTGTGATGCATTGATGCTTGCAATCTCTCTCGACGACCTAAATCTCGTCTCTGCCATGCTCCGCCGAGGTATCAACCTTTGGATGAAATCCCCTACCTTGGGATATCCTCTCCACCTTGCCGCACGTATAGGAAACCTGGATGTTTTGAGCGCTTTGCTATCATCAGGCGTAACAGACAAGAGCGAGTTGTCAAGTTTGCATTGTAGCAACAGGATCGGCGAAGCTATCTTTGCAGCCAAACACGACACAGAATCGAGGATTGCTATCGCGCTATTGAATTTCTACACCCTTCATGTTGGCCGGCCGTCTCTGTCCTGGTGCAGTCGCATGATATATCACGCTGTCTCTGGAAACGAACCCAAGTTTCTTGATGTAATCTTGTCTCTTGAAGTTCCCCGGTCGTGGAAAGAGAAGTATAGGGAAAACGTGATGTTCGGTTTCAGGCGCTGCAAAAGCCCAGAACCTATACTTCATGTTTGCATCGACCGGGATTTGATATCTCTTTACGGAGAGTATCGCTGCTACGAAAGTGATGCGAGGCAAACCCTAGCTGAGCTTGCAGTAAAGTACCATAATACTGAGATGGTAAATGTTCTCTTAAAATTCAACAAATCGTCATATTTCTGGGACGCACCTCTTCGATTAGCAGTGGAAAGAAACTGTGCGGACATCGTGCAGATTCTTCTACACCATGGAATAGACCCCGAAGGGCCAGGTTGGAAATTACACCGGCAAAGCCTGTGCGAGGTTGCTAAGAGCCGGTCAGAGGTTTATTTCATGGTCAAAAAAGCCCTGGAAAAAAAGATCCGCAGGCTCGGGGAAGACTATGAAGCGCCACTGTACCTTATCTGGGATCCGAAGAAGCAAGCAGATGTTCGAGTCGCCTACAGCTTCCACGCTCCCAAGCTCTGAGCGACAGATCTACGACACAGTACACAGTGGAGGCATACCGATGAAAAGGATATATTTGTCAGATGGGTTTGTGCAACTACGACCACTTCAGGACCCCACGGATCCGTTCTTCCGACTTTTGATGCGTTCTGCTTCCAACCGTCTGCGGCCCTGTCCATTTCATCATGAAGAATTTGCGTTCAAATCGAACATTATGCCTGAGCCATCAATTTCTGATGCCAAAGGCGTCTTTTGGGCGCCCTTGTAGTTTGCGTTTCAGTGACTCTTTTCTCAGTAGCAATAGTTATCTAAGTCGGCAATAATAGTCACCATGAAGACTTTCTCTTCCAACTCACCATCCTGAGAATGCTGATGCCCATTCCAATCAACAAACAACGGTGTCTAACTACGAAAGTACCGCGTGCTGGCTCAGTGTAAAGGTCTTTATGCTCCATGTCTGCTGGGTACTCCGAGCAGTCGCATCTACAACTTGTTGCTTGGAGAATGCATTCCCATTCCTCAACAACCATCCTTCCTTTCCAGCACTCCTGATATCCATGGCTTCAAGATTTGCCGTCACCACTGTGGCAATCTAGGCTTGGTTCTTCATACGATCTTGTCACTTCCCACCCCAGTTTGCTCTAATTGATAACTGTGTCACGCTCCTGCATAAGCCACCGATTCATACCATTCACATCTCCGTGTAGCTGCCTCGTACTTGATTGCTCTTTTCTTAGTCGTCGTGCGATTCAGCTACTCATTGTAGGGGTGTTCTTTGACTGTGTGGATTGTTACACTGTTGAGCAAACCATAACATTCCAAACCTCTTCTAATTTGTTTGAAGTATGAGGACATAGAGATATCTAACGGGATGATGTTAGGCTATCTGTACGTTGATGTCGTCAGTAGTCTCTCAATTCGTCTATGAAAATCGCCAGAATGCGGACTTTTGGGTGTGGGGAAAGGTTCAGGCGAACTCGTGGACCAAGAGTATAGGTTTGGGTGTCAGTGGGCTTCTTCTCGGTGGTCATTGCAACCATTGAAGGTACTCCGTAGCTTTTGATGGGTATATGAAGACACTGCTTACTGAATCTGATCTGAACCAACCTGTTCAATATTCTCGCGACCTCGAGCGGTCATCTCGTTTGACAGAGCATAACCCATTTGTTCTCTTCCACACTCCACGAGTGGGGGGGTTACAAGTACTGTCGCCTGTAACGAAATGACTCTTAGCAGTTCTAACTGTCCCCCGCTTGAGCAGCAGTCCTAGTACATCGAGCGAGCTACCAAAGCGACCGGGGTCTGTTTTCCCTTTGTCGCAGTTCAGCCCCACGCACGCATATATCTTATTCAACCATAGCCCGCACGCCATCGCCCACTAGTAACAAGAAGGGCTAGCCAGTTGATCGAGCAAGTCCATTGGATATTGTTGCTGGGTTCAGCTGCATATGATCAGGTTCTGTCATATTCCACTGTCAACCTACCAAAACAACCAACACTAAGGCCCAGCGCTTGCTCACATCAACCATGAATCTCCTTGATCTCCCACCAGAGATCTTCTCGATCATCATACGGCACTTGGTAAACACGGAGGACGTCAAGCAAGCATGGCTGAGCCGGAGTGTCAACAGTAAGTTTTCACAACAGCCTATTCGGGATATGCATGCTCACGAGAACAGAGGGGTTCTGCGACTACATCACTGCTGAAGTTTTCGGGTACCAACCCATGGCTGCCTACATGAAGAACAACCACGTATTCTTCAAGCGACACATCGAGAAGTTTCTAGAACACCGTGTCCTTGCGGCAGAACAGTGTTTCCCCGCTACTCACATCCGAGGAGTCCCGGTTCTTCATGGGGCCCCAGTCGCACTACCGTACCTCATCAAGAAGATTGTCGATGTTATCATGATTAGCTTGGATAATCCGACGCCACGACTTCGCCATGGGTGGGTTCGCAAAGTATGTGCGGTAATGAAACGCGCCGCCTCCCATCCTGGAGCACTCAAGCTTGCCACACGACCGACCAAGGACACGATCAGGGATTTTTCCGAGAGGTCTGGGGAAGAGGAAGCACTTGCTATCGTGGCCATATTAGGCTTCGACAACCTCGCGCTACGCCTTCTGAACCGGAACATCTGTCCGTTGAAGAGGATACGCCTGTTTGAGAGCTATGCCATCAAGTTTGCTGTCGAAAGGGGTCGCACTACTATGGTCCAGAACATGCTGGCTCACTCTAGCAGCGGCGCAGATCGCGACCAGAAGCGTGAACGCAAGATCATGATCAGGCGCTGCATCGATTATGTGCTGGCCAAAAATGACAAGATTGCGGCCGACCTACTGCATTGGTATATCACCCACGGCAAGTGCAGTCCCGGCACGGAATGGTTCAAGCGAGCTTGTGAAGCTGGTCAGGTACAGTTCTTGTCGATGATGCTGGACCCATCACAGAAGAAAGAGTTTTCCAGCTATCGGCACTCCTATCTAGGCCGCCATCTCTACAAAAATGCAACCCACCTCATACCTGTCTTCTTGGCCAAGGGTCTCTTCGACGCTGACAACATCAACGACCCTCAACCGGAATCCGAGGAAGAGAATATACACCGCGGAACGAGCCGTCATTCGCAGTCCCTCCTCGATGTCGCAGTGGGTCAAGGTCAGCTGGAGCTTGTTCGCACTGTTCTCAATGCTGGCGCGCATCCAGACGGTGTGAAGCTTCACCGTTCCCCATTCTCCTACCCGATCAAGAGAGCTATCAAGCATCACAGGATTGATATCGCAAACTTGCTGATCGAGCGAGGTGCTGACATCACAGCTGGTGGTCAAGAGATGTGAACATGGGAAATGCCATGCCGTAGTGCTCCAAAGAGCATATATTCTGCGAAATGAGATTTTGTTAGTGGTCTTGAGCCTCCAGAGGGTGCGGCAAGTCAGTCCTTTCCATGTTTGTGTTCAAGCTGGTCGGTTCAGTCAAGGTACTTCTCAGATGCCGAACATTTGTACGAGAAGAGAAATGCCGGTGTAATTGGCAATGGTCAGCGGAAAGGTTTCGCGTACATGTGATCACCAGGTTTTGAAATGGCTATGTATTGGGTAGTCAGACTCTCGAAACCTCAATTGTAATCCTCGTTTGCTGATCTGTTTGTGATTGTTGTGACTAGACAAAACTTTGCGTTGCCATGCCGAACCACTCGAGGCAAGATCTTATGCGTTAGCAGCAAGGTCTCGTTTAGATTCCCACAGCCATAGCATAGAGTGTGAGGTGTCAACTAGAAAAGTAGTTCATGTTCAAGAGGACAGTGAGCTGCCCCAAGTTTGCCGACAGGTCGCTTGCTTCCATGGTAGCCATCAAAAAACTGTCCCTAGGGATAGACTGTTCCATGAAATACAATGGCTTGAGTTTAGAGTTCTCTCATCTCGCAAGACAAAAGTGCTTCCAACAGTACACCCAAAGGCATGATCGTTGCTTTCACGCATGAGGATAGACGTAGTTTGGTAGCGATCTTTTTCGAACCAATCAGATCGATGACATGGTTTCTACGGTAGCCCCGCCTCCATCCGTAAAACTCAACAATGTAACCTCAATCAGAACTCGCAACCGTACGTCCTTTCGATATATATCCTGAAGCGCGCGAATCCAATGCGACATCCATCGTAGGTACCTGGAAAACAGGCGTTCATGATTTGTGGAATATTAGTGAATGCGTGACTCGGCCAGTCAATTCTGGGAGTTTCATCACTCGTACTGGCAGCATATGCACTTCGCGCTTTCGCTGTATGTTGTATGGGTCAATTTCAAGCACACCGTCCTCTCCAGCAAACTATTAAGCATCTAAACTTCGATACTCCACTACATAGGAACGCGGATCGTAACCACCAAGCCACTCAACAACCGGCAACATGACGCCCGTCGTATATCTCGATCGCCTCCCTATAAATTCGGAGCCATCCTTCATACACACTGTGTTCGACGACGACGAGAAAGCTGGTATCAAGGAGATCCACACGTTTCCAGGCGGCCGCGGCGCCTGTGCCTGGGTTGTATTCGACTCCCAAGAAAATGCAGAAAACGCTGCCGCAAGGTACGATGGGCGTCAATTTGGGCCAGTAAGCCAGAAAACCCACGCGTCACTCAAACCCGAGTCTTTGATCCCTACATCTGCCACAAATACCTTGACCAAGTTTCTCCACGACCGTGACAACCAGATAGAGTCGCGCACTGTTAGAATCACGCACTTGCCTGAGAACCACACGCTCCGCAGTATGAATGCACTCTTCGGGCCAATGATGGAGGCTTTCGACTGCCATGAGCCCGAGGAGGACCCATACTTTGGAAGCTACGAGCCCAACGAGATCTTGCATATGAAGTCTCCGCAGCCCGGGGTTGGTTTGGTGCAGTTAGCAAAGCCGAGTATGGCGGTCAAAGTTGTTCGTGAATTCGCCGGCACCTATTTGAAAAATGGCACCTTGGATTTGCGTTGCGTGCCGGACGAAGAAATGGAAGACCTACTTGTCGATACTGGCCCCGCGCATGGAAAGGCTATTCAGCTGTTTGTTGGTGGTATCAAGCCCGGTTCCTCGAAGGCAGATATCCAGAACATCTTCACAGGCTATAAGGTGCTCGATGTCAGAATTCCTGGAGGAGGGAAGAGCTTCTGCTTCATGTTTGCACGCCAGAAGGATGCGGATGCTATTTTGGCCAAATACGAAAAAGGCTTCAATTTTGAGGGCAGGACGATTCGTGTCAACCTGGCAGATAAAGGCAAGAAGAAGGGTGGGGGCAATCCGTCTACTCCTGGCTCCCCCTCCACGCCCAGAGGCTCAACGACCGACCTAAAAGTCAACAATCTACCGTATGGGGTAGCAGAATCCACCATACGCATGCTGTTTCAGGGTTTCAATGTTTCCAAGGTCGTGATCAGGCATGGCTTTGCTTTTGTCGGCATTGCATCGAACGAAGTAGAGCGTGCCATTCAAGAACTGAACGACAAGCCTATTGGTGAGATGAATATCTCTGTGAAGGTTTCTGAGCGTCGTAAAGGCTGAACTAAGTCTATGGTCATCTCCACGGACAGAGTGCATTATCGGATGGAGCTCTTGGAATCGGGGACTGGCACTTGACGTTTTTGAAAACCTCTTTAGATGGGGCAAAAGTTACGCACACTTGGCAAAGTCTCGTACATGTTGGACTTCCGTGATGCATCAGTTGCTAGATATCTTGTTTCGGCGTTATTATTGCTGTGTCAATGGATTAAAGTTTTCCAAGACCCTATATCCCTTGCGATGTTACAGGCATTTGCCCGACACCTATCGATGAGACACATGTTATTCGAAATCACTGGGTTCGTAATCCAGCATCGAAAACACAATCACAAGAATCTTGAATGATGACCAAAATGTTTGAATTATACCGTTACGAAAATATATACTTGAAGCTTGAACCTCCCCATGCATCTCGACTTCACCTAGACGACTACGACCAGTGAGTAGTAGCACCGATCGCCGCTCCACTAGCAGGGAGCAAGAAGTCACTCGCGGCAATCTTTCCGTTAGCCTGCCTCTTGCCCTGCACCAACGAGACGTCCACACTCTTGAACGCACTGTTCGCCCACGTCGCACTCCCGCTCCAAGAGTTACCGCTCAGCTTCTGCGAAGAGCTCAATGTCACTTGTGCCGAATTTGAGGTGCTCTTCATGTTGCTCGCCGCAATGTTGTCGCGGAAGGTGACCACTGCGTTCTTTGCGTTGAAGCCGACGTCCGGGTTGTTGAAGGCTGTATTGCGCAGCATGACGAAGTTGCCCGTCTGCGAGTTGTCGGTGAAACCCTTGGCTGCGTTGGCAAAGGCGATGCAGTTTGTGATGTTGTGGTCTGCGGGGCCAATGTCGCCGGCGTTGCCACCGCCGAGCTTGAAGCCGTTGCCATCGCCAGCGAAGTCGGTGAAGGACCAACGGTTGAAGCCGTTACCCCAGGAGATGGTGTCGACGATGGTGATCTTGGATTTGAACTCCCTGGTTGACATATTAGTTCATCGGTCTGTAACTTGCATGTTAGTAGAATTTTAACGTACCACAAGTCAAGTCCATCATCGACGTTATTCCATAGCCTAGCGCCCTTCAGGATGTTGCCCTCACCACTTCCCTCCTTGATGGCAATTCCATCGGCACTTTCGCCGTTTTTCCTCGGGTCACGGTTACCCCACGAATCCAAGTAGTAGATCTTGTTGTTCGCGCTGGCACCCTGCAGTTGGAAACCAGTCTCGTAGTTCTGTCTTGTAACCAGCCTCTCGAAGACATTGTTGTTCGAGCTGTCGGCATACACGCCATACGGTCCGTTGATCAGCTCAAGACCCACAAACTTCCAGTAGTTTGCCTTCTCGATATGCAGAACACCGCGGTCGGCGCCCGCGAGACTTCCACCAACAGGGGCAGGTGTGCCCGTAAGCGCCTCGCCATCCAGGATTGGAACTTCGGTCTGGTATGCGGACAGAGTGATGGGTGCGGCTGAGGTTCCGGACTTCTTGATCTGGATGTTGGTCGTGAGCGCGTATGTGCCGCCACGGAGGAAGATTGTGTCGCCAGCAACAGCCTTGTTGACGGCGGTCTGAATGGATTTCAAGGGCGCGGCGAGGCTACCTGCGGCACTGTCCGAGCCGGTAGGAGCGACGTAGATGGTCGCGCCCAGCACGGAGGGCAGGAGCAGGAAAACTGTTTGAAGCATAGTGAGCTGCATGATGACGGATAGAATGAGTGACTGAGATATGAATTGAAGTGGAAGAGATAGTGTTGGACAATAACTCAATGCTTCCTAGGATGATACCGGGGCATTTCGTATATATATCTCTTTTCGCCTACTCCCAACTTCTCATTTCCTCCTGGCGTAATGTGTTTCTCATTCCGCAATCGCATGACCTTGCTTGGCACTTGCCACTGAGTCCAACGTACCATAATCGAGAGTAGGACGTTTCATGCCAGTGAATCGCGGGAGCCACGCGATACCCGTTTCACGCCACGCCTTGCCCGAAAGGGGGGACGTGGGAACAGAAAGAGACCAACTTCCTTTCTTGGCGGACTCTGCATAGAACGAAACACACATTCCACTGCATATCTTCCCCGGTAAACAAATTTCCGCGGTCGTGTATAACGGGGGAAATCTCCGGAGGCTTGGCTGACAGGGATATTGACTACCACACCACCAGAGGATAGAAGTAAGCTTATCTTGTGTTTGATGTACCTAGCTCGGTGTAAATTGTTCCGTAGCATATATAATGTCGTGTGTGATGGATAGACGCACTGTAAATCAGCCTCGATATTCGGCGACCCACGGAATTATTGCTCTTGAGATGCCTTAAAATTGTCTTCCTGACGCCCAGATATCTAGAACCATCGCGCTCGCACTCGTTTGTCTATAGTGGATTATTTCTCCCTCGTGGCAAATTCCCGAGATCCTACACGTGCTTGGCGCCTTGGTACCAAGCCGCCTAAATTGTAGCGAGTTTCGGATGAACGAGGCTTGTCGAAGTCAAGTGTTCTAGCCCTAAGCCGTCATATGCTAGTGCCGTTCGATGTCTCTTACAAACCTTTGAAACACTCTCTTTTCGCCTGAATATAAACCTCGAAGATTGCTATATCGCAGAGCGTAGACTTTCCTCACGCCCAAACTCGTTATGTTCTGAACCACAACCCGACACCTCCATCACCAAATACTCTGTATTCATATGCTCTAGAAATGGATGAATACTGACTCGAGTTTCGGTGCAACGAAAGTCATTATAAAGACCGAGCCAGGTAGGGAAGGTACATCGAACACACCGTCTTATGCATCATCTATCGAAACTCAACGGCGAGCGAGCACACATAATCACTTAATACGAGCACATGGACGACTGTAGAGGCGACTGCCAGAGTAACGTGCAGTAGCTCTTACGGGAAGCAAGCCTCGTCTAAGTGCACAGACTTGATCATGGATATCATGCTGTTTGACAGCTTGTCACGACTTGCCAGCTCGAGCATTTCCCAGCTAGCCAGTCAGTCCGGATATCACTCACTCATTCACTGACATTCAGCTAGAAGAAACTGAACTCGACTAACGTCCTACCAGCAGAGCATAGCGCAACAGACCCCCCAGACAGTGATCTCATGCCGCTCCGCTATTTTCAAGACCACGTTTGCTTAGTACTGCTGTAGATCTCCCACTCCGTCTCTCCACAAACCACAGCTGCAAGGTTTTCTGGCTAAACACCTACGCCTACTTGTAGCTTACACATAGCATATATCCTCCTACAGATCACTAATCGTGACAATAACTCGCGAGGTATACGATTGAACACTCACGCATCTCCTATGCTGACTGCGATTCCATGATATGCCATCTTTCCTCAATATCGCATTCAGCGTTGCCGCCCACCTTTCTACTCTCTGTACATACCACTGGAGGAAGGCGCTCCCAGACGAAAGTCCGTAATACTTAGCAAACCACACAGCATATATCCCATGACAAATCCCTGTTCGCGCAAACAACCAGCCATCATGCCGAAAATTCCAACACTCAAGCACTTCCATCCACTAACTACATCCTCATCTCAGACATACTTGATCGAGTACACAGCACAACAATGAAAAAAATGAACAAAAAATAGCAGGATAGTAAGTAATGGCAGAATAAGCGACAAACTCCCTCCAGCGCACGCTGAATCGCGCGTGTTTCGCGCTGAAACACGACGTCTGAATCCGGGGTACGCGCAGGCCCATCGTCATTACAACGGCAATCTACACGCGGCGAGATCGCGTTCGAAACATCAGATCTGTGGGTTCAGTTGCTGAGGCGTGAACACTGACTGATTTCCAGAGCGGTTGACCGACATGGTGCGGTATCCGACTTTCACAACTGATGATGTGTATAACCACACGCCCATCTTCCCAGCCCAGCGCAATGCAGACTCCAACGCTCCTTACCACCCACCAACCATAACCATGCGTCTCCTCTCAGCCCAGGCGCTTCTGGCTATCCTCCCGCTCGTCAGCGCCCACGGCCGCATAACAAACATCACCACCGCCACCGGCCTGACATACGCCGGCTTCGACCCCGCAACCGCGTTGACAAACACCACGCAACCCCCCCTAGCAGCCTGGAGCGCCGCAAACCTCGGCAACATCTTCGTCCCGCCCTCCTCCTTCAACACGTCCGCCGTCTCCTGCCACTTCTCCAGCGCACCAGGCGCACTTCACATCAACGTAACAGCCGGCTCAACGCTAACCCTGCAATGGAACGAATGGCCCGTCTCGCACGTCGGACCCGTGCTGACGTACCTCGCACCGTGTAATGGGAGTTGTGCCACCGCAGACGCGGGGTCGCTGCGGTGGAGCAAGATCGATGAGATGGGGTGGGTGAATAGCACGGGGTGGGCGGAGATGGGGCTCGGCGGGACGTGGGCGACGGATGTGCTGATTTCGAATGGATTTTCATGGGAGGTGAGGGTCCCGCAGATGTTGGCGCAGGGGGAGTATGTGCTTCGGCATGAGATTTTGGCGCTGCATGTTGCGGCGCAGAGGGATGGGGCGCAGGCGTATCCGCAGTGTGTTAATTTGAGGGTTGGGGGTGCGGGGAGTGGGAGGTTAGGTGCGGGGATATTAGGGTCGCATTTGTATGGGATGGAGGATAAGGGGATTTTGGTGGATGTTAGTGGGAAAATTGGAGGTTATCAGATACCTGGGCCGAAGTTGGATGGGCTTGCGGGGCCGGTGCGGCAGCGGAGTCAGAAAAGGAGGACCGCGATGAGAGTGAAGCAGAGGCAGCTGAAGAGAGTTTGAATTGAGTTTGAGTGATGTACAGACTCGTCTAGAAATTCGTCAAAGTCCGAGGGAAAGAGGTTTTTATTAAAGGAATCGAGTCGCATAGAACGCGAAGAATGAAAAAACACAGCTTGGACCTGATGGGATTGTAGAAAACGTGGTCAAGAGCCAAGAAACCATGTGTCCCTTCGCCATGTTAGAGAAACATCTACCAGCTCTCGACAGGAGAGGAAGCTGATGACCGATTTTGGCGTGGAGGTCGAATAAAGGCAAAGAAGATGCGGTCGAGCGAGCTGTTGCCTAGTCAGTGTTGTACTGCGGTAACATTGTCCTTATCCAGACGTACCCTATGGAATGTTGCCCAAAGAGACGAACAAACAAGCAAAATGTAGGCGACGCCACGACGATTATAAGACGACATAGTCTCGAAGTCCCCGCATTGCTAAACGCTTGTCAGTAAGCAACTTCAAAGGGGTGTGCACGGGGAGCAAACCTTTCTCAAAGAAGACGCGGCATGATATTGGAAGACCACACCAGCAACAGACGCTGAACGTTTACCAGTCGACTGAAACATCACCTTAGTGATGATCGTACAAAATGATAGAAACAAGGTTCTCGTTCCCTGCTTCGATCGCCACATTTGACCATCTTGTCAAGGCCTCTGCACTTGGACGCCCGAACGTTTTGTTGTAATGCTCAAGCAAGAACTTGGCGATATGCTCTTGTTGCCACTCGATGGAGTTGATAAGGACCTGTTCACAGACATCGGGAAAGAACTTATCGCTCATGTCGCCCTTGTGGACTTCAGACCGCTTGATGATGGCTTTGACCACAGTCAGGCGACCGCAAAACGTTGCAGCGTTGAGCGGTGATCCAAACGGAAGGCTGTCCCATTCAGACAAGTTGTAGTCCCTCCACAGCATCTCGTAAGCGCCGGCTACGAAGATCCCGATGGCTCGGCAGCTTCCTACTGCTGCTGCTGCTGCCACTCGAGTGTGAACATTGTCGGTGTCAAACAGAGATGTGGATACCTTTCCTCGAGCTATTGATACTGTCATATCTGTTGTGATGCAATCGAATGCATCTTTGTAGGTATCTGCAAATGTCTTACACAACGACTCTGTGTATCGCAATCGGACCTCCTGCGTGTCGCGTCCAGCGGCTTGTACCAGGATGTCGACCATGGTGCGGATGAAATTGGGAATGAAAGGGTAAGCACCGTAGAGGCTGTCTACGCGATGGAAGAGGTATTTGTCGATGTTCCATTCCAGAATCTTCCGGTTGATCCTGATTGGGGTTGCATGGAGAAAAGCTCCCAGCGGTTGCCTGGCGAGGACTTCATACTCAATGCATAACCTGACAGACTCTGAGTATAGTAAGTATGGGACTTTTGAACGACACTCTGCTATGGCTTCAATGATCGACATACTGCATGTTTCTCTCATGCGCCACGCCTCTGCGACGCTGACGTTGTTGACGTACAGTCGAGCGATTTGCTGCAATATTTCTGGGGGCAGGTTCTGCAGGCCCATGTCTAATACTCTATGAGTAGTTGTTAGGTGTCTGTGGCGTGGTTGAGAGATGTCTGTGAAATAGTAGGGTGTTGTTGTAGCTTTAAACAGCTGCGCAGGTGAGATACTTATAGGAAGGTTGCGTGATTTACTTGATTCTACAGTGAAACTGACTTGTTAAAACCCTGGACCTACCTTCACCTTAAGACGTGCAACAAGCTAACGTAAAGCTAGGATGTATTGGAGAACTCGCGTGAAAGACTGTGCTCCTTAAACAAAGTAAAGACGGAGAAAAGACAAAAGAAGAAAACATTAGAGACAAACTACAAGACCTAAAATAGTTTCCCCTTAATTGTTAACAAGTAGTCGGTTGATTTGTACTATCCATGTCTAAGAGTGTGTGAATAAGAACATATCAGTTTGTATACCACATTTGAGATCAACACGATGTGTCAGTATGCCTAGAGCAACGGACCAAGCCCTGGATTAAGAAGAGACAAAGTACGGTCACCTCATCCAGAGACTGTGCGTCGAATGTCATGATAGCGGATGTGGTGTTGAATCCCAGATGATAAGGCAAGACGCGCACGTGGCACTAGCGCTCCCATGCATGAACGACGTCAATCTTCATGCACACCCCGGACTTGCTCTCAGCCCCGTCCCAACGCCTGTTTTTGCACGCGTTATTGGTGGCTTGCGTTCCGTATAAATATCACGAGGTACAAAGACTCGCGCACAAGACTTGTCGTAAACGTGATACACACAACAGCAGGCAACCACACATCTACTTCACACACGTCCACAATACACACCCGCGAAATCATACACCATGGCGCCGCTCAAAATCGCAATCCCCAGCGCAGCCACGCAGACGCCTGAACAAGGCAAACAGTACACAGCCTACTCGGTTCGCGTCGACCATCCTTTCCCACGAACAGCTACGACCCTCTCGAAACGTTATTCAGACTTCACCACCCTCGACTCCACTCTGCGCTCGGAAGTCAGCGCGCCGCCTGCTACTCTACCGCCAAAATCCTGGCTGGGCGGGTTCCTCGGGCTGGGGAGCAGTCTGGGGTCACCAGAGCAGATTGAGAAGCGCCGAGTGGGGTTAGAAGCATACCTTCGCGCGATAGAAAGCAGCCCAGACACGCGGTGGCGCGACACAAAAGCGTACCGCGACTTCCTGCAGCTAGACGACGGGAAGAAGGAACGAGTCGGCAGTGTCGCAAACGGCAGCGCAGCCAAAGACTCCATCCGCGACGGCGCAGACTGGCTCGACAAGCACGCGCTGCTCAAGTCCTCGCTGCAAGACGCGCGCCGCTGGCTCACGGCCCGCGAACAAGCCACCGTCGCAACAGCCCAACACGAAGCCGCCGCAAACGCAAAGAAAAGCCTGCTCCGCGCCGGTACCCTCATCGCCGCGCTTGAAGACGCGCTACGCAGCAGCACGACCGGCGCCGCGAGCGGAGAATGGCAGGGCGAGAAGCTCGGCGAAGGCGAGATCCGGCGCCGTCGCGATATGATTTCCACCCTCAAAAAGGAGCGCGACGGCCTCGACAGCGTGCTGAACACAATGGCCGTCAAAGCCGCCTACGCATCTGCATCCGCGTCCACCGCGTCCGCCGCCGTCACAGACCAGCAGAAAGCCGGCCTCTTCACACACGCGAATAAAACCCCCTCGCGTCGCGTCCTCGGCGCGCCCCAGCACGAGACAGATCGCACCCGCGAACTCGATAACGAGGGCGTGTTGCAGCTGCAGAAGGATATCATCCAGGATCAGGATGAGGATCTGGTTGATCTGACGAAGGTGGTGAGGAGGATGCGCGAGATGGGCGTGGCTATCAATGAGGAGATTGTCGAGCAGAATGCCATGTTAGGCCTGCTGGAGGAGGATGTCACGCGTGTGGATGGCAAGATCAGGATTGCGAAGAAGAGGGTTGACAAGATTCGTTGATTTTCCTTACTACTGGATACGTGTGGGAGGCCCTTTTGCTGCTGGAATGCCGAGTTGGCATGTCATGGACGGCGTTTGGAGTTGAGATTTGGCTTGGATACCCGTACCGCGTGCGACAAGAGCATGGTATAGCGGGTTTATGTAATAATGTATGTATATGTTCTATCTACTCTTCTTACCCTATCTCTTGGTGTTGAGGAAATTAAACCTCCGCATGTATTTACCTATCCGTCTCCACTCACGTTACAAAGGTTAATCAGTCGACCGCATAATACACCCATATCTACACAGTAATGACCCAACAAAAAGAAAATGTTATCCTACACAACAGCGACTGAACACCTGTGAGGACCGCACTTTCTCCATCCAGCCCCACTTCTTCCAGGCTAACCCGCATCTATCCTAGCGTTCTTGCCCAGAAAACCACAACTCGCTGGAACGACCGAAGATTTCAAAAATATAAACATACATAGAGTGCCCCGCCAATCGCGTGTCGCCGTCCAGCACGCCCAAGAAGGCAACAGCCAAATCGACCTGCTTACGTTACTGCATGTAACGAATAAAAGGTGCAGCGTCTAGCCACCCCCTAGATCCACATTGAAAATACACCCACCGTACGTTGTAGTAGCCCTAATCCAGTCGATTAATTGGAGCTTGGCTGCCTGCCTGATCGGGCCTACCACCGCGCAATTCAACCAGTTTATGCGGTACACGAGTCACCAGATATAAGCCCTCGTCGGTCGTTGTCCACACAATCACTCTCCAGACCTGCCATCCATCTCAGACAATTTTATCGACAAAAGTCATCATGCGCACCTCGACTCCAGCTTCAGCCTTGCTGTTCCTCGCTAGCGCTGTGGTAGCGCAGTCAAGCGAGGGACTATTCACCATCCAGACGTCTATCCCATGCGACTGCATAATGGAGCCCTGTACCGAGTGTGCGTATGCTCTCAAGATATGTTTTGCAGCAGCTGACTCATGCAAGGCTCCTCGCACATCATCGTCCCAGAAACCTCCATCTCGGGAGTCATGTCGATTCCGGGCGGAGATACGTTGCTTAGAAAGGGCTGAGCGAACAGGAAGCCTTGTTTTCAACGTCCTATGGTCGTATGTGGAAGAATGGTGGTTGGGGGTAGTACATATCTCGACAGCTAACAGCTCTGTACGGCTTAGCAAGCACGACAGCTAACAGCTCTGTACGGCTTAGCAAGCACGCCGAAGATTTGGTGTGTGGAGTTGCTTGCGGAGCCCTTTTGAGCTTTGGATGAATTGCTCTCTGGCGGATACGAGCATCTTTGCTGTATTGAACGGCTTCCAAGATCTATGTGTTCAGATTTGACGATGGGTGGATGGAGATGTATCACGTTTGAGAGGCCTATAACACACAAGGTCGAGCGCCAAAATCTCCGAGCACACCAGAGTAGAGAGTGATAACAAGGGGATTGTAACGTTTAGACAGTTTCCATGACAGATCGCAGGGACACTCGACAAATCATTGCTAGACAACTACAAATGCCTGTTGAAGTCGCACTCTCTTCGTCCAGGCCCCATGTGAAGCTGTACTCAGCCTCTTATGTGATTAGTAAAGAATACGCAGGTTGGATAAGCCGCTTTATAAGTAGCAATTCGGCAGCTATAATGTCTCGAGGATTAGATGCGACTTCTTGCAAGGTGACGAACTAGCACTTGTCCCATAAGCCTTGGTATTATGGATGGCCTCTACAGGCATTGTATACGGTACATTAATGCGGGTTACAAGTACCTGCTTTGACTGTTGTGCCACTAGATAGTAAAGAAGGTAGCAATATGCATTAACGCCGCAAGTAATGTGCACCCCTATAAGCACTAAAGACGTGCGGGCGTCTTGCCACATAATCTAGTTGGGTCCGAAACTGGCTTCTCGGCCAGTCGAGATACCCGGAATCAAACTGTGCATATCAGCGAGATCACGAAGCTATGCTACACGCTCAATGTTACAGATAAGATAGACCCTCTGGCGGATGTGCACGATTTATAGACGATTTATAGACGATTTATGCACTGATCTTGCATGTCGTTGTCCAAGATCCCGCTGCAGCTTGATTCCGGGGTTTCCCAACTAGGTGATAATTTTAGATCAAGGAGTACGTTAGCCTTACTTGCACATACATACAACCTAGCTAGCAAAGTTTGCTATGCTTCATTCATTGCATTGTTTGGTTAGTTTATTTTTGGTGGTTTCAATTTCCCGCTTTGACCTGCCGAGAGCTCCCACCAACCAACAGCTCGCCTCGTAAAGTGGCTGAGGATACTACTGCTTACTGCTTATGCCAAGCCCAAGCAAGTGCTTATTACCAAACAGCCATAGATTTGGTGGGAACTCTTCACTCCCATTCTCCCAGTTCACAGCACTCAAGTATGGCTCATAAAGCCTCCAGTTTACCAGCGGCATCTGCCTCCCAGCCGTACGAACCGATTACAATGACACATGAACCTGCAACACACGAGAAGGGGACGACGCTCATTTCCGCAACAGTTGCGCCCGCTACTTCTTGCCAGCCACGGAGTTTTGCTCAAGTATGGTCCGCGAGTCAAGTTCTCGTGACTGCAGCCATCCCAGCAGTCGCACTCGTCGCATGGCTGGTATGCATCCACGCCAATCCGCGCATCTTCGACACCTTCGCTGGAGAGAAAATCGGCGGGCACTTCAGTCAAGCAGAAGCGAAAGCCATCGACATCATCACAGGAGCCATATTAGCTCCTTTATTCATGGCAAGCCTTAATTATATCTGGTTTGCAAACGCACGTGTATCGGTAGTGAATGAGCAGCAACGGCGAGCAATTCCCCTGAGGACACTGGTGACTGCCAGCGGCACTTCCGGTGGGAATTACGACTTGTTTCAACTTCGCGATCTGTTGCAGGGCAAAACGTGGCGACTTTTCCTTCTGGGCTTGCTCACGCTACTCTCTGCCGTGTCGCGATCGGCCCTGAGCAACATCATCGCGTACGAGGCATTTTCCGAAAACGTTCCTTCGCATGCGAGTACGCTACGAGTGCAGAGGGATCTTGCTATTGATGGGGCATTCCTTGGGCCTGCTGGCTTGCTTTACCCAAGTAGCAGCTTAATCAGCTTGGATCTATACGACTTCAGCGATTCGCAGAACGCCCAGGTTGCGAAGGAAATGGTGTCTCTGCTCACTGGACTGTCTTACGAGAATGCCGCCTCTAAGTTGACTAACGGTACTTATGTGGGCATCAATGCGACTTCACAATCGCTGGACAGCCTTCCCCTGACGGTTGTTGAAATTGACAATGTACCCGCATATCGACTTTCTGTTGACTGCGCTCCTGATCTGCCAACTTCAATATCGGTGTTGCAGCCCCTGTCGCTTATCAACACCCAAATAGAGTTGATGTTGAACACCACTTCAATATCCAACAATACACTCTTTCAGGCCAACTATCCAGGCGTTCCAGAAGACATTCAAACGTATGATGGAGATGGCTACAGTTACGCCGGCTTTTCCCTCGGCTCACTAGAGGCGTATCTTGGGCATCTACAACGTTTCAACATGACCAATGACACATCACCATCTATATATGGCGACGTTGGGTTCCGTGCCTTCAACATGACTGGAGCAGCGCTGGGCTTCACAGGGACGCAGAGCACCATGTCCGTCAGCGGGATCCGCTGTATGCTGTATCGTGAACGCGGCTTGCTCAACTACACTCGTGCTTCTTCCAACAGCAGCAGCACTAGCACCTGGACCATTTCCTCCACCCACTTCGACAATGACCAGGAGAAATCCAGCATCCCCTCCATGCTCGCTCACTTCCAATGGAGCAACCTCAACTTTCATGCGCCCGGCGCCGTAATCCCGGGCCTCGGTCCCGCGCTCTCAAACTCCATGACGGGACTTCATGCCGCCACCACAGCCAACGACACCTTCACCGACTTTGCGCTCAACTTCCTCTATGCTTCGGGCGAGGCACAGCGTATACTATACGAAGTTGCTGCGACCAGTACCAATTCATCCAAAAATCTACACGACTACTATGTCGATGTCCCGGGCTTCATAACACAGCAGCAGTACCGCATCACGTACGTGCCAAGCATCCTTTTGTTGGGTCTGCTTTGCTTGCTGGCTGCCAGCATAGTGACCGCTGCCATGGCAGCGTATGTGCGCAATTCAGATTCGGCACGGGCTCATCGACGGGTGGATGTGGTAAGGCTGTTGGTAGATAGTGTGTCGGGGTTACAAGACTCCAGAGATGAATGGGCGAGAATAGCACAGAAGGGCAACGGAGATTTGGATACTTGGGCGGTGGGGTACAAGGTACGTTATTCGAGGGTAGATGATGACGGGGGCACGGTACAGATAGTTCTGGACAAGCATGAGGGTTGATGCGAGTAGATGTGACTCCTTTTACGAACTCCGCTATTTCCTCAAGTCTTCTCTTCCTTCTATGATTTACCAAGTTCTTCTCTGCTCTTATATCGGCTTGATGTTCACTGTCAACTTAAAGATCAGAGTTTACTTATCAAGATTCCTCGTTTGCCCAGTTCATCCATATTTGACGGCGCACATCTGAACTGTCCCCACCGCGAACTTGCAAGCTCTACTTCCGAGTCAGCTCCACAAAGAATATCAGTAGATAAAGGTTCATGCTAATCTTACATGTACTCTTCCATCATCAATACGAAGATTTCATTTGATTCATTCGTAATCAAACTCTGCCGGAGTGTTCTGCATTTTTTACCAAGGTTATTATGCTTTACTCTGCAATGAAGCTTAGTGTTACTGTCGCGCAGCAACATACCGTTACCTTACTGCTCGAGCCAGTCAACCTATATCCTGTGCGACAGTCACAAGATTCGTTTCAAAGGTGTCGGTACTGTTTTTGGTCAACAGTCTATTAACCTGCCATGAATAGAATTTTGACAAACAGCATATGGGACAAGAGAACTTGTTTTCAATGTCCTATAGTCGTATGTGGAAGGTTGGTGGATAGGGGTGATAAATATTTCGACAGTCAACAGCTCTGTATTACCTACCAAGTGCACCAGAGATTTGCTGCGTAGAGTTGTTTGCGGGGCCCTTTTGGACTTTAGTTATGTTGCTATTAAAGGTAATTAGGATCTATGATTTGTTAACCTATAGTAGAACAGCTGGCGAAATTTGTAAAGGCCTGGAGATCTAGATTGCCGTGACTCGTCCTTCTAGCACCTACCTGCAGCGAATATGCGGGGATAGGAATATGGCCCACTCACATCCCAGGACGAGTACTGTAATAGCCTAAAGGCACCTGGTGGGCGGTCCGCCAAGCCCTTCTGCCTGAGATAAACGCGGCCGAATCCGCGGTCAAACCCCGAGTAAGACTTCATCATGTCCGACCAAGAGGCCCTGACTCCCCGTGTAATCATTGTTCGCCATGGTAGGTTCAACTATACACTCTAAAAGAATCGCTTGTTAACGATGCGCGTTCTATGAACAGGAGAAACGGAGTGGGCCAAGTCAGGCCGTTTCACGAGCTTTACAGAGACTGAACTAGCCCAGGCTGGCGTTGCGCAGGTCTCCTCTACTTAGCAAATTTCGTAGGCCCTGGAAATATCCTCGACCCATGCAGCCTTGTGCACGTCTTCGTTAGCCCGAGGGTGAGGGCTGTACAGACCTTTGAGCTGCTGCTGCCGGCCTCTTGTGGTGTCGTTACTGAGGTTACCTACACCGATGAGCTTACGGAGTGGAACTATGGTAACTATGAAGGTCTCAAAGACCAGGAGATCAGAGTTTCGAGGAAGAACAGCGGTCTGGACAAACACAGCGAGTGGGATATCTGGTCAGATGGGTGTGAGGGTGGAGAGTATGATGTGCCCTGATCTTTTGTCACAGATGGACTGTTGCTAATACCTTTAAGATCAAAGCAACAAGTAACTGGGCGACTGGACAGGCTTATCTCGCAAATTAAAGAGATTCAGAAGCCCTACATGCGTGGCGAGAAACCTGCTGATGTCCTTCTTGTACGTTCTCTTTTCTTTCTCTTCTCCCCTCCGCGAAAATACTGCTTCGTCTACAGCAGCTGAGGAAAGAGAACTGCAGGTTGCACATGGCCTTATCCTTCGCTGTTTCTTAAAGCGCTGGCTTGGTTGCTCGATTAATGATCCTCTCGAGATGATATTAGCACCTGGGGCAATTGCGGTTCTAAGGTACGTTCTTTCTAATAAACTAGCTTGATGGTGGGCTATAGAGCTGATGTTGAGTTCCGTCGGCTGATAGCTACAAAAAAAATGATGTTAACAAGCCTGCCTTCCACGTTGGCGTGGCGCTTCCATCTAGGAAATGACATAGGCGTTGATTAACAGAGCTCTGGTGCTGGTTTCATCATTTACTCTTCTTGTGTTCTTCTCAAGGCAAAGTTTGAAGCCTACATTCAAGATTATAGACAGAGCCGCCTCGAACCTTCAATCAAGAGCAATATCTTCGTACAAGAGTGATTACCATACTGAGATACATGATGTCACATTAATCAATATTCCAACCAGTCCCATGTTGCACTTCGTCATATTTGGATGCAAGCATGTCGCAGACACGATACGGACCGTCCCTTAGGTTGACGACAGCAGTCATGAGAAACTGGGAGGGTAAGGAAGATATGTGCTGCAAAGGTGTGTCCTTGGTGTTGGGTGTCGAAGCTACAAAGCACTCCACAAAATAGTCTTTCAATTCACCAGCGTTTTGTATCAACCATTGGGTCATCCCACCCGAGGACGACAACGGCGCCAAGACACCTCCCGGCAAAGCTGAAACCGATCAGCTCCAGTCACTAGTCGTATATTGGCAGTATCTGTGGTCGGACGACAAGAAGAAGAAGAAGCAGGGGACTGATGGAAAGTCGACCACAGAAACCCCTACAAGAGACGGAGATCAGATTGAGCGTGCTACAGGAGCCTCACCGACAGCAGCAGCAGCTCCTTCCTCGTCTGCGGCACAAAAAGGCCACAAAAGGTGCCGCTGCAACGAGCAATGCCAAGGAAACGAAAGAAAGGGTTCGTAGCAGACTGTGGAGGTCTGTGTCTGTTGAATCTACATAGAACAAGCCATGCCACTTGCTTAGTTATCGAATCACCGGTATACTAAAATGTTGACACATCAAAACTGAGGCAAGGAGGATTAATATAGAGGAGATAAAAGAGCGGGGAGACATATTGCCTACAATATGAGTAGCGGTAAGCTCGCTGACAAATTCCTTTCACGTGATTGCGGGGACAGGTGTCAATAGCAAGCACAGCCCAATCCCAACCCTCTATACATCGTAAACAAGGAAAAAGTTCACTTCGAGTTGGTCTCTATGCCACCTTAAGATGATACGAGCCTCAATAATTTGACTCCCTATACGTCATGTTTTTCTTGTGCTGAAGTAATTGATTGACGTTGCTAGAACGACATATCCAACCATGAGTCGAGCAAAGTCACGGCTCTCCAAAAACTCGAGAAATGATCGGCTTTGCGATGGTTGTCAGTATTGGAATAATCCCCAAGCCGTGTTTGCGTCCATGGGGTTTCGCAGCCTAGAAAAGACCACTTCTCTCGAGAGTATGCTCCAACAAGCTTCGTGTATAATGTGTCGGATCATCAGTTCCGCGGTACAAGAGAAGATCAAACACCATGACCGGATAGTTACGGATCCTAGAAGTGTTCATATCTTTGTGGGAACTGCTTTCGAGGTGTTTCAACAGGAGATGCCGGTGGGAACAAGGGTAGCGAAAATGGGGTATGCGGCAAGTTTTCCCAAGCCAAAGAATCCACCCAGGTACATCAAGTGTGTCCTCTACCTCGATCTGTATCATCAACAAGACCCTCCCGAAATTCGTCTGAAGGAGCTGAATTGGCATTGGTGGCTTGCACCAACGCTTGGCTTGCCTCTTGTGCTTGAATACGGTAAATATCCCACTCGGTTGGTGGACGCAAACGTATGGGAGGAAAAGTATTTTGATGTCAATGCAATGAAGCGGTGGATTTCAGATTGCGAATCTCAACATGGAAGACAATGTCAAGAGAACATGACCAAAGGCCTACCAAAACACTTCAAATTGATCGATATCGACAAGATGTGCATTGTCGATGCTTCCGAATCCCACCGGTTCGTAGCATTTAGCTATGTTTGGAGTGTACACGGAGGTGTCAGAAGTTTGCAGCTGGTTCAATCAAACATCGATCAATTATCACAGCCCGGTGGTCTTGAGCTTCATCAGCTACCGGAACAAATTTTCGATGCTATTTTGCTTTGCAAAGAATTGAACGAACACTGGATTTGGATTGATCGGCTATGCATTGTACAGGACGATGAGGTCTCGAAACAAGTACAGATTGATGCCATGGATGCCATTTATGGTAGGGCGACCTTCACTCTTGTGGCAGCTGTCGACCCGTCCAAAGCTGTCGGCCTACCAGGCGTTCAAGGTCGACCAAGAGCTTCGTTTCTCGATAACGACACGCGCCTATACAATGCGGAAGGCTGCAAAATCGACTTGAACTTCTTCGTCGCTGTTGATGATTCGAACTGGAACATGCGTGGCTGGACCTTTCAGGAACGATTACTCTCGAAGCGGTGTATCTACATAACAAAGTACCAAGTCTATTTCACATGTTCGCATGTCTTGATTCAAGAAGAATTAGGAAAATTCTCTCGCAAGGATGACCACATCATCAGCCCACCATCACACTTCAGTGTGCCTGCTATACATGAGCTGAGGACCAAACGTTCATACCTGGATTGTGCTTGTCACTATACAGCTCGCAACTTGTCCTACGCGTCTGACATTGAGAAGGCATTTACCGGAGTGAGCAACGTTCTCGCCACTAAGATGGACACTGCCTTCCTATACTGCTTGCCCGAGAAGTACCTCACAACCTCCTTGCTGTGGCATAGTATCTCTCATCCAGTTACGCGGAGGGAAGACGTGGCAGAAATCCCCAGTTGGAGTTGGGCCAGCTGGTCGGGTGCAATAAACTACCGGGGCGCGTTCTCCACAGACATGATTGCGAACGATATCGGTAGACTGGTCACATTTCATATTCAAACTATAGATCTGGGACTACGTCGTCTGAATTTGGAAAACGACTGGTTTGGTAACGACATTGACTTCAGCACTTGTCAGGTTTTGGACGACAACACACGTCTGCATATGCCAGATCGCGAGACTACAACAGAAATATGGCGTAGCTGCCCACAAAGTCCATGGGATACGAAAAATCATGTCAACCTCGCTCCATCAGCGTGTCACGTCGCTACAAAGCATCCTGGAAGCCTGGTCTTCAACACCACATCAGCGGCCCTCTCCCTTCGTCCCGATGCTACATGTAGTGATACCCTGAACAATGTGTCATTGAACATCATGTCGCCAATTCAAGAGAATCTAGGCACCATGCAAATAGATCGAGGGTTGATGAACGCAAAGGTAGATCTCAACCAAGATCAAGTGTTCATCGTTCTATGTGCAGGGATTGTGCCCAAACGTGAACGGTGGGATTTGAAGTATGGACGGTACAAGGATCGGGAAGATCCTGATAAAAGTCCATGGCTTTTGATTGTCATGATGGTGCAGCAATGTGAAGGGGTGAGCGAAAGACTAGGTATCGGGTATATCGAGGCTCGGCTCTGGGCCAGGGCCAATCCCGTATGGGAGACGATTGTTTTGATGTAGACTTCATCTGCAACAGAATCAGTCATAGAATGATTCCGCTATATAATGTTTGTGACAGAAAACTACGGCTGCCGGTCGGCGTGCACTTCCCAATCCGTATATGTAGAACCGTCATAAAACGTGTACTCGAGCGGCGTCTGATGGGTCTTCAGCGGCGGTCTGTTTGAATTCGTGACCATGTTGAGAAGGCAGCACAGAAAACAGGTCAGGATCTTGGATTGTCGTGAGGATTGGGGAGGCTTGTCTCGAGTATGCTTTAGAGTTCCACATCGGACGTTGCAATTACGTACCAAACTATAACGACATGTCAATAGAGGGGCGTGTACGAGACGTAAGGTCTACAAGGGTAATAAAAAAGGACAGATCATGGCAACGACATATTTGTTACTACAAGTCAGCGCAAGGTAAGAACTCATCGAGACTCATATGGGCGTATATGTGAAAAGAGTGTGAAGAGGAGTAGGGTAGCGAATGCACGTCATACATTTAGCCATGTACGAATAAAATGTGACGCAACATTGATTGCCTCGTTCCACTATCAACAATCTCAATATCCATGTCTGCGCTGACATACAGATTCTCAATCGGTTCCATCGCCTAACCTCATTGTAGACATATTGTCACTCTTGACCTTTTGGATATGGTCGATAGCTTCCAACAGATGCGGAACAAACTTCTGTGGATTCTCGGTCGCAGGAAAGTGACCCAAATCAGGCATAGACTTGTGCATGGCGCCTGGGATCTTGTCTGCTGTCTTCTGCGCCATCTCAGGTGTGTTGGACCAGTCGTACTCACCAGTCAGCATGTATACTGGGCAACTTTGGGTATCGATCGAGGCGACGCGAGAACGGCCATCCCAGCCGCCAAAATAGTAATCTAGATCTCCATGGAAGATCTAGGACATGATTAGTATGTGCAAATTGGAATGTTGTACAAAGAAAACTTACTCCGTAGGCTTGGGCGCTGTACGTGTGCCATATGAGCTGTTTGTTTGCGAGGGGAGCGGTTGGCGCCATCATCTGTTACTTGTCAATGATGTAGCCTTACTACAGAAGGGTATGCTCACTCCATAAATCCACTCGGGATTGGAAAGAGACTGGTTGACATATGGTGAGCGATCATACCACACACGTTCCATGTCGAGATATTCCGAGCTTAACAAGTCAGCCTCGTTCTTCCTAAGAGTAAAATTACTCACCCTTGCAGAGGAATCGTTCCACCAGCACCCACTTCCTTGTGACGAATAGCTACTGCCAAACAGACTTGACCCGCCATGCTCGCACCACAAATGATCGGTCTCCGCAAACCCAGCCCCTTCACAAACGCGGCTATGATACCAACATAGCTATCCTCCGTGTTTGTGTGTGCTCCTGGGGGCAGGTTCTTTGTGGGAAAACTTCGTCCATGTCCGGGTAGATCGAAAGCATACATAGTGCACTTTTTGCGCATCCTGGCGTCGTTCATGACACCGTGGTACTGACGACTGTCGCTTCCAGCAGTGTGCAAGAACACGATCTGCTGTTTACCTTCGCCAGAGTACTCGTAGAAGACTTTAGATTTTCCCCAGACAGGCGCGTTGAGATATATATATCGGCCAGTGAGGAAATCGCGTTCGGGCTCAGGCTGCTGCTCATCCAACTTCATAGGACCACAATGGGCGTCGTGAGCGAGTTCGAGAACACGTCTCCAGACATGCATCCATTGGGCAAAGGCGACCTGATCGCCCTGAACTTCGACACCTTTCTGCTTGATGTTCATACCAAACATACCCCAGTAACTCTGGTAGGGCATAGCAGGAACGTCTTTGAAGTGTTGTTCCCATTGCTCTGATAGAGCCGAGAGCGTGAAGGAAGCATCTTTGGGCGAGCCAGTGCTGACCTTCACGCTTCCATTCGTGACTGTTACGAGCAATGTGTTATCTGAGCCGCTGGACTTGATGCCGAAGGTTACAGCCTTGTCGATCGCTTTAGAAGATGTAAAAGCCTTGAGCTGAGTGTCAGATTCAACAAGCTCTTTGAGCTTGTCCAAGCTACCCCCCAGTGCCGTAGTGATGTCATCCCAGCCGGCCATTGTAGTGTGTAAGATTAAGCAAGATGGAACAGACGAGTTAAGCAATTACAACCAAGAGTGCAACAAGAAACTGAAGAGTAAAAACGTCCACATGGCGGCATGCTGCAGTACATATACCCACGCTTCCAGTCCGGTCTTGCTGGGATGAGGTTTGCGGGGTAGCACTTTGCGGGGTAATGCGATGCACGTGGGTATATGTTTCGACATCTCCCCACGACTCTAAGCTTCTTGTTACCGCGCTTAAGGTACTGGGGTGCGGGTGGCTGTTGTGGAAAAGGAGCAAGTTGGTGTTAGAAAGGACAAACGTGCAGCAGCAGGTTCGCTAGCGCGTCCACTAGCGGCTGATCTCTCCCCTACACATCGCTGCGCGTCGGTACACCCCTCGTCTTCACCCTATCACAACTACGGATTCGGTTTCTAGCCTTGACAACTCTATACACCTCCTACATCCCCGCTTTCGGTGTACGGGCAAGTTGCGTTCACGCCACCGCCGACTCCCACCCACCAGAAATCAAGCATCAGACGTGATCTAAGAGAGACTACCTTGCACGCGCCAAATCGACGATATGACTGCTGCGGAAAAAGCCGGCGAGAAAGCGCCGTTGCAAGCTTTCCGTATAGCTGGACTCCCACCGGACTTCTACTACATTCCAAACTTCATCTCCGAGGAGGAAGAGGTTTCCATGCTGCAGAAAGTGAGTTGCGATTTCCCTCCTATCACATCTACAAGCTCATTTGAAACGTATTCGAAGATGGGTGTTTTCATAAACATGTGAACTACGGCGTTGATTCATGTACAGATCCCGGCTCAGCGATGGATAATACTCACCCACCGGCGTCTTCAAGCGCATCCCTCGACACTGACCAAGAACAATACTCTTTTAGCCGCCCCACTACCGACGTACCTTGTTAATCCAGTTGTGCAGCGCTTCAAAGAACTAGGAATCTTTCAACATACGCCGCATAAGCAGCCTAACCACGTCTTGATCAACGAGTATAACACTGGTGAGGGTATCATGCCACATGAAGATGGTGACGCGTATGCGCCAGTGGTTGCTACTGTGAGCTTGGGAAGTGCTATATGTCTAAACCTTACAACAAGACCAATAGATGCCGCAACGAAGAGGGCATCAGATGTGAAAGAGGAGCCGACGACGAAGTATAACATCCCAACACGGATCGTCCAGGAACCACGCTCCCTGCTCATCATTACTGGCACCGCATATCAAGATCTACTTCATGGAATCGATGCCTTAGATATCGACGAGAATCTCAACGCCGAAACAGTTGCAAACTGGTCGTTGTTGGGGGATCGCGGCGCGTTCGAGGGGGTTGGGGGGCAAATTTTCAGAGAGACGCGGATCAGCTTGACATACCGGGATGTTTTGAAAGTCAGCTCGGCAGCAAGCAAAGTGTTTGGGTTCGGAAAGAGATAGTCTTATGAACAGCGAAAGACACGATTGTATTGATTGCAACAACCGCAGGGATAGGAAGTGCCATTTGGGGATGAATGTCAGCGATCAAGCCATGCAAATGTCGTACACCTGCTGATTGGAGATAACTCTATGAGGCTCGCAACTTGCAGTAGAAAGTCACCAACTCCACTGATAAGTAGTACTAAGCGTTCACGTTAAAGTCCCGAATACCTTTTTCATCATCGCGAAAAAGCTAAGGATGATCGAAGAGGACGAGAAGACGAAAGAGCAGAAGCAACGACGTTGATGACGGCGCCTATACCAGTGCTATCCCATGGAGATATCCAAACGACTTCAACGATCGGAATACGGCTCGTCAGAAAGTCCGTTGGTGACCTCAGCAGTGTCTCGGCCTTCTTTTTATGATGAAGATTACTACGTTTTGCATCAAGATCTCGGAAGCTCGACTCCGAATAAATGATAGTCCTCGAGTGAGGCAGTGCCATTTCTAATCTCGTCCATCAACCAAGACACTTGGAAAGGACCGTTGACAATGAAGTCATCAAGTCGGCCGCAGAAGCTTGGAATGGAAGTGGGGCGCCGTTTGTCTGTTTGACCTATGTGGTTGTCTTGGAAAGTGCCGCCGAAGATACCGATCAGATGTTTCAACTTGTGTGAGATCAGAATCAAACACCGTCTATGCAGTGAGATGGAACACCTTCGAGATAAGGTGTGTTTTGGCTTGTGTGCACGGAGGTGACGCGGTCTTACGGTGCAAGAAATGCAAGGCTGTACAAGCCGAAGATTGTCACCCCAACTTCAAACGTCAGTAGACGTGGCTACCAACCTCAGATTCAGGAATTGTATGTCAAAGTGAGGCCGACCACGGGTTCTCCCGCGGCAGGGATTTATTCGGCGCGGCGGAGGTTGGGATTAATTTATAAAGTTTGTTAACAGTTGATCGGCGTTTACCGCCGCTACATGACAACCCTGAGCACTCTTTGTCGAGTGCAAGGTGTCGGCAACACGGAGACGGCTGTCTTACAGTCCAAGGTTGACATGTGGTAGGGTAGGCCCGAAGCTTGTGTCGCGACTGCCAACGTGGAACGTGCCCCACAAAACACCAAAGATATCCACGTTGCACGAACCACGACTCGCAGATCCTCCACGACCTATATGCGACCGCCCGCAGCTTAGTAAGCGATTAGCCCGGCTCTGCTGTCAAAAACAGTGTCCGTCATTCGTCGGACGCACGATTCTTCGTTGTGCTCACGCTCAGCCTCCACAACCGCGTCAGGGCCAAGCACGCCCAGCATCCGCTATTCTCACGGCTTACGGCATGTTCAGAAGTACACCGTCAAGCCCGCCAGTCACCATGAGTACACCGTCAGACGTCCGGCACTCAAAGCGTCGCAGCGACCATGACGCATGCGGTATCGGTATCTGTGATTAAGGCGCGTCTGGTGTATCTGTAGGCCCAGCGGGTCCCCGCACCAAGCTACGGCCCTACACCCTTACACAGAGACAGGTCAACGTGTAACCTGCAGCGGACGATGTGTAGACTAAGATTCTAGCCACGTTGGACACGCGTCCGTCTGCAGGTGCTGGGTCTTGTAGATATCAAGAATGTCGGCTTCTTGTACGGGGGACTATTAATTTCCCGTTCACCCCCACGAAATAACTACGGACGTTCAACATTCCTCGAACCGTTTCATCTCGTATCGGTCTGGAGTTCGGCTTCCCAAGATCGTACTCTGCATAACCCTTTCGTTGAGTTAGCCTGTCAGATCTGGTGTATTGCCTTGGCAAGCCCGAGTGTCCTCCAGCTCAAGGGCGCCTTGTGTTGGCCAACATCGATTCTTCGTCCCCTCTCGATCGTCATATCGATAGGCCGACACGGTTGCAATGAGGAATAGCAAGAGGGTTGTTGTTTCAACTGGCCTGCTGGCTTTGGGCAAGTATATCGTTATCAAGGTTTCAACAGGGCTGACCGTTTTTAGCGTCTCGCGCCTTGGCTCAGGTGGCCAGCGTCTGTCCTTCAACTGGTGTTTGCTTCAAGCTCAACATTCCTGAGGCCACAGCATCATCTGGGAGTGGTGACATATTCTTCCAGATTTCAGGTCCAAGCAGCTATGAATGGGTAGCTCTAGGTCAGGGACAAGCCATGGCCGGCTCCAACATCTTCGCGGTGTATACCTCTGCAGATGGAAACAACGTGACGCTGTCACCGCGGTTGGGAACTGGCACCCAGATGCCCAATTTCAACGATGATGCAGAAGTGGAATTACTCGAGGGCTCTGGAGTTTCGAATGGTGTCATGACTGCCAATGTCAAGTGTCAGTGATTAAACACATCGTCGGGATCGTAAATGCTGACTGAGGTGCAGGCTCGAGCTGCAGTTCGTGGTCTGGTAACACTGCAGACTTTACGGCTGGGAGTGGGAGCTGGATATATGCCTACCAGGCATCCAATGGACCCAAGAATACCGACGATCAATCAGCTACGATTCGCCAACACAGTGACCGTGGTGTCTTCTCATGGAATTACGCCAGTGCGAAGGGAGGTGACAGCGTTAACCCGCTTGTCAATGCGGCGTCCTCAGGTACCGCAAGTGGAACTGCTACTGGAACGGCAGTCACCTGTATTCCTCGCTCATCACAAACTGCCGCTTCAGCTGGTACTTCAGCGTCGGCTTCGGCTTCGGCTGCGAATCCTACCCAGAGCAGTGCTGCTTCGGACGACACCACCAACTACAGTAGTGCTTGGACCGGAATCCCAACAAACTGGCTCACTGCTAGACCTACTGCGAGACCGACAGGTGTCCCTTATATGAAACGAGAAGATCTGCCCTATTGTGATGAGAGTTCCATTGATGGGACGTCCAATTCAGGTTTCACCGTCATAGAATCCGGCAACGCCTCCAACCGAACGAAGATGCTTATCGCCCATGGCGTCCTTGCAGCTCTCGCATTTGTGATTCTCTTCCCCGCAGGCGCAATTGCAATCCGTCTCGCGTCGTTCCCAGGCGTGGTCATGCTGCATGCCGCATTTCAGTTGTTCGCATACCTAGTCTACATCGCAGGCTTTGGACTGGGCGTATACATCGCTATGGAGATGAACCTCGTAAGCTCACCCATCCCACTGTATCCTACTGGCTAACGAATGTGTAGCTTGACCACTACCATCCAATCATCGGCATCCTAGTCTTCGTACTCGTCTTCTTCCAGCCCATACTAGGGTTCCTCCACCACCTGCTCTTCAAGAAATACCAAAGCCGCACGTTTTGGTCCTACGCGCATATCTGGGTTGGGCGCATCGCCATCACCCTCGGTATCATCAACGGCGGTCTGGGTCTGCAGCTCGCGGACTCGATGGGTATGAGTTCCAAGAAGGGCATCATCGCGTATGGAGTCGTTGCTGGTGTCATGTGGTTGGCGTGGATTGCGGCGATCGTCATTGGAGAGAGGAGGAGAAAGGCAAGAGGCGTGGCGGGTGCGCCTACGAAGTATTACGAGGGTACGAGGGGCTCGGATAGTGGGGTCACGGATGTGCCTTCGCCTGTTAATGGACATTATGCGCCGGGGCAGAGGCATTAGATGGAGTTTGGTTTGGAGGCTCTGAGTCGAAGATGGAGGTCGATAGATAGGTTTATAGATTAGTTTGACGAGCAATGAAAAGATCTAGAATCCAATCGCGAAAATCTATCTCCAGGTGGGAATGCTGAAGATAGTCATTTTACAAATCCATTGAGTTCAGGACATGACGCCATTCGAGAAATTGTGCACTGCAGTCGCGAAGAAGGAGTCGATGAGTTGATCTGATGTTTCCTAGACAAGACAAAAAGAAGCGGTTATCACAGCCATACAAAAATGGGCAAAACATCTTTGTCATGCTCAGGACGACGCGTGCATGATACAGGCGCGAGAGACGCTTGCACGTGAATCTCCAACCGCGCTAAGCCGGATACAGAAGGGGGGTCGAGCCCTTTTTGGTGGCCCGCTGTTGCCCTACAACAGTGAGCCAAAACAACGACGCCCCCCAACGTCTCCACCGAGTCCCCCCGCTGCCACCCTGTCTATATCGCTGCTGCACATCTCTCGCCCCATCTCGATAGCATTGAATCCTTCTGGAACAACCACGACACCACATATCTATTCACCATGGGAGAATCAAGGTAAGCGCTGGGCCCAACTTTTTCCCAGGACACACGACCCCCTCTTGTCGACACGTGCTGACCAGGGCTGCATTGCAGACAGGAACTCGTCGCCTGGTTAAACAACCTCCTCCAGCTCAACATCACAAAGGTCGAACAATGCGGGACTGGGTACGTCACACATGCGCCGAACGGTTGCGGGGCATCCAGCGACATGGGGAGAGGGCGTGCTAACAGACACACGCAGAGCGGCGCTTTGCCAGATCTTTGACAGCATCTTCTGTGAGTATTCCCCGTCTATGAGCCACCTCCAACAACACTAACAAACCCGCAGACGATGTCCCCATGTCGCGAGTCAAGTTCAACGCCAACACCGAGTATGCATACCTGCAAAACTTCAAGATATTGCAGAGTACGACGACACCTCACCCCTCCGAATCGCACACGCTAACACGCCCCAGATACGTTCGCAAAGCACCAGGTCGACAAGCCTATCCGCGTCGAGTCGCTGGTAAAGTGCAAGATGCAGGACAACCTCGAGTTCCTCCAGTTCGTCAAGCAATACTGGGACCAGCACTTCCCTGGCCACGACTACGACCCTGTCGCGCGTCGTAAAGGACAGGCTGGCCTTGCCTCGACCAGCGCCCCTGCACCCCGCGCCGCCGCCCCCGCCGCCGCCCGAAGAGCACCCGCCGCCAGCAACACCGCCGCGCCCAGGACCCGCACACCGATGGGCGCCGGAGGAGGAGCCGCCAGCGCCGCGCTGCGAGAAGAGAACACGCAACTCAAGGAGACAGTCACTGGTCTGGAGCGCGAGCGCGACTTCTACTTCAGCAAACTCCGCGACATCGAGCTGCTGATCCAGCAGGCCATGGAGGCCGACCCCGAGCTCGAAAAGGACGAGGGTCTACTCAAGCAGATCCAGAACATCCTCTACTCGACCGAAGAAGGGTTCGAAATCCCCCCAGAGACCGAGGGCGCCGAGGAAGAAACCTTCTAGTTGCCTGGCTTCATTCCGTCGGATGTGGGTGCTGAGGAGACGCGGGCACAGACTAACGTAGATGCTCGATGCGACGGCCCTATCCAGTCCAGTCCCGTCTAGTCGAACAGCCACAGTGTAAAAGGGGGTGTGTGTGTCGACATATTGCATTTGAGTCGGAGCAGGAAGGGGGGAAAATACCACTTTTTTCTTGGGGGAAAATTAAAGTTTTCCTGTCATTTTGATGAGTTTATGAGTTTGAGAGTCGAATGGACTGAATAGTTGGTCGAGGGGGTTGGGCCACGACGATGGATAGATAGATGGATGGATGGGGGTTTGTGAACTTGCGCGCTTTGCGTGGGAGGGGGGAATGAGTTAAGTAGGCAGGTAGAGGGGAGGGGACGGAAAGTAATATGAATGTTTTTGTTTCCATGCTGGTTGTTTGTTTACTCTCTCGCCTGTGGCTGTCCTGTTGATGCGATTCGATGTGCGAGCCACTCGTCTACCTTTTACACAGGCTAGTACCATCCGACACATAAACGGCAGGAGTCCGTGTATTCGAGTATAGTCATATATGTGGATTGCAAGGAAAGGAGAAAAGGGAGTGAACTGTCATGTCACTCGACCTTTCCAACCGTCTAAAACTGCTCTAACTCCAGATAGACACGTAATAGGTTCATACATCCATAACCGCATAAATCTACCCACAACACCCCAGAAACAAGGAAACCCCCCAACAACCCCATCCCATCACATCACAACACACACCCCCGGCCCACTCCTAGCCCGTCTCCTCCGCCCAACACCCACGCCGACGCCCGCGCCAGCCCCGCCCTCCTCCTCATCCGCATGCATCATCTGCGCCTCCCTCGCCCTCCTGCGGCGCCGGCGTGCATTCGCGCCGCCCATGCCCGCCTCCTCATTCAGCATCATCCAGTCCGTCCATTTGCGCTCGAGGCGGGCCGCAGCGGCAAAGTCGCCCTTGAGGACGCGCTTCGTGTGCTCGTCGACCGTGGGCTGCCAGTTGAGGAAGCACTTCAGGCTGATGATTTCGCGGGGGTGGGTTCCGCTTCCACTTCCGTTTCCAGAAGAAGATGGGGGTGAGATTTCCGCGTTCCGGGACAGGACTTCACGCACGCCGGTCCAGGTCACGTTTGCGCAGTCGTAGGCGACGATGCGCAGGCCGATGTGGGGACGCTCGGAGGCGGAGAGGGCGCGGGTAGCGCGGTTGCGAGTGCGCAGTGTGGCGGCGGCTTCGGCGAGGACGAGGTCCGAGATGCGCGTGTTGTCCATTTCGATGGAAGTTAGGTTGCGGCAGGCTTTGAGGACGGGGAGCATGCCGGCGTCGCCTAGGTTTTCGCAGTAGGTGATGCAGATGTGTTTTAGGTGTGGGGCGCAGGGGGATTCGGCGAGTGTCTTCAGGACGTCGTTGGAGAGGCCTTCGACTTCTTCCATGTCGAGGTGGGTTAGTATGGGCATTGTGGGGAGCAGGGCGGATAGACCGTCGTCGGTTAGGCCGCCGCATTTGGACACTTGGAGGCCTTCTAGGTGAGGCACGTTTCCTGCTAGGGTTTTGATGCCAACGTCGGTTATGCTGCGGCAGCGGGTGAGGTCCAGGCGTTTGAGCTTTCTTGGAGGTACGATCGGGCGGTCAGTCAGAACATCTACTTCTTGACCCACGCCTTCGATGAGTGCGGAGAGGGAGTCGTCGTTGAGGCTATCGCAGTTCTTCAGCTCAAGCCTTTCCAGAGTGTTGCGCTGGAAGATACTGGACATCAGCTCAATGTCGTCCCACCCTCGTACTTCGCCCGCTCGCAGAACTCGAAGGTTCGGGCAGCCCTCGATGACTTTGATCAGACCGCGATTGTCGATGTTGTTGCACCATGAGATGTTCAACGTCTCGACTCGAGGACAGTTGGAAGCAATGATCTTCATGGCAGCATTTGTGGCACCCGTAAGACCGGACAGGTTGACGTGGGCGAGTCGGCTGTTCTGAAGCAGAAAGGTATGGATGGAGGTGCGATCGATTCGGCAGCCTTCGAGCGAAAAGTTCTCGAGATTTCGACAGGCCTCGATGAAGCTGGTGTTGTTCCATTGTTCTTTGAGCTGCACGCAACCCCTCAAGTTCAGATCCTTGACAAACGGACCTGCTGATTTGATGATGTTCACCAATGCATCCGCTGTGATGTCGCGGTAGAATCCATGTGTGTCGAGGTCACCCCATAACTGGCCGTCAAAACACATAGCATGCCATGACTTGGAGACTCTCGAGCATCGCACAATCTCTTTTGGCTGCAGGTATCGCAAGATATGCATGCGAATTTCGGTTGGCATTTCTCCCCAGAAGTTGAAGTTGGGTCGTTTCTTCACTGTCTTCCGAACTGGTCGCGAGAAGTAATCGCCCTCACACTCCAAGCCAGCTCTGGATCGGGGCCTCAGATTGGATGGAAGAGGAGTTGAAGATCGGACGTCAGGAGTCTTCATCCACCGACGAGCCTGTTCATCGTAGAAAGGTGTGCTGGGTGGGCTGTTGGCTACAGAAGTCGGAGCCGTGGAGAAACCATTGGACAGCTCAGACGAGTAGGAGCTGCCATACGCATTGCCGTTACTGTAAGGCGAGCCTGGGTTGGACAGAGACATGCAAGACATTGATGCATTCCCGCTGCTCCTCAGGCTTTGTGAACGGGTTCTGCCCACGCCTGTCAGACTCGGGGAGGAGCCGATCCGATGTAGTCCACTGAACAGGCGCTGTCTACCCTTGGGTTTCGACCGCTCCATTGCCATGACATCACTGGAAGTGCCCGGCGTTGGCAGCGACATCTCGTTGGGGTGCTCGACAACGATCGAGTCGATTGAAAGTGGTTCCATCTCGAGGGTGATGGATTCAGGGCAGGAAAAGAGGGGTCTTGATGTCGCAACAACAGAGTGGTTGTAGAACAAAGACAAAAGCAGAAGTAAAAGGAGAAACGGTTCCTGTCTTCATGCGAGAGCGGAAGAGTGGTAAGCTAATGGCTGACCAGGAGTTGGGGTGCGCGGTTTTTGATAGCGGAACGCTTCTAGAAGAATGCGGGGATGTTGGTCCGCGGACAAGTGCCAATTAGCAAGGTTCAGCTGTTGGCGTAGAGCAGCAGCGGGAGAAACATCGGTCGAAGGCGATGTCCCTTTTCAAGAATGAACAGCAGCATGAGACGTGCGTTTGCAAGATAGAGCGCGTCGACACGCAGATGTATGCATTGCGTTTGCGACGCAGGTGCACCTGCCGTTTTCCTTATCGCGTCTGCCGCTTCGATAAGCTGGTGGTGGGGAGCCACGTGCGCCGTCAGCACCACCATCTTTCTGAGCCTTCAGGTCAAGCGACTGCTGTATCAGTCGCGTGGACAACCCAATCTTTGTAACCAGAGACGAAACGAAGTATGACAGCCCTACAACAACCATGGTTGAGGAGTTTTATCAAGGCCAACTCGCAGTCCGATACCTAGCTCTCCACATCGTTGCGGCTGGGGATATGCAGGGCAAATGCCTACTCAGCTACCCACTAAACTCCCACCAATCCAGTCCGTCTCTAGACGAGAGGCTCAGTCGAGGGGCATCTCGCCCCGCCGCGCCAGGAGAAGTATCGCCACCGCTCGGCAATGCGGTTCGCAGCCCCTTCCCGAGGAGCGGCTCCAACTACGGACTTGAAGGTGTTCCGTCAAGCTCACAGCAACGACAGCGCCGTGGCAAATGCTGTTGAGAGAACTGCTGGGATGTTTGAGACCTGCATAGCGATACGGGTAGATGGCGCGATAAGAAGGCTTCGTCGCGAATCTGAGGTGAGCACGCGGGCACAGGGTAGGTGAAAGGGGTCAGATGCTCCTCGACGCAAGACAACGACGTGCGACTAGCTGGGAGACGTGCCTTGTCGTTGAGAATAGTATGCGAGATCAGCGACATCAACACTTGTTGCAGCTTCAACACGACGACCCAGAAGCTCCGATATGACGCATTCGCCCCACACCTCGGTGGAAATCGCTTACGGAAGGTGGGGTACATGTGGGCGGCCAGATTTGGTGGAGCACATAGGTACCTATCGGTCAAGCGTAAAAGTGGGAAGCAGGCTGCGTTCTTGTAAGCCCTGTAACCTATGCAACTACACTAACAAAAACTACAAAGTACACGCAAGGCGTATGCTAGGAGTTTAGGCTAGGAGTTTAGGCACAAGACTCCTGCACTAACCCTATATGGATTTGTCAAGCGTCGCATGGTTCTTGATATTCCGGCCAACCGAAAGGGTATGCATGTCAGCTCTGCCTCGCTCTACCCGTACCACCAACACCACCAAAATCCCGTCACGACTTCTCCAGATGCGCCAAAAACCTGCCATGCACACCTCTCCACCCCTCTTCGCACTTCGCCTTCACAAAACCCACTACCATCCTATTCCCCTTGATCTCCATATCCTCCACCAGACACCACTCTCCCTGCCCTCTCTCCTCCTCCGCTAACGTCTCCGCCCTGATGATCCTCCACGTCGTCTTCTGAACCAAGCCCAATGGCGCCTTGATCAGCCACTCCGCGCCGTCGTCCATGTCGGTAATCTCAGACTCGAACGTGACCCTCGAGTCCCATAGTCCAGCGGGCAGCGCGTGCACGGTGTCCGTTATTTTGTAGCGCTTCGTGTTTGGAGCTGAGGGGAGGGGCGGCAGAGTCTCGTAGTGGGAGAGCTCGGGGTCCAGGCGGATCAGAAGGTCATGATTGTGCAGAATCGTGAGTGCAGTCTGGATGGTTGTGGCGCTTGGGAGAGGGGTTACGTGGTGGAGGGCCGCTGTTGTTGAAAAGGCTGTGTGGTGTTAGGGGGTATACATCTAGGAGAATGGGTATGCATACAGAACATGGTTGCGGTGTTGAGTGCCGTAGTGTTTAGACGCGTTGTTTCGTCTGGAGTAACGGTCAACGGCGTGTTTTGATCCCTACAACAGCTTCAATCGTGGGTATGGCGCGTTAATTCAGATAGGGGAGACGCGATCGTTCACTTGTCAAAGATACAAAGCCATTTCAAAACAGCCGTGTCTCCTTCAGGGTTAGTTCTACGGTTACATGCCTATCAAACGTCACAGCTAAGTAGCCCGTCCTCTCGTGGTAGCGCGAAACCTGGAAGTAGTGTAGTGGTGGGATCCGACCGCACAGAATTGGCAGAACAGTAGAGTTTTACTCGATTCGAAAAAGTGCGAAGGCTTTGGTTATATCTTACGAGTCTACGACTCTTTTTGTAGACTTTGCATTGAGGTGCTGTAGTTGCTGTGGTGGGATGTCGCTTGTTATGACGACAAACTTGGTTTCGGGATTCCGGGGTTCCGGGTTTCGCGCTACCGCGAGCTCTCGCGTCAAGCTGAGAGCCGAAATAGTGTGATGGCGGGGTGTAATCGTTGGGGAAGTATTATTGTATTGTTGCTTTTCAGACGCCGACCTTGTTTCCGGCTTTTCAGGAGCCCGAGAGTGCATTCCACTTCCCCATCTGAGCGTGTAACCTATTGCACAGTCTCTGTACAATTCCCTCAGTCGCACGCCTGATCCTCACGATAGTTCCATAACGTAGTAAGGGAGCATTCGACGAAATGATATGATTGGTGTACGACATGCATGAGGCTTGAGCTTGGTGAGCTTGTTGAGCTTGCTGAGTGGTCTGATCTATATACGGATGTCCTTCTTCATCAACTCTCATTCCTCAATCCACAACTCACATCATCCCACTATTCAAAGTCCCACCTGAAGGCAAAGCTCGCCAGATCTTCACTCCGTGAGCTGCAACATCATCATGGCGTCTCTTCTCAATCAGCAGATCCCAACTGGGCTGTGGATTGCGCAGACTGTCGGTATCACCGCAAGCACATACCTTCTAGGTATATACCCCTCCAAACACCAACAACGCCCATACTCACAAAGTCACAGGTGCAACCGCCACACTATCCTTCATCGCCATCCCCACAGTGATGCTAGCCCCCGCGCCCCTCGCCGCAAAGCAATGGCGCAGCGTCTACGACAGAGGCATACTCGTCGGCCCACCCCTCTCAATCCTCAGCACCCTAGCGATCGGATACCTAGCCTACAACCGTGTGTCCCCTCCCTCCCCCTATATCTTCCATCTCTAACCAACCCGCCAACACAGAGGACAGATCTTCCACGCCCTTCAAGCTCAACGTCACCGCCGCCGCCTTCCTCGCCAGCTTCGTCCCCTTCACCTTTTTCTTCATTGTGCCGACCAACGAAGCCCTCTTCGCCAAAGAAGAACAACTCGCTTCTGCGTCCCTGACGGATAAGAATGTGGAAGAGGGGGTTGCGGAGGCGGAGACCACGCATGCTCTGATTGATAAGTGGGGTGTGGTGAACCTTGGGCGCGCGGCGCTCGTTGCGGTCGCGAGTGTTTGCACTGTGCTTGCTGCGCTCGACAAGCGCGAGGTGTTCAAGTTTGGGAGCGTTGGGTTGAAGAGCGGGGCGAATAGACTTGGATAGATGGTGGGGAGATGATTGGAGAAGCTGTTATGTTGGGAGGTTGTATTGGCAGGCGTATGGAAGTGATTTGCTCTCGTCGTCTTTGTGGGCTGACTGTTCCAGTATGCGAATATCCGTGGGATCCGGGAAATCTAAGCTTGAAGCTGGATAGTATGTATAATTGAGTCCGTCGCGTGTGTGTGGAAGGGTATACCCCTCACCGCAGGTCTACCTTTCTCTCCCTTATCCCCTCTCTTTCTCTTCCTCTATCTATTTCTTACATCTCTGCCTCATTACATGCACCAATTTGTCCCGCGGAATTCGTCTACATCTCACCAATTACTTCAAAATGGCCTGCTGGCCCAATGGCAAGGCGCTTGACTACGATTCCTCTGAGTCTGACATCAAGAGATTGCAGGTTCGAACCTTGCGTAGGTCAGTTTTTTTGGCATCTTTTGCGCCCTTGTTGCGTTCTCGGAGGCTGTAGAAGTGGTAGATTGGATGGTGTTTGGTCGGTGAAAGGACGTGGTATGTTTAATTCCAGACGGGGCTTCTTTCCTTTGGCTGCAACGGCCGAAATCTGTGAATAACCTACTAATAGTACTTGAGACACAGAACAACTACGCTTCGATAAAGGCTGAGTGAAAACACTCGGCGACTTGTCGATCCAGGAGATTAATAGCATCGCGTCACGTCACGGTGAACCGCGCTAACCGCTTATGGCGGACCACCAGCCACTCGCCCCTTCATCGCAAACGCGTAAACTCGTGACGCAGATGAACGCGTACCGCGATCTTTGCGCCCCATACAATACAAGATCTCGTCCTCTCACAACTGCCTTACTGCTTTACTAGATTACATCTGAAATATCGCTTCACTCACGCGATTCACCCTCCTAGCACAACCAGCACCAATGATCCTCGGTCTCCCACCACGCAACGAGTGGGTCCCCCGGAACCAAAGGCCAATACACAAATACATTAAAGCCCTCCGAGAAGCGCACAAATCCGGTTCGCCGCCCACAGCGCCTATTGTAGCACCTTTGTTTGGCCTGCTGGACGGACAGCATCCCCACGTGTATAGTCGGAGGCTAGGGTTTGTGGAAGAAGACGAGTGCGGTGTGACGCCGAGGTTCACGTGTGAGGATGCGAATGCGTTGTGGTGGCGGACTGAGAGGGTTGTGGATGTGTATGTGAGTGGGGAGAGGGACTTTGAGAGGGAACGCGAGAGGGGTGGGTTTCTTGAGGGGGATGTGAGGGAGGTGCTTGGTTGTGAGGGGTGGGGGGAGCGGGTTTGGGGGGCTGGTGATGAGGGTATGCAGAGATTGGGGAAGAGGGAGAGTGGATTGACTGGTCAAGGGCGGGAACGGAACGGAACTCGTGCGTCTGAAGCGCGGGGTTCGATTGAGGATTATCCGCTGTCTCCAGATCGAGCGATGAGCGATGTGGATGCGATTGATGAACGTGCTAACACACCACGATGGGCCAGTCTTGATGATAATCATCAAGTTCGTCGCGACGAGGAGGGAAATGAAATTGTCAATGACATGGAGCAGTATGTTCTTCGCGTATCTATCGTTTCACTTTGCTGACCAGTTCGTAGAATCGTTACGGATGTGCGGTGCTGGATAGCAGCTCGTATCCAGAGCAAGATCAGTGTCGAGAAGAAGGAGAAGGATACGCCAGCGTCTGTTAAACTAAATCACCTGCCTGGTCGACGATTCTCTGCACTGCCCGCGATCGAAAATCTGGATATTGACTGTGAAGATAGCGACCAAGACGAACATCTACAACCCCGTAGATGTGACCGCCGAACCGAGAGCTTGAGAGAGCAATCGGTTCTCCGGCAGCTGTCCGTAGCACGAAGTCCCGTCAAATCGAACATCGACAATAGTATGCCTAGGGTTATTTGTAAAGCTAAGAGTAAGCGACCGCGAGGACGACGCAGTACGCAATGTCTACGGACACCCGCAAAGGATCAGCAGATAGTTGGGGACGCCCGAGTCCAGACGCAGATCTCAGACAAAGAAAACATTGGAAGAGGAGCAACTACGCCGTCAATCAGTGATCGAGATCCCGTACTCAACGCAAAACCCGAACCATATACAGGCGGCTGTGGCAGCAGCCTGTGCACTCTTCCGGCACCACCATCGCACATGGTCCTCCCTCCAACTCCACCTCGTAGTGACATATCGACTATTCGAAGACAACCGTTACAGGAACGGTCCCCACCGTCCGGGAAGAAACGTATGGCTTTTCTTGAGGCGCCACGATGTGTCAAGAGGCGTGCTGTCGCAGTGCAGATTCGAGTGCAGTCGCGAAGTCCTGCGAGGAATAGCACGGCACGTTGCCTGGAGCGAGATGACCCTGAACGCATTCAGCCAAATCTCCGAACGAAGAGCTCCGACGACGACAACAACAGACTAACCCCATGTACAAGTAATTTCAACCCTGACACAACCAGCAAGACCCCTTTCAACCCGCAACCCCACGAAACAGCCACGTCAATCAAGGTCGCACATCCTAAATGCACCCCATCAACTGTTCAAAAGCCCGAACCCACAACCCACACCTCACTGAAAAACCAACTCCGCCACTCCCTCAAAACCCTTCTTCGCGATCAACCTCCCTATGCCGTGGTAGAAACTCACATCCTCCCCCTCGTCCTACGCGTCGCCACCGCAACACCACGGGACCACGCAGCCCTGCAGGATACCTCCCGAGTGCTAGCCTGCTGGTGTTCACTCATTCACCGACTGGGACAAACCGGTGGGATGTGTGGGGATCCTTTTGTGGTGGACGATGGGGATGGGAAGGTAGACGAGGAGGAATGGCGACCTGATACGTTGTCTGAGGATCTTACGGCATTCTTCGGTGACTTGCTAGATGGGAGGTTGCCGTTTGGGTATTGGGGGTTTGGGGATAGGTTGGGGGCGTATAATGAGGGGTTGATGGAGCGGTTTGCTGTCAAGGAGAGGGGGTGAGCAGGGAAAGTGCGCGTGTTTGAGTTGAGGAATGGATATCGTGATGGGGACGGATAGGGGGATAGGGGGATAGCTTGGTTGGCGAGGATCTCCTATGAGAAGGTTGTAGGATTGAAGCTGTGGTGGCGGGTTCAGCGTTTGTATAGACTCAGTCTACGACACGCACTCATGTTGCACTGGTATAGCAAAGCTTCTCAGTATGATACAAAGACTCGGTGTTCAGGAAACTACAACAATCACAATATCAGAGATCTCGTACCTTCGAAGCAATACCTAGAAAACTACATGCTCAGTGTCATTATAATGCGGTTTCTCCAGTCCATTCAACTCCCTATCAGCGCAGTTTGATGTACCACCAAACTCACAGCACAGTTGTATACCTACTCTTCTATGTCACCTCACTATCTCCTTCACTGTGTTTCTCTTACGTCCTGTTCAAATTTTATTTACACCGCTAAACGCCAATGCATAGACTTCACCATCCTCGAGAATCGTTTTAACATCCCCACTTATACCTCGCTCATCATCTAACCCTTCCTTCCGCATTACCCTAACCCCTCACACCTCTTCCCTAACCTCGCGAAAACGTCCATCACGCTGACGAGCTGTAGCCTCACACCAAACACGCCCAGGCCCAAACGCAGCGTACTTCATCGTCATATGAGTATCTTCGTTCTCCTGCGTCCAGAACCCTTACTACTGTCCAGCACCGGTACCATAGATCGCCTATCCGCTATAACTTCCAGGATAGGCAAACGCGGTGTGAAAGCCGCTCAGGCCACTCTGACTCGGCACAAGGAGAAATGCAACCCAGGATAACATAATGTAGTAGTGGACTGCTGGTTGTGTTTTGTATGTCGTTTGGGGAGGCGGTGCGGTGCGGTGCGGGGACTGACTAAGTGGGTGGAGTTTTTGCTTTGATGGTTTGATGGTTTGATGTTTGGGGATAGTTATATATATATGTATGAAGTTATATAATAGTAGAGTATACATCCAGACAGACAGACAGACAGATAAATAACAGGACATAACTACTTCAATACACTGCACTACTATCACTATAGCAGACTAGACTAGACCGGATGGTGCGATGTCGCAAACCCGGACATCCTTTAACTTCACGATTTTCCGCTCTGATATGACAATTTGCGGGCGAAGCAGCAAAGGGAGAGGGAGATTTGTACACTACAGGCTGCCCTATGCTACACCCACAGTTCAACACGTATCACAGCATCTATCTAGATTTCTGCTTTTATTTACGTATATCCCATTTTCTTTTGCATTTCCCAGCAAGCTGGATGGGAATAGGAAAGTGAAGATAATGTCCTATAGCATGCAAGTTCGCACCACAAACCCTACACGCACAACAACACCTCCCCCCTTACAGCCCATAAACAAAAGTAACCCTCTCATCGCCCTCCCTCGGCGCCCTCGCCGCACTTTCAACCCACTCCCGCACACCCCTACCCCCCACCACCCTCGCAACCCCCACAGCCCATCCCCTTCCCCCACTCATCGCCACCGGCCCCTTCCCCGCCCTCCTCTCGCGCTCAACATCCGCCTCGCTCCACCCGCGTAGCAGCGCCCTCCTCCTCCGATTCTCCTTGCGCAGACGCCGTAGGAAGAGAATGTAGCCTACGGCTGCACACGCGACGCACGCCAGCGTGACGCAGAACGGGACGATATACCCCTTGTCCGCGAAGCGGGGGCGGAATAACATGGCGGAAAGCACACCAGCGAGGTTTCCCCACCCGTTGATGCCGAGGAGGAGAGCGCGTTTACCCGGCTGGGGGGTGTTATCTGCGATCCAAGCGACTGTGAGCGGGGAGGCGATGTAGTTCCCACTGACGAGGACGTTGAGGGCGAGGTAGCGCGGGACAGGCCAGGAAGTGGGGAGGACGACGACAGCGGCGAGGCCTGTGACTGTGATGGCGAGGCCGTGGAGGATGGGGCGGAGGCGCGTGCGGTGCTTGTCGCTGTGGTGGGCGAAGAGGTAGAGGGTTATTGCGCCGCAGAGGTGGGGTGGGGCGGTGAGCAGGTTTGTGAGGGCTGGGGAGGGGGATTGTGTTAGGGGCGCGAGGACGAGGGGGAGGAAGACGGAGAAGGCGTAGACGGGGACGGCGGAGAGGATGTTGCAGGCGAGGAGGTGCCAGATGTTGGGGTCGAGGAGGGCGGAGAGCATGTCGTGTGGGGTGATGCCGCGGTCGTCGATGGAGGCGTGGTCTTTGGGGGTGGGGGGCTGGGAGGGGTGTAGCAGGCCGTGGGACTCGTCGGAGGGGTGGTCGTGGTCGTCTTCGTCGTGGGTGCTTGTCGGCGGTTCGGACTGCAGGGCTCGGTCGCGGAGGACGCGCGACGAGGCGTATTCGCGCTCGTCGGGCATGAGGAACCAGGCTGTCTCTACGCTGTGCGGCAGCCAGAAGTAGCCCACGACAGCGATCATCATGGTCAGACTGCCTTCCAGAAAGAACAGCACCTGCCACGACTTCCACCCGTTATCCCCGCCAGCATCCCCCTTGAAGTGCGAGAAGACCAGATAGCTGAGAAGCCCGCCCAGCGCCCCCCCAACAGCCGCCTGGCCATAGAACAGCGACAATCGTCGTCCAAACTCAAAGCGCGTGTAGAACAGCGACAAATACGAGACAGTAACGGGGTAGAATCCAGCTATCACACGTCAGCATCCATCTCCAAATCAACCCACAACCCGCATCGTACCCTCCAAGCACCCAATAACAATCCTAAGCGTATACAGCTCCCACTTCCTCCTCACCCAAACATGCAGCGCAGTGCTAACCCCCCACAACAACATACAACTCGGCACCCACAGCACCATGCCATAGCGCCTCCCCAGCGCGGCACCCAGGGGCTGCAACGCAACGAAGAACGCAAAGAAAAGCGCCACAGCGGTATTCAGATCCGTCTTCGCAAGTCCAATATCAGCAGTAAAGTGCGCAGACTCCGCATTGCCTATCTACACGCCCACCACCCACCATCAGCAACAGCGCTACAAGCAGTACGAGGAGACGGACATACATTCGACTTATCAAGCGAATTGAAGAGGAACAGCAGCGCGAGGAAGGGGAGGAGCACGCAGTCGAGCTTGCGCAGCGTGCGCCGGTGGACGCGCACGTCGACGGGGAACGCGCTTTCGAGTTCATCTGGCGGCATGGCGTAGGCGTGGGCGTGCCGTGATGTTGGGGAAGCTTGGGTGAGCTCCATGGCTTCACCGGCGGTCATGGCGTCGATCGGACGCGCCAAGATGGTCGGGCGGTGCGGACGGGCTCATTACGCTGCCGGGGGTGTCGGATGGCCGGTGGTGAGCGTGCGGTGCATGTCGTGATTGCTGCATGGTGGGATCGTCTTGCGCATGCTCGTCTTTTGTTGGACCCTGGGGTTGTTGTTGATTGGAGAGGACGGGCATGGCGCGCTCGCGTAGGTGATCGTCCTTCTCAACGTTATCAGATGCTGGAATTATTATGCAGATAGCTGCATCATTTCTACAGACTTTGCAGTGATTTATCAATTCGTCGATTTCTGCTCATCGATTTGTCAACCAGCATATCCGGGACTGTTGATAATCACGGGAAATGAATGTATTCTACACTCCCCGTTGTCTCACTCTCGATTTATCTACCTCCCTAAACGTCCTTCTACGGACATGATAAATGGAACAAACATCATAGATCTACCAAAAATATAACACGCTCGACATTTCATCCCCTCACCAGAATACATTCACACCTTCCTTGAGACAATCTCCGCTCACTCACTGTGCACATGGAGATCAAGTACCCAGACGAGCTGATAATACTCATTCCCGTTTCCCAACATGACAACCACGTACCAGGAAGAGAGATGAACGCGGTAGTGGCAGACATGCAAGTGTTGAAATGGGTAGATGGGGATAGAAAATGGGTTATCTTCGCGGGGTGAAGATGATGGGATATGTATGCAGCAGATATAATGGAAGCGGTCTAGTTCTTTGCTTGTTTCTGTGTTATGTTGTGGTGTGGGATGGGCGAGTGGGGTTGTATACACTTCCAGAAGGCGCATAGCGTCTGGATATAGTGCCTAGTCGTATTGTCCCAGACTACACACTTCCTATCCGATACGTCCAACCCCATTCATTCATCAATCCACCCGCCTAATATGTACAAGTACACACCCTCCCTAGCATCACCCTACAACTTGCTAATAAACAGCCTAGCAGCGAAAAGACGCACGCGTTGGGGCAGAATGTACTTGGACATGATGTAGATGAGGGACGGCAGCAGGACAAACGCCACCGTCGTCTCGTTGACGAAGAAGAACGGGATAAGCTGGGGCATAGCCGACTTGAGCATCGTCTATTACTCGTCAGTTCCTGTCCTGCACACACTCTCCTGCCGCCTCGGACATGGGGCATACCATCTGCTGGGCGCCAACCTCAGTCTTCTTGTTCTGCTGGGCGGCGAGCGCGGGGCGTGCGAGCAAGGCGGGGCGGACGGCCGTGGGCGCGCGGAAGGCGGCCCTGGCGAAGGGGCGGAGGATGCGGGCGTTCATCGTGGTGGATGTGGGTGTCTGAAGTGTGGGTCAGCGCGCTGCTGCTGGTGCGGATGGGGAGGGGCCAATTGGCGGGGTGTGGATTGCGAGGGGAGGGGAGGTGTACTGGACGGCGGTGCAGAGGCCCGTGGTGATGACTGGTGATGGGGGTGGTGGTCGTCGCTGGTGTTGTCGGCAAAAGCTCTTGCAGATGTCGGCGCCGGAAAGAGCCGTGTCACGTGGTGCTGGCGATTGACTTTCTCCCCGCATTGCGGACGTCTTCAACTTTGCTTTCGATGTGAGTGATGATTGGGTGTGCGAATGGTTTTGTTTGTACTGACTAGATTCTAGACTGTATTTGATCATCTCTTGCTTTGCCTAGCACGTTGCTTGGTGCTATCCGCCACTCGTCCAAGGAGACCCTCCTCATACTGGTGTAGGCACATCACGATCCCGAATGGTCACCCCACCAGGCCTAAGTACACAGTCGTCGCAAATCGTGTTCTGAACAGCTGACAATGCCACCCTCATGCTATCTCATCTCAAATGTTAGCTTCCATTGATCCGCATCGGAAAAAATGCACGACCATCAAATATAAAGACACCCATCCATCCATCCATCTCTCACCTCTCCAGCCCCCAGCCCCCACGACTCATCACGCCCCAAAATGGCAATCGAAAACATCACAATAATCGGGGTGAGCAGCCCAACCCACCGCACCACCCCCCAACTCACCCCCACCAGAACAGCTCACTCACCCACCCCATCATAACCGCCCTCCTCTCCACCCCATCCCCCACCCCCTACAAAATCTCTATCCTAACCCACCCCTCACACCCCCTCTCCCTCCCCCCACACATCCCCCCTAACACCATAACCCACAAAACCAGCGACTTCACGCCCTCCTCCCTGCACGCCGCCTTCCTCGCCCAAGACCTCCTGATCAGCATAACCTCCGGCACCGACACCGCGCTGCAAACCCGCATCATCACCGCCGCCCTCGCCGCAGGTGTGCCACGCTTCATCCCCCACGAATTCACCCACGATACGCAAAACCCGCGTATCCAGTCCCGGCTCCCCGCCTCCGCCGCGCGTGCAAAAGTCCTCGCCCACCTCGCTGCGCAGGATGGCCAGATCGAGTACGTGGGCGTAGCAACGGGGTACGCGCTCGACGCCGCGCTCGCCAGCGGGGAGATGGGCTTCGATCTCGCGTGGCACAGCGCGACGATGCATGGGGCTGGGACGGAAGTGTTCCCCGCCTCTAGCCTCGCGTATGTGGGGCGCGTTGTGGCTGCCGTTGTGCGCCGCTGGGATGTAGTGCGGAATTCGTATATCTATGCTGCGGGTGTGTTGACGTGCGCGGAAGAGGTGCTGGGTGCGGTTGAGCGGGTTACGGGGAGGGAGTGGACGGTGGGGAGGTATGGGGTGGAGGAATGTGTGCGCGAGGGGGGGGAGAGGATTAAGCGTGGGTTTCTGGATTCGGGCGTTGAGTTGCTGGAGAGGAGTTTGCTTTATGATGGGGGGGTGGGGGGTGTGGAGCCTTTTCGGACGCGCGGTGCAAGGGAGATTTTGGGGCTGGAGGGGGAGACGGTGCAGGGTGTTGTGGAGGCGGCGTATCATGCGTTTAAGCACAGGGCGGAGGGGTGTGGGTGTTAGGTATGGGGGTGTTGCTGTCGGGGGGTGTTTGGTTGTCCTGGGACGCAATAATCGGCGTGATTAAGGGCCGTATACTCAACAGGTTATGCGCGTCTATCCATATACTAACTATATTATATACCTTGTCAAAACCAAGTATAGCAGATGCCGAACCTGCAAAGACAAAGAAAGTGTGATTCGAAAAGATTGGAGTCTGGTACACAGAGATGCCTGGAACGTACGTGTCAGTAGCATACCCACACTCCAGAACACCTTGTAACGAGCATGATGATACCATGCCAACGTAGGACCGCAACATTCTAGAAAATACCTTAGCAAGCTGTGTTGTACACACACACACATACACACGCGACTGCGTTCTTTCTCTCGCTCACGAGGACGGGGATGCGGATGTAGGGAGAAGGG